GCCGGAATGGGGAAAACGGAGTGGTTGGGACTTTCAAATCACCATGTCGTCAGCGAAGACAGGCTTACAGAAGGTTTCGGGCAGTTGCAAATCATTCCGGCTGCCCCGTTATTATGGCTAATTTATTCGATCTAGTTACCCAAGTGCATGGTTATTTTCAAACCAAGTGATCCCCTCGCGAGGAGTTCGTCGCTACCCAGTTATGTCTCCCCAGTGACTCCGACACCAACGCTTGGTTAAGCTCCATTGAGGGTACCATAGCACTGCTTGAAACCTTGATTGACGGGGACCCAGAGAGGAGGGGACTGGGAGACACATCGAAGGCGGGATTCCGTAAAATCCTTAATCTAATCGATTGTCAACGGAACAATGATGCCGCAATCCGAACCTCGAGGCGAGAAGCAGGGTCAATCATTGCGACTTCGGGGCAGCGGACCCTGGAGCTCGATGGCCGTGACTGGTGGGTGGACTGGGCATTGGTTCGCCTTCCGGAGCGTCGCGGTAGAGACGCTACAATCCTAACACATAGGAAGATCTCTGAAGAGGTGGGGATCCAATGGTCGTCAAAGCCGTTGAGGGAGCAAAATCTGGTGTTTAAGCAAGGAAGTGCAACGGGGTATACGCAAGGCCGCATAAACGGAATCAAGCCAATCATAAGCATGAAAGTCGAGCAAGGACAAGCGCAAAACAGCGATTCATTCCTGGTGCAGGGCTCTGCCTGGGCAATCATCGGTTCGTCCGACGAGGGGGCCGGCACAGCATTTTCAAGGCCAGGAGATTCAGGTTCCCTTATCTTGGACTCCTATAATCGAATTATTGGCCTGCTCTTTGCCTCTGAGAAGTTGATATCGTATTTCATCCCCTTCGCTACGGTTGTGGAGGATATTAAACGAGCGACTGGTGGGCGCGTCCTGACCCCCACGGAGGATATCGCGAGTATTGACAGCGCAGACGCGGACCATGAGGACGACGATTAAACACACCACCAAGAAGACAGGCGGTTGTCAAATAGGATAGTCAGTTAAAAAATAATCGTTTCGGAGTCCGTTGCTCTGTAAGTTATCTTAGTAAAACCCGTAACTCCAGCGATGAGAGTTAAAAGGCTTGGCGAAACCATCGTCCGCATAGCTTGCCAACTGCAAACATCCTGTCTTTGTATAAACTCCTTATGCTTCTGGACAGCCGGTCAATGACTACAACCATTGGACAATTTCAGACGCATAGGCTGTGTGTGTCGCTGGTGCAGCAATGGTGATATGTTCATACTATCAGGCAGGAAGATGCAGATTCGGGGGTAAGAAACTCATTGCCAACCCGCCGCCTGCCTGGAATGCATTTACTGACTTTTGTTCAATAGAACGATGCAAGAATGAGCACCCTGGAGATAGAGCCCTTGTTGGAAATCGATTTGGTGTGCTCCAGAGCGGCGGGGGTGGCGGCCTTGGAGGTGAGCTGCAAGGCTGTGTTGCAGGGTGAAGCGTGCAATGGACCTACGGGATTTCATTCACATAAGCCAATGACACGGCTCCTTGTCTACATTCAGTCAAATCTCTTTATTGTTTCTCGTCTTGCTCTAGCACCTGGCTGTGTTCATCAACCCAAGACACATTTGTCCTGAAGTACTTTTACACTGGCCGTCACCACTCCCCTTGATTATCACCCGCACCAGCCATTGTAATCTATTGCTTGATACAGTCGCCTACACGCCATGATGAACAGTTTAGTGAAATTATTTTGTGTGTCGTTTGGAGGAATGCTGATTTGATTAGGCCCAAACTCCATCCGCGAAGCACAAGAAGATCCCCGGAAGAAGTGAGTACGTTCGGAAACGCATTGACCTTTGTTTCTAACTGATTTTTATAGATACGCCCTGGGTGTTGAAGATATAAGAAACGATCTCACCAAAGGGAAACACAGGCCAGAATGGATTTTCTCTGCCTACGGCCCAGGGAAAGATGCGCCTCGCCAGCTCTTTGGTGGACCAGAAAGGGAGCAAAGCTTTGAGGAAATGCGGGCTATACACTATGCTGCTGCTGCTTCTGGCAGCACTGAAAAGGCCATCCAAGATGCCAATAACCTTTTTGCGGTCTGCGAAGCACAAATCAAAACAGCCCTAGCTGACATTGATGGCGCTATCAAGTACATAATCGATGGTGAAAACCAACATCCAAATCGGATTGATATCACAGAAGGAACCACAGCGGCTGTACCTAGTCAACAAAGCCCATTTGGCGTTCCAACAACCAGTGCTCCAACATCCGCTTTCGGCCAGCCAACAGCGTTCTCCCAGCCTACACAGGGAGCGTCATTCGGCCGACCATCGGCACTCGGCCAACAACAGCAGCCACAACCTGCGTTTGGCCCGCCAGCGTTTGCGCAACCGGCATTCGGCCAAACCGCTTTCGGCCAGCCTTCAGCTCTTGGAAAACAGCAACAGCTTGCCTTTGGCGCACCGGCGTTTGGCCAGCCTTCTGCTCTGAAACCGTCTCCTTTCGCCCAACCTCTATCTCAAGCCCCCGTACAACCCAACCCTTTTAACCAGACCAGCAACGCTTCTCCCTTCACTCAACTTCCAAATCAGGGCCAGCCTTTTGGCCAGGCGCAAAGTCAGGCTCAAGTCGAATCACCGTTTGGAAAGCCATCGACAGGTGGATTTGGACAACCTCAAACAGCGAATAATCCGTTTGGCCAACCTTCCCCAGCCCGAGCTGCACCATCCGGCTTTGGCGAACAGCTACAGTCACAAGCGCCGTTTAGCCAACCGTCTGGCTTTGGGTCAACGCCCATCGCTACGCAACCTGTAAGCCAAGCGGCTCCTATACCCACGGCGGCTACGAGCGCTCTAGGAAATAAAAAGGACCCTTCGAAATTAGATCCACTACCCAAACTTGTAGGTGAGACACGCCGCGCCCCGGCAACCAAAAGATTGTTGGCATGGAAAGGCCAGCCAGTTCAATATATCGAGAATGAGCCTTGCTTTCAGCATCCCGATGATCCAACAACGCTTGTCCATATTTACTTCCCGGATGGGCGTCCGGCGCTGGAGTCGTTTGGAAGATCTGTCAGCATGCCCGAAGAGTATACGCCGGAGGGTTGAAAGCGGCGTATAAAGTATCTAAAAAGAGCATGGCTCATTCCAAAATGGACTTATGCCCGTCGGGTTCCACCGAGGCCTTGAGTGGTGTAGTTTTGATCTTTAAAAATATTCATGGTGTGGCTTATTGTTCACTTTTAGCGCAGTAACTATTGGGTTCAAGATGCACATCAACTCCTCCATTGAATGTATGTGTCATTGATCATCTTTGCTGAGATGAAATTCTTATTACCAGCCAATGATTTGGCTCCTAGCTAGCTAAAAGCCGTGTACATGATACCTTCGGATCGAGGATCAAGCTTACTTGCTACAACTGTTCAGACATTCTAGCTGTCCAAAAAGAACAACGTTTCGTTTGAAATAGGAAATCATTAAGCAGCATTTCTTCCTCTCGACGTGGTCCAGCCCTCAAAGCCCTGAAGGACGCCCATACCCATTCATACCCGATAAACCCGACCCCGGTAAGGGGCCTGATAAGGCTTGAGGTGAAGAGGGACTGAAGCAAATATGTACGGAGTATATTTTGAAGGCTCTGGAACGCAAAAATATAATGTACCAAAAAAAACACCATGCCATGCCCTTTTTGGATTCATGACCCCATGACCCAACACGCCGGAAGTAGAGGAAACGATAAAATCCGATATGGTACAGCAGCTCGACAGTGCGGCGAGGATTATGACGGTATAGCCGTTATTGAGAAGATGAACAAGAAAAAGTTAGGCAATGGCCTGTTCCGATGGTGGAGGAGGCAACTATGACAAGACGTCTGGTTAGTCACTGTGTGCAAGGACAGGCAAAAGAGGTAGCGTATGAAGTGCGGTCTCACATCTAATCTTGTCCCATCTGCCATCATTCGCTGGAATCCAATACCCACACCCTCGATGACTGCGAGGAACACACCGCACATGATCGCTGAATTTCGAGCGGCCTTGTATCCGCCTCGGATGGCCAACGCACCGCCTGTGAAGAAACCGGCAATAACTGGAAAGATAATCAATATCATATCATACTACCAAAGGACAAGGCAACATACTGGCGTTGTAAGGATCTTCCTTCTTTCGAATTCCTTTTACTGCGCAATCGAATGTCGAAAACAGTCCACCCCATACACCGAAATTGCCGCCTAAAACAGGTGCTCGCGCTTTGATCGCTGTGATGGCTCCTATCCGCCGCTCGCCATAAGGACTATTTCTGAAACCTTTGACACCGTGCCATACAGCGCCTCCGATCGCCTATTGCACATCAGCAGACGCTCGGGAGATTTTGCCACGGGAAAGATGGGGAACCTACGCCCATACAGAATGCACCTCCGAAATCGGACAAGGCAACCCTTCGAAGACCCGAGTCAGTAACTACATTGAATATATTCACCGCAGGAAAATATTACCAGGGGCAGGGATCGCGAGAGTGATCCATTGTGTCTAAGAGACGGGCGGATTAAATACTTGCAGCTGTATAAAGAAGGGCCACGTATCGAACACGGGACGATCCAAGGGAGGAGAAGAAAACCGAGGGCAGAGCAGTGGCCTTGGGCAGTGATGGCTGACAGCTATTACGATGGCGCTCGATCGAAACGAAGTTTTGCGGATTCGAGCGAACGGAGCCGGAGGGACGTTTATGCGTGCTTAATAATAAAGCGACGGAGGATTAATTTTCCGGCCCTGATGACTAATGTTTCGGCTGGAGCGACTCGAGATCGACAACATCGAGTTGCAACCCTTGACGTTCACGGGAGGAGATTGCATCTGGTTCACGCACTAAAACCCATGCTACTCCATCTGATAGCTGCTTCTGGCTCTTTGGAGCTCCTGGCAACTCCAGAGACACACCCTTGGGCCGTCATTCAATGACCATAGTCAGCTCCCCTGCTGGAAGCCGAAAATATCTCATGCCATCTTCTGGGAATTGAGCTCATTTACGCCATATCAATCCAGCCGGCTAACAAAGCCGGCATGGCACACGAACTAATAAATATAAGCACTGGGCCGAAAACATTCCCTGCTTGGCAGGGAACTTGGGTTACACCATAGCCACGGTCCAAAATGAAAGATGCAGACTACCTTTGGGAAGTGCGGCTATCATGGCCCGCCAGCATCTAGATTTCATTCAAAGGTACGGGAATGTGTGGTTGGGTATGCTTTGCTGATTAGATTCCCGGATAAAAGCGGTAAACCCTTGCTCTATGTGCTTGAAGCGGCTTGTCGTTATATTCAACAAATACTCTCCTCAGAGTCAGTCTGTCTCTGGCATCTCCAACCCTCTGCTACCAATTCACAAAACATATGCCGTTGAAGTAGCACAGCAAACACCTATGATTTTTATAATCGTCTTTCTGCTGGTGCAGCAACTCGTGCTGGGGATAGACCTCTTCGGGTCTTCACGGTCTCTGCATTTACACTCGATAGATTCTGAATCCCCGACCACCATGATCAAACGAATCACAACGGACTCGCATCCTAACCAAGATGACTTCGGCGACTCTCATCAACCTGTGACCCCAGGCGGATATCATAGTGAAACCATTCAACGGCGAATCGAACGGGTGACTCAGGACATAGACGCCTTGGAAACATTCTACGCTATCGGGTTTTCGCCAACAACAGTCGGAAAATTAAAGAATTACTATCGTGAACAACTCGACGAGCTGGATCGGGTTCCGTTTCGGTCCTATAACCAACAGGATCGTGTGGACTTTCTGCTCCTGAAAAACTATCTAACGCGGAGTCTTCGACGTCTGGAATTGGACGAGGCTCGGGATGAGAAAATGAAACCCCTTCTGGGGTCATTTGCTTCTATTATCATTGAACTATTTGAGGCAAGGCAGAATGTGACCGCGATTGACCCTCAAGCAGCGGCACAACGACTTCATGACGTTTCCACGGCGATATCGGGTCTCCTAAAAACGATCGAACGAGGTGAAATCGAAATAGACAACTTCAGCGCGTTTCGTGCCGCAAAAGCAGTTGAAAGTCTTAAGAGTTTCCTCGAGGAATGGTTTAGCTTCTATGATGGATATGATCCGCTGTTTTCTTGGTGGAATGCAACACCGTACCCTGAAGTGGGCTCAAAACTGGATGCGCTCGCAGCAGCGATTAAGGAGAAGATCCTTGGCTTGGCACCCGGCGATGAAGATGCGATTGTTGGACAACCGATTGGATCCGAAGGTTTGCTACGTGATCTGGAAGCCGAAGTGATCTCCTACTCACCAGAGGAGCTCATTCAAATTGGTGAGAAAGAGTATACATGGTGTGAATCGGAAATGAAAAAGGCTTCGCGGGAACTGGGCTTCGGTGATGACTGGCGCAAAGCATTGGAGCATGTCAAGACCCTTTATGTCCCACCCGGCAAACAGCCTCAAACTGTTCGCGACCTTGCGGAAGAAGCGATCGAATATGTCACTAACAATAGCCTTGTGACAGTTCCGCCCTTAGCTGCCGAAACCTGGCGCACTTTCATGTTATCTCCAGAGCAACAGAAAGTAGCACCATTTTTCCTAGGCGGGCAATCTATCCGGATTGCGTTCCCTACTTCCTCAATGGACCATGCAGCCAAACTCACAAGTCTACATGCAAACAACGTCCATTTCTCACGGGCTGTCGTTTTCCATGAACTTATCCCCGGTCACCACTTACAGTTCTACATGAACTCTCGTTTCCGCCCTTATCGCCGAATTTTCACTACTCCATTTTGGGTCGAGGGCGGTGCTTTATACTGGGAAATTATCTTCTGGGATAAAGGGTTTCCGAAAACCCCCGAAAACCGTATTGGAATGCTGTTCTGGCGCATGCATCGCTGCGCCCGGATTATCTTCTCCCTCAAATTTCACCTTGGTGAAATGACAGCGCAAGAAAGTATTGATTTCCTGGTTGAGAAAGTCGGGCATGAACGCGGCACGGCTGAAGGTGAGGTACGCCGTTCGTTGAACGGGGATTATTCACCGTTATACCAGGCCGGGTATATGCTGGGCGCGCTGCAGCTTTATTCGTTGAGGCGGGAGGTGGTAGATTCAGGAAAGCTTGGAGAGAAGGAGTTTCATGACCGGATTTTGAAAGAGAATCAAATGCCGATTGAATTGTTGAGGGCGTTGATACAGCGTTTACCCCTGACTTCAGATTATAAGTCGTCTTGGAAGTTTTACGATCAGTGACAACGAGACTAATCAATTGCCCGTCTCGTACTCCGTATCTATGTCTATAAACTCTAGGACTAATGTCTAGGATTAGCTTAGAACGCAACATGATATTTCTTGTCAAATGGCGCCATTCCTAAAAGACTATGTTATGAACATAATGACTGAAGGAAAGGATATGTTGGTGCCGGCTTGGCGGCGGCATTGCCTTTCAACACATATTTTATCACTGGGAATGACTGAAAGATTCTGACAAATTATCCAACTTGCAAATTAGGTACAGGTTAATAGTCAACGCTGTTCCAACAAAAAATACACGCAGGTACCAAACAACCGATTTACCACTGTGCTGGACCAAATGTACCTCCCGGGGGGACTGTTTTACGGATCGCTGCGTATGTATAATCCTTCTCCGTGTCAGCATAAAATCGAGCACTCTAGTTTTCTTCCCGAGCCTATTAAACTTACAATTGTTGAATACGGGACGGTATTTCCCCACCAGTTCGGGATATCGACGCCGGGAAATGTGATTGCAAAGAAGATGATGATTGTAGCAATGACCAGACCCGAATCGAGTGCCGCAGAGGTGATGTAATTGTATTGATGCCACCAGCCTGCCCATTTGCGGCGGATCCAGTGATTGAAGACCAAGCCAACGATAGCCCAGGAGGCGAAACTCAGGGGCGTAGCGCTTTTCATTGTGTTAGCTGGGGGCTGGCTATAGAATCGAATAGGAAAAGGAAAACCTACGGAGGCAGCCAGTTCATAGCACCGAGCATACTAGAATTTGTCAGTTAGCCGGTCAAAGGTGCGGGTGGGTTAAACGTACACTGGAGCATTGAGGAATCTGGCTGGCGACCGAGGGAAGAGTCGGATGAGGACGTAGAAGATAATTGGCAAAATTGCTCCAACTAGCCAATACCATTGAATGCCAGAGTAGATGGATCCTGGCCCGAACATTCGTTGTGGCCCGATGACACCTAGAGTAGATACCGTTAGTATCCCATCCGCCGACGAGATAGTCAAGGTCTGCCAACTTACCCCAAACTATAGCCGACGAAAAGAATGTTTTACCGTTAGGACAGGTGAAATGAGCCTCTTGGTTCCTAATAAATTAGCATCGATGAGTAAACGACTAGTGCTATGATGGCAATGATTTCTATTTTGTACTTACGGGGTGCAGACTCCATCAATGTTTCCGAGAGTCCAGTTCAACACAGCAATTTGCACAAAAACTGCCCAGATAGTGGCGCCTACTTGACATGTAAAAGTCGTCTTTGGCGAAATTTTCATGTAATGTGCCAGCTATATTTGTCAAAAACAGCAAACAAATGATGATGGGAATACCCCTGAATGAGTGTGCTGACCTTCAGATCTCGACTATATGTTTGCCTATAAGCACGAATCAGCTATAACCCTATATCAGAAGGTTGGAAGAACGGCTCACGCTCGCCCAAGCGTATTAGTTGCGTAGACCTTGAACACCATAACACCAATAGCTTTTCCCGGTAGCATAAACCCGCCAATGAACGGAGACAAGACATTAAGTGCTAGTGATCATCGGTTAGCACCAGATTCCTTTTATCAAGCAAGTTAACGTACCAAGTGGTATATTTGCAATGGCCAAAAGCATACATGTAGGGATCTGATCATGGGTGAGCGTATTTCCACACAAGAATCCCCTGGGCATTACGTACGACAAATACAAGCCCCAGGATACTGGCGACGAAGAATGCCCACCCTAATTTGACAGTCAGTAAAGAGAGTAAATGAAATTGTGAAGAAGGACTTACATGGCAACTGAGACGGATATGCTTCAGCCGTGGCCAAGCCCAAGCCCAAGGCGATCGCTAGCAGAACCCCATACCACCATTCAGGGCACTCCTGGTATTTCGACATCATCTTCATATATATGTCTGGTTCTTGGTTCCTTGCAGCTTTTGCTCGGTAAATAACCTCTTTGCCATGATATAAGACAATGTGGACGAGGACAGCAGTGAGCGCGGCAAATGACAGCCCATAGTTCAATGCGAAGGTCGGGGCTAAAAATAACGGAGAGTACGACTTATACTTTTCAAGGTCAAATGAGAAGTTTGGCCCGAGTATTCTTGACACATTATAGAAGTTTTGGGTATTATCGAATGTTGACGACGTGTTGATTGGAAGATAGTCCGCATACCTACATGAATATTAGCGCCCGGATTGAGTAATTCAACACCACTTACATGGCTCCCGTGAACGATATCCCGATACTTGTTATTATAACAAAGACCACCAGCCCAACCAAGGTGTTCAAGTGGGAATGTGTGGGCGATAGGAGTGGGCTTTGTAGGTAGCTTGATATATATCTAAAACTTGTTAACGTAGGACTAGCAGGAGACAGAGGAATACGCACGTCCAGTCGAATGTGAGCGGGATCAATGATAATCCCGTAAATCCGCCAAACAGCTGATTGACAACAGGGCTATTTGGTCGTATCCCTATTAAAACGTGAGAAAAAAATATACGCTGGATGCTTCAGGGGGAACATACAGGTAATAAAACAAAAGACCGAAAGGCCCTGCCACAGAACTCCCGGAAGCCTGGTATTTATCAGCAACCTCAAGTACTAGCACGAAGATAGATGGGGCATACCAGTAATAAGCAAATGCCGCCCCCATAAGATACATGAACCAGCGGTATCGGGAGATTCGCCATCCATTGGTCTGAGATGGGTCAGAGACAGTCTTGTCGTGAAGTGCATAAAATAAGGATGTGTTAGAAAATACGGAGGGCCAGATCATCGCCGAGGGCCTAGGAAGCGTGTAAGTAGATGTGCCCTCCATGATGATGCACAGACAAAGTAGGCTAGACAGACCAGACAAGGAAACGTCGGAAGATTCCCGACAAGGACATCCCTATCATTTGACTACTTAGAGTAAAGAGCAATGAGAAACCCCATCCCAGGTTCACATTGAAAAATGCTAAAAGAAGATGGTCAGCCATATGTTCCCATAAAATGCTAGTCGAGGTTTCCCTGACGTACGTTTGCCTTGAAGAGCCAGCAGGGCATCAGTGCTGTAAGCATAGTCGATAGCGATGCTAGACCTTTATGAGCACATTTTCGTACGAACAAGTTTTCAATTCCGACCTACTTTGACATGATCTAAGAACGTGTTAGTAAAATCACAACTATATAGGGAATATCAGCTTACCGTTATAACCGCATGTTCCTTGATAGAGAAGGGCCCGGGATTAAAGGTCCAGCGAAGACCAAACAAGTTAAAAACTGTTCGCGGGACAACCTTCGCCCAAAAGCATCCGATGGGATAGACCAGCCTTAAAGTCACCATTAGCAATAACTCAGAGACATTGGGAACGGTGATCCAAATACAATTGAACAACAATGGACGGGAAGATGATCGCAGGGCTCCTAGAAAAGATATTAGCAGCCCATAGTTTAGAATCCAGGCACCAAGATACCAACCTCATGCTTAGAAACATATTCAGCCCGCTTCCGATGGTGACAAAGATCATTCCCAGAATCCAAGCACGAACGGTGTTGGCCGGCTCCTCGCCATCAACATTTCGCACCGCAGCGCGCACCTCCTCATACGGCGAGTCCTCGAGGAAAGCCTTGTCGACTTGGGTAATCGTCTCAAGATCTCCAGTCCGCCTAGCTTCATCAATTGCATCGAGCCGTTCTGTGGGCAAGTTCGGGTCCCAGCGGTGGGATTTTCTGACCTTTTCCAGATCTTGCGCGGCGAACTCACGCTCCACGGGCTGAGTCCTCCCCCTTCCCTTCATCAACCTGAACAGAGGTTATCTCCTCCCTCGCCCTGGCCGTGGGACTCTCCTCCCGAGCGGAACAATTTCGAAGTCCACGCCATGGGAATCGGGTTGCATAATCAACTGCCAGCTGCCATTCAAAGCGAACAGGACATGAGCGGCCTTAACTGGGCAAGTGCGGTGTATATATCGAGGGGTAACCATGTCGCTGACCTCTCGCTATCATTGTGCGACGGCCAAACGATTGGCAGTCAACTTGGTGGTGTGAGTGGTATGGATTGTTTGATAACCCCTGCCCCCTTTCAGCCAGTCTTCAAACGCCTCGGATCATATCGAGTTGAGATGTTACATTGGCTCGCCTGTGTGTAAACTGATATGTCCGGAACTCCACGTCGATCGAGCATGGTTAACCGCGGGTTTCCCACGCCAAACGGCCACAAGACCAATGATAACGACAATGAAACGGTCGCCAGTTGATTGCTTGTTGGGGATATTCTCACCCCGCACAAGGTCAGTAGCTTATCCTCACGCAATGTCCTGTGGCCAGCACCTGGTGTAGTAGTTACTTGCAGCCGTCCCCCGCACAAGAGCCAAATTTGAGCAGGATGGAGAACTCATGGCGTGGATTCAAACTCAGAGGCGGGTTGAGCTCGGAAAACGGTTGCTTTGACCGGGGTCTGGGGTATCAAGGTTGGGTATCTACAAGGATCAAGCTCGACGGCAGCAAAGCCGGGAAAGGATATGGCGGCGAGTTGCCGGGTGGTGAACAAGCTATTGGGAACTCCGCTCTCTGCGTTAACTAGCTTGTTCCCCTCGTCTTCTAAGTTCTTCCCCAGACTTTTGGCCGAAGCTTGGAGGATATATTGATGATTGCTACCGGAGCGTGTCGTCGTTGCTTGTCCATCTTGCGAAAACTGGCTGCCGTCTATCGAAAACTTTTAGTGACGTTACTACTCCAAAATAACCAACAACCCTTGTCAACATGCGGGATACGGAAACAAGAGCAGACACAGTATCTCGAAAGATGCCCATCAACATCGTAACTTGACTAGCTAGTTCGTTAACTAGTTAACAAGACTAAACTAAGAACTTCACACCTGGTCGACTTCCAGCTAAACGGTCTGGACGCCACGTTTGCTTCCCGTTTCTTGGACCTTTTCCACGATCCCGAGTTGATTAAGGACTTAAGCTGGAAAGTGGCTCGTAACATTATCATGCCGAGTGATGGAACGGGCGAATCGGCATATTCAACATGTTGATGGCCAGTCTTCCCTCTTCATTCGAGATCACAGATTAAGCCAAGAGTCGCTATTTCTTTGTCTCCTGCTGAAAAATGAGGCTGGCTCAAAGGTCCACTTGGACAGTGACTGCTCGTAGGCTTTTTAAACATGGGCTGTTCTGGTGAGAGACGGGGGGACCGGAATGCTCTTCGCGTCCTGCTGTTCAGCCCTTGCCAACTCGTAATCTGTTAATGTCGCAAATTCAGAGGCAACCCTTTAATTTCCCTGCTTTTCCGGCAAACTGAGTTGAATGAAATCCGAGAAGATGGTAAATCTTCAACTGCCGCCACAGTGAGGTGATAAAGGAAATCTAGCAGGGGTCCAGAATACCTGTGATGACCGATATCAACTACCGAATGACCCAGAGCCACGGATTTTAGGGGTGGCGCAAGTCACAGTATTCGAGATCAAGCGTCTAATAACCATGCTCTTTGGGCAAGCTATCAGCACCCCATACTTGTTTGGAGAGCGTCACATTCTGGAATCACGGCGCTAGAGAAGCGCCACGATAGGTACCCTGGTGGTAGTCTACCCGATCGAACAATTGGAGATCACGAAAGCCCCCTCGGTGGAAACGTCGATTTCAGTTTCTTTCCGTCGCTACTCAACCGAACGAAGTCCACATTGGTCAGGGCCGACCAATCGCCATTCCACCCCTTCAACCTCCGCAAATTATCCTGCGACCCCAGATCTGGAATCCAGAAGCCTGTGGAGAACTCCTTGGCCTCTGCTTCCTCCCGCTGCGTGAGGGTTTCTTCCCGCTTACTCGGTGGCCTGCCTTTTCTTCGTTCTTGCCGCAGCTGCGTGAGCTCGGGTGTATAGCGAGCGAGGTATCTAAAAATGCGCAACCAATAGCATGAGAAACTGCCCTAGGAGAGTAGAAGAGTATGGAGAAAAAAGTGCACAGTGATTGTTGCTCACCTCGTCACCAATTGAGCCAAATCTTCGTCTGACAGCGCTGTCGCAATGCCTTCGATAGAATCTTTGCAGAAATTCAGTCGGTCCACTATCGCATTATTAGCCCAATCACGGCGCTACGGTGTCGACTTGCGGAATCTTGCTCACAGTATATTTGTCTTCCCCTCACATGTTCTGCGGCGAGCCGGGCCAGTTTTCCTTCCCTCCCGCTTGCACGCTGTAAGCGTTTGGAGTCTCTGCTGTTGGCGTGGAGAGCATCGAGGCCACCTCGCTTTTTAGAAATCTGCTTCTGGACCTTTTGCAAGTTTTTCGCCATGATTCCCGCCCTTGCCAATGGTCTCCTCTGGTCGACTTTGCGCGCACAAAAAATGTGGAATTTTCGGAGGGCAGGCAGAAAAAGGCGGTGCCCTCCAATTATGTAATTCGCAATCAAGTTCTTGGCTTATGTAATAACTAGCAACGCTCCAGCAGCACGTGATCGCCAAGCGCCGATTGGCTGGAGTCGCGTCCGGCAGCACACGCGTTTGAAGCTGCGGATTGCAGTCGTTCATTCCCAGCGAGATGCAGTGATTCTTGCCTCGATTCTCTCTGTTTTATTTGCTTGTGTATACTTACCACCAATTTGGCCGTTTTCAGCTTTCCAAAATGATATGATATTGTTGGCCCCGGCTGCAACATTGGCTGATACGCGCTCAACTTGGATGTAAACATATCGCTAGTATGGGTATTGCAGGTATGCTACCAACCACTTACTGCTTGGCCTATCTGTTGACGGCAATCATAGGCCTCCATTCCTTTCTGAAGTCCATCCAGAAGCCATGCAATATCAAGAAATTCAAAGGGCAGACCCTTGGGGTGGATGCCTATGGATGGCTGCATCGAGGTAGCATTGCATTTGCTCTTGATTTGGCCCTTGATCGCCAAACAACCAAGTACGGTTTCCATTGCCAAATCGCACCGGTAATCCTATGTATCGCTGACTTATTTGGTTAAATTTTATAGATACATCAATTTCGCTATGCATCGAGTCCGTATGCTTCTATATTACGGTGTCACTCCGTACCTCGTCTTCGATGGCGGAAGATTGCCGAGCAAGGACTCAACAGAGGAAGCGAGAGCTGCCCGGCGCGAGGAAAGCAGAGCTTTGGGTTTGGAGCATTACCGCACTGGTCGTGCCGCTCAAGCCCAACAGGAATTGCAAAAGGCTATTGACGTAACCCCATACATGGCGCGCGTGCTCATTGAAGAGTTGAAAAAGCTGAACATACAATACATCGTTGCGCCTTATGAGGCTGATGCCCAGTTGGTGTACCTCGAGAAAGAGGGGATAATCAACGGAATCATTTCGGAGGATTCAGACATGCTGGTATTTGGTGCACGTATCTTGGTTTCAAAATTGGATAAACATGGCGATTGCATCGAAATCAGCCGAAATAACCTTTCGGCCTGCCGAGACGCTAGTTTTGCTGGATGGACGGACGAGAACTTTCGCCAAATGTGCATTCTTAGCGGTTGTGATTACCTTCCAAATATTCCGGGCTTAGGATTGAAAACGTCATATCGGAATCTTAGAAAGTACAAGACTGTTGAACGGGTCGTGAAGATGGTGCAATATGGAGGGCAAACCCGCGTGCCTTCGAATTATCTGGAAGAGTTCAGGCGTGCAGAGCTGACGTTTCTTCACCAGCGGGTTTTTTGCCCTAGAGCTCGCAAGCTAGTCACGCTTAATCCCCTTCCGCATCACATCCAAGGAGAGCTTCCATTCATCGGTAGCGATATCGGATCTGAGATCGCAATCGGGATCGCTTGTGGTGAACTAGATCCCATAACTAAAAAACCCATCGAGCTAAAACCAGTATACTTGGAGAGAGCGAGGACGATGTATGGACGGCGACAGACCTTTCCCGCCCCTGACGAAAAGGGCCGTAACAAACCTATCAGCTCCTTCTTCACGCCGAAGCGCGTTCCGCTGAGCGAATTGGATCCAAATAGCCTAACGCCTTCCCCAAGCCAGCAAGCCCTTCTTGTTCAGAACAGTCAACGGTCATGGCCGGCCAGGCCAGTGGCAATGCCGGGTAGCGTTTCAAGATCCGCTTCGGCCTCCCAACCATCCCCTCGCTTGCGCCGAGAAACATTTCTGTCACGCGCCGGGACATTAGCTCAACCTCTGCCTGTAAAAAGGCAACGCTTATGCTCTGATGCCGCTGACAATCAGCCAGGCATGGCAGAACGCAGTCGGTTCTTTCAGGCCAGTGCTGACATTTCCCGAATGGAGGGGAGCAAAAAGGGACAATTCAAAAGGGCAAGGAAAGCCAGTTTTGGAATATTTTCGGATGACAGTGTGGAAAAGGTCATGTGTGAGATGCATGATGCTATGGAAGCGGCAGGCAGATCTGCAATGGGCCAGAAAACAGTGCAAGCAGCCACCGGAACGGGATCCGTATATTCTGACCGCAGCGAGAGGCATGTGGCTACTGATTCGAGAAACGCAGCCTCAGCCACATGGGATCAGGGTACAGCAGAATGTTCAAGTGGCACTGCGGACAGAAACTCCGACGATCCGGCCATTGCGCAAAAAGGTCAAGGAAATGAGGAGGGGACAAAAAGGACTCCACTGGGCCTTGGGGCTAGATTTGCATATGTCGATGAGGTCGGAATCACGAAACAGCGGGTCACTGATAAGGGGCAACAGTTATCCCGAGCATTACCGCAAAACGTGTTGACTGGAAGCTTGACGTGTAGTCAGCGAGGCAAACAGAGCCGCAGAGCTCGACTAACTCCATTGCAGCGATTGCAGCAAACTGCATTAGGCAGATCCAAATCCATGAATGCCTTGAACGCGGACGTGGTCTCAGAGGGAGTCAGTCAGAGTGGATATGATTCGGATGATTCCAAGCGCAGTTCAGCAGCCCGACAGTTTTACCAAGCGAGTGGCAGTGAAGATTTGATCATTCCTAGCACGGATGACAGTGAGGATGGGTCAGTGTCAAAGGCCTTGGACCTGAAACGGTTCGAATTTTGCCCCAAATGATTTGAGAAGGTCCACATATTAGCGGCATCCGGTTACTTACCCAGCCGATGAGGTTTGTATTATCGATTTTGTGTATCATTTTGATTTTCGAGGGCGTTGGAGGTTTGGAGTCAAACGCGGTGAGCTGAATATTGGGTGTCAGAGGCGTTGGAGTGGGAGGGCACTTGTGGGATACATAGCTCCCATGTTGGACAATGAACCATGGCCAAATAGAAATATGATGCTCTATCCATATCACCTGCTGGGCAGCACGATGAAGTTGAAGTTGAAGTTGAAGCCGGACGTCCAGACCGAGGTGCGAGCTAACCGAAGATGGTCTAGCGCAGCGACAGACCCACCGGGCCCCACCGCCTTTGTTTAAGGTTCTGCCAGGGCGGTCGGCTGGGTTGCCCCGGCAACGGGCAGTATTCGGGGATGTAAACATGTTGGCCCAGCCACCTCGCCGGCCATCCAGCAATCTCAGATCCAGCCACCAGAAACTTGACCTTTGATCGGGACTGAGCCTCGTGAAACCTGTGTTTTGTCATTCCCATATCATGACCTCGTTGGCGACGCGAGTCCCTTCTTCGTGAGATTCGTCCTTCGTTTCGGTGCCTCGACATTCAGATCGCTGTCGTTTTAGTTTGGAGGAGGAGTTGACAGAGGGTTTATGCGCTGAGCTACTCATATACTCTTAATTTTAACTGAGCCCTGCTATGCCCTCCTTTGACATTGCGATATCCCTCTTTGCCCTTTCCTAATCCTGCGGTACAGTCATTTACGAGAATATCATCCTTTGTCGTCGCTCCGAATTCCACGGATTTAGCCGCCCGACGATCCGTCGCGACACTGAAAAATACCCCTACTCAGCCAAAAAGAGCCGCTTGCAAGCTACCAGCTTTTGACTGAGCCCATAACTCTCTCCTTCTCGGGGCTCCGAGAAGTGAGTAATCCCAAGGTTGGGAGAAATCGGAGCTTCCGACCGGAGGACTTGCCCAGACGGACAAAATGCCTGAGCTACGGTTCTTGACCGGCTTCCGCCGTAAGATTTCCTTTTCTACTAAGACGCGGGCTTCTGTGAGAGAGCTAACCAGTTGCACGTAGGGTTTCTAACCCTAGTTGGATATCACCATGTACTTATGGTATTTATTGCCCTTGCCATAATTCTACTCTGTAAGTTTCGGCGGGATCATACTAGCGTGAGCTGCTATACTGACCATAAACCCCATTTATAGCGCTTCTATTAGCAGGATGCTCCTCCTCATCACCCCAAATACCGACGATATTCCTAATATCTTTGTTCTATGAGAAATACCCTCCTCTACGGTCAACAGCACAGCCCGCTCCAGGGGTAACAACGGCAATAGAAAATATTGTCGGTAGGGCTCGACTTGAGGTCCGTGTTGGGTTCTTTGGAATTTGCATTCAAAAAGACGGCGGCTCGTTTCTCTGTAACGCGAATGCTACTGCGCTGGCTGGCTATACACAGCCAGAAGATGACCCTTTGAACCTCATCTGGGTTGCATCAACATTTAAAGATGCCGTCGTTTTTCCATACCTTATGTAAGAGTTGTTCTTCTAGTCTTTCGACTTTGGGAGTATGCTGACATACATTGTTTCCTAGAATTGTTGCGTTGATCTTCGCTTTCATCTGCTTCCTCATTTTAGGCACCTTTCCCGGATGGCATGAAGAACTAAATGATGACGGCTCCGAGCGGGAGGTGCTGCCATTCCCATCACGCCCCGTCTCCCAAGTGGCCCTCGCCCTCATCTTTATTTCAGCCGTGTTTGTATTAGTTTCAGTACTTTGGCAGCACACTGCGTCTGTGGCAGCAAGCACGGTAGCCCAAGACTTGGGGAATGGGAGCGTTAAAAGTGGAGTTGGGACGTCAGCAATGGTATTAGGCTGGTTCGGCTTCTGCTTGCTCGTTGTTGTTACTGTTGGGTTGTTGGTGATGATCTTGAGTTTGACTCTGATTTCCCAGCTGACAGACGAAGCCTGATATTTGCAAACCTTTTTTTATTGTTATGGATGGATTTATGAAAGGGGCATTATGGTTCATGTCTATGTTTTTTGGTCCTCCATTTTTTATGGTCTGGGTTGGTGGTATCTATTGGACTCCTTTGTTTACAGTTGAAATGTTTGTGATGTTATAAAGATGGCTAAATGGCACATGGGTGGACATGATAGATCTTTCAGACAAAATGGTTGCTTTTCCGCAAGTTGGGTATCAAGGGTGAGATCTGTGGTGATGTAAATACACAGCAGTGGGCGAGACGAGGATTGATTGAGCACTCATAAGAAAGGCTCAGATCTGAGCTCAATGAATGCATAACACAAGATTGCTGAATTGCTAGTTAATACCACTCGACGTCTCTACTATTCATTATCAGTTATTACTATAGGCTACATTTGCGATTTTATAAAAATCCCAACAAACATTTATTAGAGCTAAGTACCGCCCTTCCCCTTATTATTTATCTACAAAGCTAACAGCTCTCTGCACTCGACAACGTCTTGCCGCACTTCTATGATGACAAAAAGTTCCCCGTCCAAATTCGACATCTTTATGACGACTGTCCAACTAGATGAACTGTGTGCTGCCGCAGCTCGATGCCGGGGTGGTATTTCCTGTACCCTTGGGCCACACACGATTGGAGGTAAACGCTTACTTGCCAGAGTCATGTTCTACACTGTAGCTGATATACGCGAACATTTCTTAGGGTTCAACGTCGTTTACGAGCTGATATTCTCGGATGATGTTGTTTGGATGGCACGCATCCCACTTCCATATAACTGCTTCCAAGCTGAAGAGGTGACGGCTTCGTATGCCGCTACTTTGAGGTACCTGAAGAGAAATAGTGCCATACCCGTTCCAGCTGTGTTTGCACACTGCCTTCAGTCAAACCCAGATAATAAGGTCAATGCATCTTATATCATCATGGAGAAGCTGCCAGGCTGTCCATTGCCTGTTATTGAAAGGCTGAGCCTTGACGTCGATCCGAACGATCTCGCATTGGCAAAGAAAGTACACGAGCAGCTAACTGATGTCTTACTTGAGTTAGGTATGTCTTCTATTTTGCAATCCACGACACTTGCGATACTGATTTGTGTACCCACCATATAGCTTCTTTCAAATTTAGCCAAATTGGATCCCTTCGGGAAGACCCTGAAGGAAATTTCGTGGTTGGGCCTTACATTGATCCGAACTCCACGGCGTACCCGCAGCACAGAGCAACCGCGTACAAGTCCCTTGATTGTCTACACAAGGGCCCCTTCTCTTCTGTACAAGAATGGTACAGTGCCATGGCGCAGTTGAACCGCAAAGCTTCCTTAGACGACCTCGACGAGGAAGACGGAGACGAGGTAGTGGCAGATTACGAGATTCTCGCTAGCTTTACCCACAAGGTTCTTGTGAAAGAATATGAGAATGGACCGTTTGTCCTTAATCATAACGATTTAACGGTTCAAAATATCCTGGTGAGGACATAATCCCTCATGCTTCAAAACCAACTGCTGAGACTCGCCAGGTTGACGAGGAGTTCAACATCACTGGTATTCTCGATTTTCCAGGTACTATTGTGCCCTTGCCGTCACTCTGCGTCTTCCCATGGTTGTTTAGCGACAATGTCTGTGGACTGGCCGCGGACCGCGACGCTTATCTGAATGTGTTCCTCGGACGGGAATGCCGGTTTCCTTCATCCTCCCTGGAATCTCGCGAAACTCGAGAATACTTGATGCAGACTGCTCGAAGCCGTCAACAATTTGAACTTGGGCTACTTGGGCCATACACATTCATTATTCTTCCAGAATTGTTCAGGAAACTGGAAGGTCGGGAGGCTGATTTAGATTTTGAACGACAAAGAATCGTGGACTCACTAGATTGGTATAAGCAACTTGTACCTCCCGGGCCTAATGGTCTCTACTCCTGGCAAAAGTCTCCGGCCCCCTGATATAATACTGACCCCTTTACGGTATTCAATCTGAAAATCAGCTTACTCAGTGAAGTAGGAGGGTGATTGTGCAGCAAGAATATAAAGTATTTGAGATGGCTTTAGCTCCTTTCTCTCATCAATTACCATGAGAGTGACAATGAGCTACAATAAAAAAAAAAAAAAACTAAATTAAAATCCAAGCTTATGTAGGCCATCAGAAAGAGTAATTCAGAATATGCCAGAACTCATTAATAGAGTAACATTTGACTTGAAGATATTCAGGCAACTACTTGGAACTGAAATGATACTGTTAAGTGTTGGCATGAAGACGGCTTGACAAATTCATCTATAATTGTGTTTTCTTCTCTGTCAGCTCGTTCTGTATCTTATCAAAGCGATGTGATCTCGCTTTCTTCATCATAGCAGTGATTCTTCAAGTCCACGGACTTCCAGCAGAGCAGTTGACACAGACGTATGACTTTTCATTTCTTATCTCATTGTCAATGACGAATCAGACCTGCTCTCCCTTATTTCTCAGGAACATGATAGCGTTCGCGATACGGGCCTCAGCCAGATCTCCCTTGCAGTCGTCGAGTATAGAGCGCAACCAGTCCCAGTCAAAAGTAAGTGCTTTTCGATCCATTGGGTCATGGAACGGGAGGAAGTCGGCTAGTGCGACATTGAGTTCGGGGTCAGCGACATAATTTTGCTTATCATCGTCGTTTATGCCTTTTTCGCCATTGTGAACCTCCCCTTCATTTTCCCCTGCTTTTGATGCACGATCGCCACACTCCCCAAGATCCTTCCCAGAGTGCGCCCTCTGTATCTGTGGCCTCTGCTTCCACTGCTGATCTACTGTCTCCTGTCTCCCGTAGAAGAGCTAAATCGATAATCTTAATAAAACTGCGCTATGGCATAATGTTAGTTCCAGCACTCACCATTTTTCTTGTCTTCGCAACCGCTTTCCCGGTTGTAGAGTTTTTTGAAAAGACTTGAACAAGTCCAGTCAATTCTCCAACCTATCGGAGACCATAGACCAGCTGGGGGCCGTATGGGTTGCGACTATCCTCAAGGCAAATCGAACTGCTTATGTCGGTATGTTGGCGTTGTGATTTGAAAATTTCAATGTTATCTCGATTTAGCCGGCCGGTCTGGTTCCTGGTAATATCTGTCACACCCAGAATGAATGGATTCTTATATTTAGGAGACTCTTTAAAATCGAACATTATACCAACTTTTGTTGAAGATTTTTCGAGCAGCGCTTTCACTTTTTGTTCGAGTTCCTCACTTGGTTGCGAGAACCCAACTTCGAAGGCCATGAGAGGGTCGCTCAATTTAGAGCCCTGTTTTCGGTAGCGGACTTGGAAATCTGGCTCTGATAAACCTTCGAGAAGACAATAATTTCGAGCGTAAAAGATACTTTTACTGTGAATATGGCGTCTAAGTTGATCATTAATGAAGTCAATAACGGACCCATGCAAAGTCGTTTGTTTCAACCGAACGGTAGTTGTGGAAAACTGTTTATCAAACTCGAGGGAGATTGTCCGTTTTCGTCTAGAAATTATCCAATGTTAGTATACCTATGCATCGACTAACAGCAAAGGGCTGCCTCTATAAGGGAATGAACCTACTCGTCGCTGGTTCTGTCAAATGCATCAACCAATTTATGAAAGTCATTTCGCGAGGTCCTAACGTATATAGCTTCGCCCGAAAAATCAGCTGGGAATCGTCCAGAGAATAGTTGAGCCAACTGGCCCTGGTCCAGAGGAGACAGCTCGTCTGAATCATCACAAGTTGGAGAACGGCAGCACATGATGTTCGAACTCGAGGTGTTGGTGCCTGCTCTCGAGCTTGTTGAGCGACATGTAACAACCTCAGAAAAGGTTCTCTTTCCAGTACATAAGAGCGGCAAGCTCCATTTGCTCATAGGAGCTCGCAAGCAGGAGATGATGCGAAACATTTTCAATAGTGTGGATGGCAAAAGGAGATGAAATCAAAAGGAAACACGTCGTTGTGTGGGAAGATAAAAATGAGGATGAGAAACAGCGTGTGTGGTTGTGACTTTATATTTCGCTGTGCAAGAGAACATATTCCAAATTGGGACATCAACGCAAATACAAAAGACCAGTAGTTTTGGCCTGCTCCGAGCCCGCAGGGGGTTAACTCACAATAAAGAGATGTTCTCGATTTCAATAACTTTGAATCAGAAGAACTTAATCTCTTGTTTCATCTTCCATTGACCGTCTGTGTTTCTATCCCCGGCTTATTTTTCACTTGGTCAATCTGGGTATTGCAGTGACCGGTAGCCGGTCAGGGGGATGACTCCAGGCACTCCAACTTGGGGGCCTAGAGGATGGTTAATTATTGAAGCTCTGGTTTGAACCACCAGTGTACTCCACACTCTGTAGGAGGTTGGGGGTATCAAACTGCGTTTCGTGCTGGAGATGGCTATCTGAAAAGCACCGTGATTACCGGATTTCAGCGTCCCTTTTATCAAATGCAACGGGCGAATGGAAAGAGTCAGTATAGTAAATAAATAGTCCTACAAAGTGCCTTGTAGGATGATATTCAGAATATATTTGATAGACATGACGTCTGTGATTCGTGAATCGTGCTTGAGGCTCATTAAGTTAGTTAGTTAGTTATGGATGGTGTAGTTGGGTCACTTGAGGAGGGCCACTGCGGGAAGGTCAAAATCAATCAACGGGTTGACGCGGCTGATGCTCTACCTAACAACGGAAAGATGTAGTCTTTTATATACGTTCCAGCTAGCGGAGTGATATACAAATGACACGGTAATGCCCAGAGTAGATATGGATCTTCAATGAACTCACTCCCATTACAACTCGGTTGGATAAATGGTATCAAAAGTAAGTAAATACATCGAATAAGAAAATAGCTTGTAGCTATGTAAAACGATGCCGCGATTTCAAGTGATGCTTGCAGAACTCTCTAGGCCCAACCGTACGCCATTTTCGAAGCCGCGAACCTAATACAGTGACAGCTTTGTTCACCTTCAACGCCGTAAACATTTCGCGCACTACAACCCCGGGTTTCTGAAGTGAGAACGGGATATCAAAAGTCATGAGAGTCGGCAGCCGTTGGAAAAAAGGACTCTCAATAGTTCATGACTGGGTTTCCACTCCCTGGCCCTCCTCTATCCTCATGGGCCCCGTCGAAGCCAGCTCTGGGCGGGTAATCATCCAGAGATCGATATCCGCCATATCCGCCCCCGTCTCGACCGCCTGGCGGGGCGGCCACGGCCCCGTCCCCCACCTCTACCACCGCGGCCACCGCGCCCCGCGGCCGCCTCCGCGGTAAACCTGGAAAGGGGAGGGCCACGGTCCAGGTTCATCCTTCGTGGTAGTGCCCGAGGGGGTCCTGTCGTCACCTTGATTTCCTTTCGTGGCGAAGCCGCGTATTGTCATGGGTATCCCCCCACGTGGACGGGCCGTGTTCGCCAATGGTGCCCCTTTGTGGTAAGAAAGGCCCCGTCTTCGTTATCACGTGTGTCATATTTCTGCCTGCGCTTGAACGACCGGCCAGCATTCGGTCCATCCTCTCCGTCGTCCCGAATTTTCTTCTCCCACTCGTAAAACCATCTTTTCTCCCAACCGTCGCGTCGAAGACGAGGGCATTTTCTTGAGAAACCGGATTCCAGTTGCGTATTCTTCCCACATCGATTGGTCGGGCGCCTTTTCTCAGAGCGAGAACAATCACAGGATCAGGGTTGTCGGTGTAAATTTCCTCCGAGTCAGATATGGGTGCGACTCTTGCAGCCCATATCTTGTTCTCGAAAACTGCCGTGTCTGTGATTCGCCAACGGACAACCTTGCCAATCCCACCAACCCGGTTAAGGATGAGCTTCGGTGCTGCACGTGGCGTGATTAGTATCGTATTGGCCATTAGCCGCACATCCCCCGATTCTAGAAGGCCCACGGGAAGAATGGGCAGGGTAAGGTATTTCACCAGTCGTTCAGAGTCCGCATTTGAAAGCATGTAGCCTGTGTAAAAAATGAGACGACTGATACGCAGACGGCCATACGGAGATTTGGTCATGTTTCCTGACGCTGCCCTCACGATTGCGTTGTGAGAATTAATCATTCGTTGTACTTCGGCAGCTTCAGCAATCGGCGAGAGATATTTTGTGCCTTCAGCAACATGGATAACCTCTGCTGCAATGGCTTTGCGAAGAGGGTGCGAGTTGGGCGCGAGAAACTGGGAGTTGAACTCCTCAAAATAGTCCCGGAAGCCTTTGACACTTCACGGCATCAGAATTTTACTTATACCTGCTTGGAGAGGGACACTTACTGCCTGATTCGATCTTCATAGACTCTGATCTCGTCAGCATGTTTGTAAGTAAATATCATATCTTCAAGGAACATCTGCTTGAACTTGATCGTGCTGGAAAAGCGCTGGCTGTTGGGTCCGACTTCTGGTTTTAAGCAAACAAGATCAAACTCCAAAGCTCTGCTTTTCACAATTCGCTTGATTATGTCTGTGAAGGAGCTTTCTGCGCGTCCTGTAAGCAAGACTGTGAGTACATCTTTCTGCTGCATGCTGAGCTCAACTAGTTCAACCTTGGACATGTTAGCTAGTCGGTAAGCGGTAAGGTCCATCGCAACCATACTATCTGCTCATTCCACCAGCCCTTCCATGCCAAAGATTCTTCTACTTCAATGCCCTGGCCTGTGGCCGCAAGGATGTTGGGGTCATGCCACCAACCACCATTGGCGAAGGACTCATAGGCCTGGAGGAAGCCAACTGTAAGGCCATTCCAGAGCTGTGGGTTAGGGAGGGGGCTGTTGAATACTGCGATGATATAAGCCATCAGCGCCTGCTCCCGGGTATCATGGAGAATCACATACAGGTGTTGTCAAAGTCATAGACATGGATAGCTTTGATGTCAGTGACAGCTACGGTATCCGGGTTAGTAGGCGAACAGACATGACATTCGCGACTGGCACACCTGGTAGATCCTTATTATTGTTCAGGCAAGACCATCTTTTTAGTGCCGTGGTGCTGTATGTCACCGACCTCTTCGCATCAAACGAGTTCGAGGAATTGAGAAGAGGAGGGGCCATTTTGGAATACAGGACCGCGCGCGCAGAGAGAAGTTGCTTGCCAGACCTCAGCATCACACTACATGGTCCAGCTCCAAGAGTCAGAGAGCAGTCGTCTCGCCCTCGCTTGCCACAAAAGTCGAGTTTGCTGGCGAAAATCGCTGGCGACAGCTTGGATCACGTAAGCACAGACTAGCGCCGTGGCGGGGATTAACTAATAGAGAGATGAATTCAAGGAGACAGAAGAGCAGAGGGTGACAGTAGTCGAGTGCATCCACAAAGAACAGATGACTATCGGCTGCAGTCCTGTTGATCATGGACTCGTGATACGGTCGAATAGACGAATCCCGCTGACTTCAATTCACAAGCACCGGAGGGCTGCTCCATGGAATGCGATGGAGACCTGCGACGTGAGATCTTCCAAAAAACCCTTACTGAGGTCGCCGGCGAGGCGGCAGACGACAACGCTCATCCCTGCGTGATATGTCTCGAGCAAGTTCGGGATGTCGGAGTTACGATCCCTTGCAAACATGGGAGCTTTGATTTCCTGTGCCTTGTGAGCTGGCTGCAGCAACGCCGTGCTTGTCCGCTATGTGAGTGCTGTCTATTACTTGTCTATTTGTTATTTGCGAAGGGTGGCTTGCTGATATCTATCATTTGCTACATAGGCCAAGCGGAAGTCACCGGGGTCAAGTACAATTTCCAGTCACCTTCAGGCCCCGAGGTATTTAGTTTGCCTTGTCTATCAGAGCCGCGAAGACAGACCGCTAGACCCCCCTCTGAACGGCAGACCCCGAGGTTCCGCGCGAATCGTCCCAACACGCGAGTGTCTAATCGGGGGCCTCCTTCGCAACCCCGCGATGATCCCTTAGCCCGTCGACGTTACATTTACCAAAGGCAGCTATACTCGCAGCGCGTAGGTTCGAATCGCCTTTCGCAATACCGCGAACTCACCCCGCAGTTATTCAACAAGGACGAAAATCTAGTCTCTCGTGCACGAAAGTGGATTCGGCGGGAGCTACAAGTATTCGCCTTCCTTGACCCAAATAACCAAGGGCTGCATGGTGGAAGAGAGCAGCAAGCTGAAACCGCTACCGGCGGTGATGACGCTGGACGCATTCGACGCGCACGCAACGCGGAGTTTCTGTTGGAATACATCATCGCGATTTTGCGAACGGTAGATATCAAAGGCAGTGGAGGGCAAGCGGAAGAATTGCTGCAGGAATTCATTGGAAGAGACAATGCGCAACTGTTTCTGCATGAGCTGCAGGCGTGGCTGCGGAGCCCCTTTGATTCGTTGCAGGATTGGGACAGAGGAGTGCAGTACGATGAGTATTCACAGCCGTCCTTGCCAACTCTGCATCGCCGGGAGGTTGAGAGTCCCCCAGCGAACAGAAGCAGCGCTCAGTGGCGGCCTGACGGGGCTTACAGAAGTGAGCCACGGGGTGTGAGGAAACATAGAACACGGGGTCATGCACCGAATTTTGTCCAGGGGAGAAGAATTGAGCGCGCAAAGAGGCGGTACCGGCCTGATTGACTCTCCGGTGCATTTCAATTGAAAGTATAATCGCTTTCTAGCCAGAAAATGATATGTGTACTTGCCAGGATTGAACGTTTTGTTCGAATCGAATTATATATATGCTTCTATGCCTTTTGGAGAGTGACTTTATGATATTGGTAGTATTGTCACCTTCTTCGGCCAAACCGTCCTTTGCCGGCCCCATTCTTACTCCGTATCTTGAGCGCCCTATAGTTGGCATGCGCTGTAGCTTTTATCTTCCGCGCTTTTTGAACTAATTTGTTCCCGCCCAACTTTTCCTTGTTCTGAGTTGAGTCTTTCCCTTTGGGCCTTGTACTATTTACTGCGTCTTCACCAACCCCATTGTCCCCGCCGGCAGAAACGGGAATCTGCGGCTCAGATACAGCATCAAGCTCATCCTCGCTATCTTCGTCGCGGATAACAGGCTCCGGGACGCGCTGCGGCTTCGCGCGCACTGGGCGTAGATGAACCAACCTAGTAGTCCTCTTTTGCCCTTTCTTCTTCCACTGCCTTTGAACTTTCGAGGGACTGTCGGCAATCTGGCTGTTTTCAACGAGGCCTCGGTCTTCGTTAGTCCTTTCCGTAGCTTCAGCTTCGCGGAGTGCCTCCATGTCGTCTTCCATTTCGGCGTTCGACATCTCTTCGCCGAGGTCATGTAGGTCCCGAACAAGTTGACTTAAACCTCTGCCGAATATCCTCTGCGGCATCCGGACAGCGACGGGACTGGCAGCCCCAGTTTTGCTTCTCGCGTGGTTAGCCGGCTGCGCGAACAACACGTTCCTCCGTCGCAGGAACGTTGGCGTTTCAGGTTCTGGCCGTTGCCGAACTGGACTCTGTTCGGAAAGAAGCGTATCGATCCGTTCACTGTCGGCATTCTTGTCGTCGTTTTCATCATCTGCCTCTGTAATAGGGGCAAATCGCATTGTAGTTGGAGTGGCACAGTACTTTGAAAGAAAGAATTTCTTCGCTGACGATGCGGGCGTCAAGGAGTGTCGCCGTGGACGGAGAGCAGACCCATCGCGTCGACTGGGAGTTACCATCCCTCTAGCACGGGACGGCGTATGCGTCCCGTCCGCTGGCTCAAACGGCTTTCGTTTGGAAGGTGTAGCGGTGCTCGAAGCCGAGGGGGATAGCAGATCGAAGAGCCCAAGTACCTTTCCATCGCGCTGGGGGGTAGGTCCGATTGCTGTGCGAAGAGGAGCTGGAGACGTGTAGGGGCCGCCCGGGCTGAGTAGTTTTTTGATGTCCGAGGTGGTTTCGTACGAGTCGAGCTGAGACGGATGCTTTGGAGTCGACGATGTGTGTTTAGCGACTTTTCGCGGAGTAGCAAAGACGTGGTGCTCGTGCTTGTCATTGTCAACGAAAGGGTTAATGCGCTTTTTCTGGGAGTGGCCAGGAGATGCGCCATTGTCGGGGTTGGCCCGGAGCGACGACGACGAGGGCTGAGACCGCAAGCGTGCATACGCCTTGTATTTTGCAGCTGCCGGGTTGATCTTTAGCCTGATGGCTGCTGGGAAAGGGTATGGAACGGCCACTGACCGATACTTGGGTCGTTTTTGATATCCTCACGGGAAGCTTTGCGGCCTCCGTTGGCTTCAGCAAATGCCTTTTCCCACTCCTTCAATTCCGCACGGAGCTTTTCGATGTTGGCTGTCATGGTGAGAGTCTGGGCTTCAAGAGATCTATCTCGCTGGTTTAACTAGATATCAGGCGCATCAAAACGAATCTCCAAGTGCGTTGGCCTCGCGTCAAACGCGTGCACGCGTCGGCTCACGCGTCTGCCAAATGACGTCAGGCTTGATTCCCCTTGTCAACAGACAACAACATGGATAGATATAAAATATATATATTGCTTGGGGTTATTTATTGCTGGAGAATATATGGGTGCATTGAACAGATAGCAAACTACCAGCTTGCCAAACTACGCTTACGATCAAACCCTCCCCGGAGCTGAAAGTCTGGGTGGACCACTTTCCCCTTCAAAATCGTGTGCTTCACGATTCCTTCACAATGCTCGGGCCGGACTCGTGCAAGCCAAATCATCTGCTCCGCCTCTCTCCGGTAAATCAGTACATTTGCCGAAAACTTGTGGCCACCGACGTGTGAGACAAAGTAGATGCTCGCCCCTCCGGGCCGGTCGTCGCTGTCATCACGATGAAGCCCAATCGGTCGTAGATGGCGCTCGAGTTCGCGTTTGATAAGAGGCGCGGAAATTCCGCAGCGTGCATCCCGGCTTCTATGAGAACAGAGCAGGACTATATAATCTTGTTGACAGGGTCGAGACTTTAAGCGCTGATCTGCATGCATCTCATCGCGCTTCTCCTCTTCCTCCGTCGCAGTCAGAAAACGCTCCTTGAGCGCCGGGATGTCTGAAACCGTCACTCTGTCTACAAACGTAAAGGCTGGTAGTATTAGCACTGTCGTTTCCTCGAGACTATGCACTTCATCGTCCGTCTCGAGCTGAGCAGTTGCGATGTTCGATGCAGAGACCATAATACGCTGGAAGGTGGACATGTGTCAGCGCACTCCGCTTCCAATTATCCAGGGGTAGGCTCACGAACGCCCTGTTCCGACTGATGTGAGCCCTTCGCGAACGCTTGCATGAGACTGCCTTGAATATTCTCAACTTTTGGCTGCCAATCCGATTTGCCAGTCGCCACAAGGATATGGGCCGCGAAAGGCTTCACCTTGCCGTAGAGGTATCGATGGTTTTCAGTCGTAAAGCGAGAAGGATACTTGACAGTGCAGTCAGAGCAATCCCTCGTACAGTCGGGGCCGTCGACGGTTGGGTCTACCGTTGGGAACAAATATCGATCACTGGCATCGCCTCCCTTCGTGGCCCATACGGCTTTGGCGCGAGCAACAAGTGAACCCAACATTTTGGACTAAGTAGAACCAGCATACTCCCAAGAATCAAACTCCTCCCCTGGATTTTGTGCTTTGATATAACCTTGCACTGAAAATCCGTCTGCCTACGGTCAAGCCAGCCATCGTGCAGGTATCACCAAAGTTAGGCCCGGGGTTAACGACCAGAGGAGCCTTTGATCTTCAATCCCGGCGGTGATGCTCTCGTCAACTCGCTGTTTGGCGTGTTCGTATCGCCGAGTCTCCGTCGGCCTATCTCGGCTTTATCGGGATGCCGCATCAACCGACTATTTATTGCGATTCGGGTTTTCGCACATCCACGCTGTGTCTCGATGGCCATGATAACGACTCGCTCACCGATTTCGCCTTGGTGGCAGTTGGCGGAATGGCAGATGATCAACAAGTGTCAAAGCAACCCGATGACGAGGTCGCCGAACCATCACGGAAGAAAAGGCGAAGACGGACCCTAGCCTGTTTTCAATGCCGTGCCAGGAAGGTCAAGTGTGATTTTGGATATCCTGCCTGTGAAAGATGCCAGAAAACCCCTTGGCCGGAAAGATGCATTTATGAACATCCGCCGCCCTCGTTCCCCCCGAGATATCCTGTTCAAGCTGCTGCTCAGGGGCCAACATATCCAGGGACACCTTGCGGCGACTGGCGTAAATCCGCACCGCCTTCACCCAAGAAGCCCTTGCCTGCCACAAGTACCGACGAGCACACCGAGCCGCCGAGATTTGGGCCCTCGACCGTGGTGCCTGGTAGCGCTTTTCACGGCAAGGAAAACCGGACTCGTTTCAGAGGTTGCAGCAATGTGAGCAATTTGTTCCCTGATGTAAGAAGAACCCCCAAACCTGTGCTGCATCTGTCTTCCCTGAATGACAACCTGGATTAGTTCCCAGAATTGAAACAGTATCTGCACCGGTTGAAACGAGAGCACCCGGTTCTTGCGGGGCTTGTACGGGAGCTCTTGAAGCTGAAGGAAGGCAGAGTTGCAAAACCGACGCTACCTGGTGAACTCGCCCTTGATAGCATTTATCTCAGCGGCCTTCTTCCTGAGTGGCCAGTGGCGGAGAGCTGTATCGAAATCTACTTTGATACAGTCGGGAGTGCGAGTCGGCTTTTCCACAAGCCATCATTTAATGCGCAACTACAGCTGGTTAAAGACCGCCCGGGATCCGTCCCGCCGTATTTCCTTGTTCAAGTCCTTTTAATACTGTCGACGGTCTGGAGCGCTCATCCCGGCGGTAGTATAACTCCAAGTATCGTGGCGAACTGGATACGCTGGGGCGACACCTGGCTTCATCATGTTGGAAACAAACGCCCGAATCTAACGACCTTGCAAATTCGCTGCCTCCTGATTCAAGCGAAAGAGGCAAACTTTTCACAACGAAATCAAGCATGGTCTGCAACTGGCACTCTGGTGAAGCTGGCAATGTCCGCTGGCCTGCATCGTGAACCACCACCAAATGCACGGATCTCTGTTTTCAATAGGGAGATGCGACGCAGGATTTGGATTACAATCCTAGAGCTTGATTTTCAAGCCTCGCTGGACCGTGGCATGCCGCCGACTTTGCAACAATCCGATTACGACTGCCTGCCTCCTTTGAACATCAACGATGAAGCTATCCATGAATCCATCACCGAATTTCCCAGCCAGCAACCTTTGGATATCCCCACGGACTCTTCGTACCAAATCATTGCGTCTAGGTCTTTAGGCCTACGATTGCGCATCTGTTCACTCATTAACAATCCAGGCTTTTCGATATCCCCTGCTCAGCTTTCAGACTTGGATAATTCCATTTTGCAACATCTTTCAGAAATTCCAAACTGGAAGGGGTCAGACTCTCGAGCGGACCAAAGGCTGCGGTTATGGCGCGCGTTGCTTCAGATACAACTCCAGCGTAGCCAGCTTTCCCTGCATTCGTGCTGTACTCTGGGAGATCTAAAGGACGCAGCTCTTGTACACTCGTCCCGTACTCGATTGGATACAGCTATGACGATGCTTTGTCACCAGCAGCTCCTTCTCGACCAACTCGGCAGACGGTTCTGGTTCGGCGTGGGTGAAGTCACGATGCAAGCTGCACTTAACATTTGCCATCACTTATACACTGTTGGCAGCGGTTTTGGTAACTCCCACCTTTCCCCGAATTCCCTTTTTCAAGGTAATTAATGTCACCATTTTAGGCTCCTCCGTAGTTCAGCAGGTGCTCCCTGAGCTGACGCGAACTTTGGTATCCCTCGTGGAACGAGCCCTTCCATGGTGGGAAGAGAAATTTGCCGTGATCCAGAAAGGGCTGCAGGAGTACTCCATGTTTTGTGTGATGCTCGCCATGGTCAAAAGCAAACTGTGGCCTGGTTCTAGTGACGCATACAGAAAGGAGATTGTTGACCGGATAACTGCGATATGTCATCGAACATTGTCGAAGCACACAGGGAGCACGACAAAAGATATTCACGAGAACAGTTGGGTATGCGTCACACATCAAATCTTTGTAGCCATAGGGTATTAATCTGTTCGCAGAGCCAGCCAGTTTCTCATTTGGACCAAACCGCTGCTATCGCTCCAGGGGCGAGTTTGAATTATCATACAGATGAGCTTACAGATTTGAATGTACGTACCTACTTCACGGTTCCCGATCTATGATAACTCGACAACTAACTGAAATCCTTTCCTGTCATGCTAGTTGCCAGGGGACTGGGATCTCATTTTCGGTGACCTTGCACATGATTTACCAGGTTTTGACACTTGGTAGCCTTCCAATATACATACACATACAGATCGTCAATACGACAACCATCGCTACGTTAAGTTTGAAGACAGCTTCCCAAATATCGGAATCTGGTGCTTTCTGAAGAATAAGATGTGTTAACAAGCGGTAGTTAGCGCTCATATTGAAAATCGCCTTCTCGAAGGCGTGTGAAAAGCCTTGATAGTTCGGAAGCAACATCTCCGCTGCTAATTGGGGGGCGGAGATTGAAAGCAGCTTTTTCATCCATTAAAGTGATTAAAAGCTTTGATATTGCTGTTTGGCGGATACCATCAGGGTCATCGTCAGTGCCATCGTAGGATGTTAGGGATGGCCGTTCCGCATCTTGGAGCAAGCCGCGTACACGATCGAGTGAGTTAGCTAAAGGATATTTTGTGATGACAGACAGTTCGGCTTGCGATAATTTCGCCATACCTGCAACGCGAGCTACCACGGAATATTGAGAGAACAAGGCAGCCCTGGCAAACCAGAGGCCTTTGGAGCTATGCAGGACCAAGCCCAGGAAGAGAAGGATTACTTATGTACGGAGTAGTTAATAGTTAACTACTCCGTAACAATCTTCTCGCTCCACCTTCCCTAACTAGTGGTGCTTCATAAGGACTAGTTACATAGCTAAACTAGCTGCATGCCATCACTGATCTTCCTCAAAAATCACACTTTTTGCATACTTGCCCTCATAGTTCGCACAAGTTCTCGGCGTGTCACAAGGTTCCGCATGAGTAAAGTCGAAGACGACGACTTAAGGCCAAAGTTCCCCGCCAGAGTGCCCGAATGCTCTGTTTCAGGCTGCTCTCGAGCATACAGTAGAAACCATCAGCAAGGTGCTTAAACTATAATTACCAGTTTAAAGATCCATAAAGCACATACGACCACAGGAAGTGGAAAACAGGGCTTCCCGTCCGCTCAGCCGTACTTAAGCCACTTGCCGGCCGGCTAGTAGTTGGGTGGGTGACCACCAGCGAATCCCGGCTGTTGTATGTTTTTTTTTGGATATCTTGATCCCTCAAAAAGGGTCCTGTCAGCTGTCCTTACCGGCCCTCGATCTGCTGGAGCTTGGAGGTTTGGAGAGGACTACTCCGTACTCTTTAACAATCAAAACTCGGTTCCCTAGTTAATTTAAACAAGTATAATTCCAAAAGTGAATATCGTATCAAAAACACCGATTCATCAGAGCCAAAGTAGACAGCGGCCCAAAACCAACCGCACCAGCCTCCTCAGCCCATAGTCACAAGGTGAAATGCTGGCCCGCTAATTCATGATAGATACAAAAAGTGCCCGGATGGAAAATGCGTAAAAATGTGGCGCGCAGTGCGATATAGACAACGATGCGCTAGCTGCTCAACCTCTGTTCGTAAGATAGTCTTTATTCTCCACTGTGACGCTCTTGGTCATGTGGTTGACTTTATACACGCCGACAAGCCGCGAAGCAAGTTCAAACTTGGGAGCAGACAATGTCAGCAAACCGGCTCGGCTAGATTGTCTGTTTTGGATGAACTCACCATATTGTTTCGCAACGAAATGACAATAAATTGTGCGTTTTTCGTGCGTTCCTTGATATATGAAGCAACTATGGAAACCTAACAATCTGTCAGTCACCTTCAATCGCACAGCTATACACAGACACAATATAAACTCACATTCCTAAAGTCCAAGGCCAGCGTCGATTTCATCCATCACATACAATGGGGGTCGGGTTTGTAGTGGTGTAGCGCAAATACCAGAGCCAAACTAGACAAGGTCTTTTCACCACCGGACAGATTACTGATATTCTTCCAGCTTTTCTTCGGCGGCATGACGGAGAACAGGATTCCTTCCGAGAAAGGATCGAGGGAATCTACAAGTTCGAGTTCTGCGTTACCTCCCATGGTAATCATCTGATACATTTCTTTCAACCGGAGAGAGATTGTGCTGAAGCCCTCCATAAACCCTGTCAACCGAAGGGAGCGAAGGGTGTCGAGGCGAGATTTGGCGCTATCGCGATTAGCCAGTGCCGCCGCAAGGTCCGCAGAGCGAGACTCATGCTCTGCGACCCGACGTCTGTATTCACCCAGAACCGAGAGATCCACTTGAGCGTTCTGAGTCTTTTCCTCCAACGCTGCGATCAGTGCTTTGAGAGACTCCTTATTCATGCCCGCCAGTTCGTCTTTCGTATACACTGGTAGCTGATCCGAGCCTTGCTCCTCACCGAGATCGCTGATGTTTTGCAACGAGAGCTTAGCTAGTTTTTCTTCCCAATATCTACCACGCTTTTGATTCTCGATGAGGACTTTCTGGTTTTCTTCCAACTTATTGCGCATTTCTATTTCGACTGCACGCGTTTCGTTGAGTTCCGCCGTCTTCTCATCCAGCTCGGCTTTGAGGGTTGCTAATTCTTCCTTTTTGGCGAGTACGGCCTAGGATCCATTTAGTCAAATGCTCTGCCATATTGTCTTGCCCGGATACTTACGTCTTGTGCCGCCTCAGTTTTCTCCTTCACTGTCGAGACAATGTTGGCTTGATCAGCAGTCTCTTGAGCTAATCTGTCAAGCTCCTCTGCTAGGTGCTCAAGCTCTCCTTCAGAATCCACTCGCGATTTTTCATGCTTGACGCGGAGCTTTTCGTTCTTCGATTTCGACACCTCCGCACTAGAAACTTCCTCGGTAAGAAGTGAAATCTGTTCTTTGAGCCCATCCACCTTGGCTTTTTGGCCACGGAGCTTGACACCACCAATCTCCATGATTTTATCTTGCAGAGCCTGGATTTCTTCCTCTATTCCTGCTTTCTCGGCACGCAGTTGGTTAATTTCTGTTTCCAACTTGGCGATACGTTTTTCAAGTGGCCCAGCTCGGGTATCATCGTTGTTGGACGGTTTAAGTTCCGCTGCAAGTTCTTTAACTCGACGTTTTGCGTCTGCGAGGTTGCGCCCAGCGCTCTCGATTTCGAGCCGAAGTTTTTGCATAGTCGTGTTTAGTTTTGGAATTTCTTCTTGCTTGTCCCTTAGTAATGTTTCCAATTGACGTTGCTTCTCTTGGAATGAATGAAACCTCTTTTCCATATGGTCTCGCTCGGCGTCAAGTTTCAAGACCTGGTCCTTTGAGACTTCTGCAACTCTCTTTGACGACATGGCGCCCCTAGCAACGCGAGTTCCACCTCCGCTCATTGTCCCAGAGAGATCAATTAGCTGTCCATCGAGGGTGACGACCCTCCATCTTCGGGCGCCGTATGCAATTTTATTGGCTTGTTCCAAGTCTCTAGCAACAAGTGTGTTCTGCAAAACGCTGTAGAACGCCGGGCTAAATTTAGGGTCGACGGGCTTGACTAAATCAAACAGCCGAGGGACACTGTCCGGAGTAAATATGGTGGACATATCTCTGCGTGGTAGTCGATCTAGCAAGATAAAATTCGCTCTGCCAAGGTTGTTCTTGCGGAGATATTCGATGCATTGCTGTCCAACTTCCACAGAGTCCACAACAAGGTTATCGAGTGAAGGACAGGCGGTTGAAATAGCGACATCAAATTTTTCTTCGATTGTTCCCAGATTTCCCAATCGCCCATGAAACCCTTCAATGCGACCAGACTCTTTCAACCGCATTAGGCCGGCGAGGACATTACCTTGATTCTGAGTGCTTGTGAGGCTTGACCTTGCCTCCTCTGCCTTTTGACGAGCAGTAGACAGACGGGAACGGTACTCTGGCTCCTTTTCAGAGAACCTGCGTAACTCGGCGGATAAAGAGGCGACTTCATTTTCAAGTTCTGTCAGTTCTGACTGGCGTTGCTCTAGCTCATGGGTTTTGGCTGCAGCCCCTTCTTGGATGGAAACAACTTTGGCCTGTGCTTCTTCCAGAGCAACAGCGCCAGCGTTAGTTTTCTCATAAATAATATCCAGCTCACTTTGGGCGACAGCCATAGCAGATTGTTTCTCGTTAATCTTCTCGTTCCAGGGCTCCAGACTTTTTTGTTTCGCGGCGATCTGATCAGAGAGGCCCTGGGTTTTACCTTTTAAGCTTTCGCGAATGGATGTTAGCTCCTTTTCTTCATGCTTCATTTCTTTCTCGAGAGAAGCGATTTCAGCCGTCTTTGTCTCAATATCATCACCATGTTTCTCAGCCAGACTGGCACACTCCGAAGCCGCCAAGCGGCTTGACTGCAAGGACTTTTCCAACTTTTTCCGTTTATTTGTTAGAAACTTGCGTTTTTCCTCCAGCTTGACTGACTCCTTGTCATATTTGGACATCTCCTTCGCAATGGCTTGCGTTTCTTTCTCCATGGCTTCGTACTCTCTTGTGCTTCGCTTAAACTGGCGCTGAAGTTGCTTAATGCCTTCTTCGCTTCCCTGGTGTTTTTCGAGCTCCAGATTAAACAATTCTTGCATCTGCAAAATAGCTTCCTCTGTAACTCTGGTGTTATCGTTGCACTCATCAATATAAATTTGATACAGAGCGGACTGCTTTTCTGCGAGCTCATTCTCGTCTTTGATGAAAGCTAGAGCTTTGTTCTTCTTGTCTTCCAGAGAGGACTTCTCCTTTTCAACATGCTGGACGCGGTTGCTTTTCTCTGAGCAGACTTCGTTCAGTGTTTCAACCTCTGTTGCTGCCTCCTCAATTGGGGCCTTGTATTTGGAGGTTCCTATTATGTCTTCTAGATACTCTAGCAAGCCATCATCATGATCGTTGACTGCTTTAGGCTTCATCTGAGCGATCGATTCAACTTCACCCTGTAGGATGAGAAATCTCTTGTGATCTAGGTCAATTCCGCGGGCTCGGAGGAAATCCGTGACAGTCGTGAAGTTCGTTTCCTTTCGATCCATGTAGTACTTGCTCGTATTATTCTTAAAGGCTTTGCGAGAGACCACGAGCTGTGAGCCGGGCATAACTTCGTGACCACCCTCGGGGAGATCCAGAACTTCTTGAAAATGTACCTCAACTTCGCAAAATGGAAGATTTGGGAAATTAGCAGAGTTGTGGATAAGGGCCGAGATCTTGCCTTGCCTCATCTTACTGGCTCGGAAGCCAAACACGAACAGGAGGGAGTCAATAACATTGGATTTTCCGGAGCCATTGGGCCCCACCACTGAAGAAAACGATGCATGGAATGGGCCAACAACTTGTCGCCCTGAATAACTTTTAAAGTTGGTCAGAACCAGATGTGTGATGACCATTCGCGGTTTGGGGCCTGACGGTTCTTCTACAGGGGGTTGTGGTGCTGTCCGAGACTTCATCAAGATATCCATCGGCTTTTCTAGTGCAGTCGTCGCCGGGTTTATCGGTTCAACCTGTGCTGTCTGCGACTGTTTTGTGATCAGTGACGTTTCGCCGGTCGGTTGATCCGTAGAATCTACGACAGGCGTGGCACTTCTCCTAGAAGATGGAGCCCGTTCTGCTCGCCGTACTGTAGGCGGCGTAGCCGCGCGGCTTGGGGTTTGTGAGGCTATAGGCGTAATGCTTCGAGAGGACGATCGCCTATCAGTACTCGCTGGTTGTAAGGGCGACGGAGTAATGCTGCGTCTTGAAGAAGATAAAGGCGGTTCTAAAGGCCGCGACGAGCTTCGACGGGATGGGCGCGAACTAGGCTCTGGAGACTGTGAGGGTGCTGGTGTCGGAATAGAGGAGAGTCCCATTGTGGGAGTGGCTGAGGACATACGAGTACTCCGGTTAGTCGTGCTGCGTCTTGACCTTGCGGCAGAGAGCCTCCTTGTCGGAGACTCCGGGTCCCCGGTATTCAAAATGCTCTCTTCCGCTGCAACGCGAGGCTGCGATGCTCCTTGGCTTTCGCGGGGTTCAGTTCGTCGGCTCTTTCGCGGCGGTCGCGTGGATTGCGCGACTTCACCGGTGCTGTCGACCGTTTGCCGACGAGAGCTCCGTCTTGTAGCTGTCCGGCTGGGAACTGGGGTGAATTCTCCATCGTTGTCGTCCTCCTCTTGTGCCGAAAGAGTAGGCGTTGCGCGGCCCGATTGCGAGTCATCTTCGGAACTCTCCTGGAGGATCAATCGCTTCCGCGTAGAAGCACGCCTCAAAGGCCGGGACTGCGCTATCGAGGACATTGTCGGAGTGGATTGTCGTGTAAATGGCGGCAGAGAGTGTCGACTTTTGAGGTTTGTTGTTGCGCCGCTGTTTATCTTTAACCCAAAGCGGTTTCAGCTAGTCAAGAGAGCATTACCGGACCTGCCCTTGCTGATTGGTTGATTTTTGTATTTTTGGTATGGATAAGGGTGTAGATAAGCAGCGTGTTATGTCAGCCATTTGAAGCTCCGCCGCAAAGGCGAAATATAGATGAGCAACAGCTCGCCGATGAGGTGAAAGAAGAGAGCAGTTTGTTGCAGCAGTTTTACATTTCAAAATGTTCTCCTGGGAGGACTTTGACGCTACGTTTCCCTTCAAAGGAGGGTATCCCTACAATCCCAAAGTGGTCGACCGGATCATCGCGAATCGGAAGACCTTCCACCACACTCTATTCATCGATCGCCTTCTTCATGCGCTGGGAATTGACTCAGGTACCATACTCACACTCTATGCTTGCTTCTTATCAAACGCTGACATCGACATTGTCCGTCAGCCACGAGATTGTACCCGCCAAAGTCCGTTGAAACGCTCCGCAAGCTCCACCAGGAGGTTCTTGCCTCCCGTTCACCCACTCACCACAAGCAATCTGTGATATATTATATTTTGAAAGACTGCCAAGATGCGACTGAAGGGCCCAGCAGTCGCCGTTTTGCAAAACAGTGCTTCTTGCCGCAGAAGTATAAGTTGTTCATTGATGGCCTCTGGCATTTGGATAAATTGGATTTCCAGGTTGGTTATGCGACATGAAGGGCCGCGTCTCGATTTGTGCTGATAACTTGAGTCAATAGCAATCCTTGTGCTATCTCACAGAGCCGTCACTTATCCCGACGTTCCCTGACGAAATCCTATACGTCCTCTCGACAGTCCCGGAGCAAAATGATAGCTTCGCTTTTGCATATTACACAGCCGTCTCCCCACCTTTAGCCTCTCGCGAAGTTCTAAACGCGTATTTTGGGGTATTATGCCGCAAGGGAGTGGACACGGCTTTCTACTTTACCCGGAAACTATCGGATGACACCCGTCGTGAACTTTTCGACCAGCTAATTGTTTCCGTTCTCGCGACCAAGCCAGGTGAAGAGAGGGCGGAAAGGTCGATGGCTTTGGTTAATCTGCCCTTCAACAAAGCGGAGGTCGAGTGGTTTGAAGATTGTTTGCTATATGGGAAAGCGAAGAAGCTTCATGGTGCAAAAGACACGGTTATGATACGACGCGTCGCAACTAGTCGCCTTGACGACCTAGGCAAACTGGAGTCTTTGGGCGGGCGGAAAATTGACGGCCTGAATTGGGATGTCCTCAGGCGAAACTTAAAGCCTAGTGGTTCTTAATGGCTAAAAATTGCCGCCTTTTGGGAGTTTGGTGTTCTATGGGTTTGTAACATCAGAGATATCCTCGATTGCACGGAACATTGTCATAGTTGTATGGATCGTTTTCTTATTGCATCAAGAGATTCCACCATAGTTCCACCTCAAACCATGGCTTATCTCCTTGAATATCATATGAAAGGTTGTCCCATGTGATGGGTAGCGTTAAATAATATAGGGATGAGCGTTTGCATAGCAGCTGAGTTGTTTTTCTATACTTCTTACCCGAAATACAATGTAGTGGTAGAAGATATACCATTGTGTGTTTAGATGTTTATCTTCTCTATTTGGATAGACTTGAAAGAGATATAAGGTGTGTTCTTGAGAAGTCTGCTGTGACCGGCTGTTATGATGTTCAAAGTATCTAGGCTGCTCTGCTTCCAAACATACATCATATACTTCCATGAAGTATTAGTGCAGCTTCAAATGCTTCAATGCAGTGTCCAAGCACAGTTCGATCGCGCCAGAATACCGTCAAAAACCAGCGGCTGCACTGAGTTTTCAAGTTTTCTCATGCACTACCGTTCATCCCTGGACCCCGCTTATGCAGCAATGGTCACCTCAACCTCAACACCAGCCTCAATGTTGATAATGATCTGTTTCACGGTCTCGGTTGGAGCGTTCAGACTGGAGTCGCAACACGAATTAACAATCTACCCGAAAAAAAAAGAAAGAAAACTGGTCGCGATGCTCAAACTGACTCAATCAAACGCTTGTGAATGCGCATTTCAAATCTATCCCAAGTCTTGGAACCCTCACCGCAAGGGGTCTTGCGGGTGGAGATCGTCAGGGTCTTCGTAGGGAGTCTGACGGGGCCCTTGACCTCAAGGGACTTTGAGCGGGCACGCTCAATGAGCTCCTGGCAGACCTTTTCCAGCGAAGCGACCTTGCGGGAGGTGAGGGTGATACGGATCTTGTGGATTTTCTGCGGGAAAAAACGACATCGTTAGAATGGGGTGGACGTTTTAATGGGCTTTTCACGTACTGGGCCTTCGCCGAAATCCTTCTCGGGCTTTTGGAAAGACATGGTTGCTGTTTGTTGCTGGACTGGCGGACAGTTAGCGCTTGCAACTAGACATTAGGTCGGGGGCAGAAGCGTACAGTTATGAGGTGCGACGTGCAGCGCCGGTCAAGACCTGAACAATGAGTTCGGTAATGTGATGACAGGCTGGATCGGTGATCTTGTCGAGTGCTTGATCTCGTCGTCCTCTTGTTTCTCTGCGCAAAGAATTGATTTGTGGGATGCGAACTCTTGGCATTCGGCTACCCGGGCTAGCTTGAACGGGGCTAGCGTGTATGACTAACCCTGAATGCCCCTCGACAATCGCCGTCGCATCAAATGGATTCCACTTCTTGACAAGGACTGCTTTGCTGCTTTTCTCTTTTGCCTCTCTTCATATAGCTTCGTCATTCCAGAAGTTCTGTCGCCGACTGTCATTCATCCTCCATTGAACCCAGCCGAGTCACTCTAATGCTGGAGCCCAAACCTCCCCCACTTGCACCGGTCCCTCCAGCGAGTATACGGGACCGCATCCCCAGCGAGGACTGGGCAGCATGTTTAGATGCATGGATTGCCTCCGTTGAATTTCGCCTGAGGCTCTCTGAAAGTGATTTTGAATCACTTGCTCCTAAAGATGGCCAAGCTGTATCATTTCTTCTTTCATATCATGACTCTTCGACGACATTCACTGGGCCCAAAGCAAGCACTTTACGGCGCCTCTGTTTTCTCTTAACGCAACGACTATTGTTAGTACCGAACCAAGCGTTGGAAGACTCGCTTAATTGTCGCTTCCTAGCAAAGCTATGCGCCACATACAATTCCGGATCTGCGCTGAAATCCCTTCTGAGAAAGGTCTGGCAACGACACTCGAAATTCGTGACTGCCGACATTGAGAAGGGGAAGTCAACTTTGATTCGGCAACTTTCTCAAAGAAACTCTGAAGTAGAACGGGATGTGCTGGCTACGTTGCAATCCTTCACGCAACTAGCCTTTTCGCTCCCAGAAATTGGTTACGTCCTTATGACGGGATCGGATTATATTGACACTCTGTTTGAAGCATATCAAACCCAAAAGAACAAGACTCTACAAGATAGTATAGTCGCCAATATATACGTGTCGCTATCGTCCCTAATGCTTTTGTCTCCCCCAGCAATATCTCTGCTCTTGGACCAGCTTTTTAATCTAAAGGCCTTAGCTAAAGTCGACGTAACAACCTTGCAAAAAGGACCAAACTTACTATCGGACCTTATCTGCAGCACGAATTTGTTGAAGCGGATGCATCGACTATTTTCTGCGACTCCTCAAAAACGTGCCGAGAATCTAGTATCTAGTTTAAGGTCGTACATTACAGTGTGTCGTGGGCTGCACTCCGCTCATCGTCAACGGCCGCCGAAAAAGGATAAGGGCAAGCAGCGACAAACAATCGAAGATGATGTAAATGAATTCCATGTTCATAAGATGTCCTTGGTCACCCAGGTCCAAGACCTTTTTCCAGATCTCGGGACTGGGTACATTGTTAAATTACTAGATCACTACTCTGACGATGTCGAATCCGCGATTTCCAACCTTGTGGAGGACACTCTACCTCCTCATTTGAAGTCCCTCGACCATTCAGAACAGCTACATATCGCAGAGGTTATGCCAGATATTGCACCTCGTTCTACACCTCCAGCCCTGCCACCCTCGTTTCCGAGGAAGAATGTCTTTGATAACGATGAATTTGACCGTTTGGACATTTCTCAGTCCAAACTACACTTTGGTCGCGCAAATGCCGATTTGACGGCTGATGATATCCTGGCAGATAGGTCCGGGCATTCGGTGAACAAAGCTGCCATCCTATCTGCACTTGCTGCGTTTGACTCGGATGACGACGAACGCGACGATACATATGACATTGCCGATGTCGGTGGAACTGTTGATTCAATGCCTCCGGGTACAAGCGTCGACCCCGACACAGAATCAGGGCGAAGGACATCTGGTGGACTCAACGAAGACGCGGAGTTCGCTCTATTCAGACTATACAAATCGGATCCAGACGCATTTAAACGCGATGCGGCAACACGGCGGTCCCAGCAACGGGCGTCTCTTCGCAAAGAGACGGGGATGACAGATGAGGGCATCGAAGGCTGGGCAGTGATGTTGACCCGTGATCCGAAACGTATGGCGAAAATGGAACATAGCCATGCTCTCTCTGCCGGACTCTCCGCGCATGGCCAGAGTGATCTGCCATCCACCTCCTACCGGAAACCAGCTGCGGAGGATGGAGAAGGTGGAGACGGTGACCGCGATGGCACCACTGGAAGACCACGTGGTGGCGGACGGGGACAAGGGAGAAGTAGAGGGAGAGGGCGTGGTGGGCGTGGAGACGGTGGTAGTCGAGGCGGTGCACGAGGCGATGTTGCCGGCGCTTCCGGTGACCACGATACGGCACTTGCTAGGAGACGGAAGGATGCCAGTAAGGGATCACGAGCGAACCACAACAGACGGGACCAACGAGCAAAAAAGATGGCTAGAGGAGGATTATAGTAGAAGCCTCCATTGTCATTGGCATTACGTTTCATGTGTACAAGGGGCGGTAAAATAGCGTCCTGTTGACGCATTGGTCTACCATCAGCATATCTAGCGTTTTTACACCAAAGGGCAGCATGCCATGTCCAGTGCGGTCTTGCGATCACTTCCAACACACTTTTATATTACACGCGGCCTTTGTCAAAAATCAAATGACATAAAGCAGCCGAGAGTTCCGTGACCGTGTCCTTGATACAACTTAGAAAAATGATCCCATCCAGAGCTCTACCATCTTAGTGATGATCTGAAAATACACCCTGCTTCGCAAGGCTGTTCTGGCACTCAGCAAAGATTCTCGCTTGCTTCGCAACATCGCCCAACCGGCTAATAACCTCCTTATTCCCATCGTAAAATGTAAAGATCGCATATGGGATGCCGACTTCCTTGCAGAACTGCTTCACGAGATCCTGCGTCCGACGGAGGTTGTGTCGGGGGATGCGCGGGTACAAATGGTGGATGGCTTGGAATTGTAGACCCCCATGGAAGAAATCCAGCCAGGGGGGGCAGTCCACGTCCATTGTGGTACGTAGCATTTTCTGCGGGAAGGACTCGTGCACGCCAAGGTCGGCGGTGGACATGGCGAAATGTGACAGGGTGATTTGAACGTGTAAAGGTGCGGTTATCATGTGGCTTATCATGATAAACAAAAGGCGATTCCGCCAACCCGGGATGCTGAGATATACCACTCCGTACCCGTACCATGTCCAGAAAAAGACTTGGCCGACGATTTCGAACCAACGATGCCACCAGGCAGGACCCTTTTTGGGAGCTTGGCCAAGAAACAGATATTCCCAGCTTAAACGAATGAGGTTGAAACGCCCGAGAAGCAGAATAGGATAGTAAAGATAGTGTTGGTAGCGGACAAGAAATTTCGCAAACGCGTCATACTTCATAACACGTTCGTAGTATGTGCTGCGAAGACTGTCAAAAAAGCGATGTGAGATGGCGAAAAAGGGCATATGTTCAATATCAGGGTCGTGTTCGGGAGAGTTGGTGACGATGTGGTGAACGTTGTGGTTGCGCTTCCACCATCCCAGGCTAAGACCGCCGATGTAGTCCGCTACTATGATTCCTATCACACTATCAACGTGAAAATGATGGGTAATGCCCATATGGCCTGCATCATGGGCGGTAAAAGCGAGCTGATGCCACACGCATCCGAGAAAGAATCCAGAGGTGCCGTACCACCCACAGCGCAGAAAGAAGACAAAGAGTGCAAAGAGAAGACTGTAACGAGAGAATTCGACGAGATAGGCAAAGTAATTGCAGTTATACAAGCCTTCATCGCGAATGCGCTGGTTCAGTTCCCGATACTTTTCCACGATATGGTTCTGGGTTTTTGGACTGAGGGTGGGGTACTTGGCAATATCGAAAATGATCTCTTCTTGGGTTCGTGCGTCGAGGAACAGGGGCTTCGGTTGGACGTAGGGTTTCGAGGTAGAATGTGATGTAGGAGGAGTGGAGGCTACAGAAGAAACTGACGTGCAGCTAGACCGGCGTCGTCGTAACGTTGTCGGGCGGTCGATCGGCTCGAACAGCGGCGACGGGGGATAGGAGCTTTCTTGAGACGAGGGCTGGGGTTCGTCCGCTTCGCTGGAGGTCGGCTCACCCAGAGAGCCAGTGCCAAATACGCCTCCTTGAATAGGCGGGAGAAAATTCAACCATTGTCCTTCGATGCGACCGATCTGAAAGGAATTCATACGCTCGCGAGCTTCGGACGAATGTAGTCTAAGGCTTGCTGTCAGCGCAAGCCAAGTAGGGCAAATGGTCGGTAGTTAAGCCTTACGCATTGATTTCATCTGTAGCATCTCTGCCAACCATGTGCTTGATTGCGGTTTCTCCGCCTGGGTGGAATTTCAACCAGGCATCAACCTTCAAGACTTTGCCGTTGAAGATGATTATGTGCCTCCCACTTGCAATCAGCCCTTCGATCTCTCTTCGCGAGAGAACCACATCTTCTCGAGCCGGCTTTAGTTTCGTTGCTGAGGGGGTTGGCATGGCAGCTCTCGGGCTCGTGTGGGCATTGGTCAATTGATGGAAATCAAATGTTAACCTTCTGCAATACTCGCCAGTCCATGCGGGTGCAATTGCGACTTTTATCAAAGGTGGCAGCGTTGAATTGGCACTCCTGATTTTCGGAGGAGCCTGGAGCCTGTGATGGGGATCGTTTCACTTCGACCCAGGGGATCGTCAAGCATGGCGTGGCGATGCAGGAGGTAAACGAGTTAGGGGCTCTCGGCAGCAACGTCGCCCGGGCTGAAACCGTTTCGCTTGGCCACAGGAACGAGAACGCATCGAGCAGTCCAGAATCAGTGCATCAATCTTCCGCAAGATCAAGCACATCCCAGGCTCAGGCACCAACCCAATTCCCTCGAATCCATGGATTGATCGCTGCAAAAATTCAGGAACCCGCGATTTTTCCTTTTTTTGGGCCGAGGCTGACTGTCTACCTGCGCTAACCCCTTCTGGCTAGGCTGGCCGGGACGTCGAGCTTCAACTTCCGCGTCCCGATCTCACTGTTTGTGAACAGTTCAACGCCAGAGACAAGGCCATCACACTTGCAGGGCTGACACAATGGTTAGTGACTCGTGTTTGCATGCTACATCTTGCTACAAGGCGATTTCCTGGCCTTCAGTATGCACTGGGTTACTCATCGTCGATTCCAAGTAGGAGCCACTACCAGATCTAGTCGAAAGATGGCTGCAGTGGGACCAAGTATGCTGACCCGGCCAAGTGTCCTTGGAATGATGAGCTCAGATGTTGTAGGATCCGCATACTAGGGAGGAGATCAAGAGCCTCTATGATGCCAACAACATTTCTGAACTTGAAAGGCGCTTACGGCACCGTATGTCCTGCCTACGGGGTTATGCACTGATCTGGATGAATGCTAAAGCATTACTCCAGGTATTCAATTTGGAACGGCTGGCCTACGCGGCCGCATGCAGGCTGGCTTTGCCTATATGAACAGCCTGACGGTTATCCAAGCCTCTCAAGGTCTTTGCAAGTTTCTGAAGGAATCGCATCAAGGCCCAGAACCGCTGTCTGTTGTCATTGGCAGAGATGCTCGACACAATTCTGAAAGGTTTGCCCAACTCGCCACGAACGCTTTGGAGGCTGAAGGCATTCGTGTGTGGAGTTTCGACTCCCCGGTTCCCACCCCCCTAGTGCCATATACCGTTCTCTTGAAAAAGGCCACCGCGGGAATAGTCATCACTGCCAGTCATGTAAGAAACCCCCATAATCTACGCTGCTTCATCCAGGCTGACATCGGGCATAGAATCCCGCACAAGACAATGGTAAGTAACTTCGAACCCCGCAAAGGAGGACAACGGGTATGACCATTGTTTCCTTGTGTTAGGTTACAAAATGTGGGACTCAAGCTCGCCTGACCGTTAGAGTCCGAGCTAACTTGATCCAGTTATGCTTCCAACGGCGCTCAGATAAATTCACCTATTGATGCATACATTCGTGATTCCATTGCGCGTAACCTCGAACCCTGGCCAACTGCTTGGGATGTGAGCAGGCAATCAACGACCACTGACCTGTCCCAGGACATCAAACAGGCGTATTGTGATGACGTCTGCGCTTTTGTGGTCAGGAGAACATCCTTTAGAAAGCCATAAACGTTGAACTGATGACATGAAGACTTCCACAGCGGAGATCGGTGACTCCCCGGGGCGCTTCGTATACACTCCACTACATGGTGTCGGGCACTCGATCATGTCCATGCTTTGTAAGAAGTTAAACATTCAAGACATGACCGTAGTTCCCGAACAGCGGGACCCGGACCCAGAATTCCCAACAGTTCGCTTCCCGAACCCGGAAGAGGCTGGCGCTTTAGACCTTGCCATGAAAACAGCCGATGATATGAGCATAAATCTCATTGTCGCTAATGATCCTGATGCGGATAGGTTCGCTATTGCTCAAAAAGTTGGGTAAGTTGACAAGCATCTCGTTTCTTTCCTTTCTGTTTTCTTACTGATTACACGTAACTAAAACCACCTAGGAAAACTTGGTTCAAGTTTACAGGAGATCAAGTTGGAGTTCTACTCGCCTCTCACCTTTTAGATATATGGAAGCAGCAAAGCCCACAAAAGCCTATGGCAATGCTGAGTACTGCGGTTTCTAGCAACATGCTAGGTAAAATGGCGAAAATGGAAGGATTCCACTTTCAAGAAACCCTCACCGGTTTCAAATGGCTAGGTAACGCCGCGAAGAGGCTCGAAGCCGAAGGATATGATGTACCCTTTGCCTTTGAGGAAGCTTTAGGTTACATGTTTTGCAAAGTATGTTACGATAAGGACGGCCTAACTGCAGCAATGGTTTTTTTGGCTGCCCAAGCACAATGGAAAAAGCAAGGCCTGAACCCATTTACCAAACTACAGCAGCTATATGAGACCTATGGATATCACGAGACGTTAAACACCTACTTTGTCTCCTCTGATCCTAGCATTAGCGCTAATTTATTCCAATGCATTCGGGGCTTCCTCGAAGACAAACGCAAGTCCATCGGCAAATTTCCAGTCATCCGGTGGCGAGATGTCAGCAATGGTCTCGATACAGGCGCCCCAAATAATACCCCGGAATTACCTATTGACTCGACCTCCCAAATGCTTACAGTTTGGTCCGATCACGGTCTGCGATTCACGCTCCGGTCCTCAGGCACAGAGCCGAAAGTTAAGAGTAAGCATTTGCCTCAATAACTAAACTACAACCAAGACTAATATCTTGTTGTGCTAGTTTATATCGAAAGTTGTTGTCCAGCACGTGAAGATGCAGTGGCTGCTGTCTGTGAGGTGTTCTCTGCAGTTCTGATGGACTGGATTAGACCATTTGCACCCAATATGACTTATGCCCCTACTGTGACAACTTCCTCTGGTCATATCTTCACTATACCTTGATTAGCACCCGACTTATTGTTAAAACAAATACTATTTGGTGGTTAGGTCTTACTTTTCTGCTGAAGGTCCAGCTCAATATGTCCGCAAGGCGATCCTTACACGTGGTATCAAGTGCAAGCGTGTGATCTTCTCCCAAGCAATCAGCTTCATTGTCTCGGAAAAGCGCATTAGCCCGGAGTCTAGACTTGGGTTATCCTACCATTCAAGCAGACCTCAAGTTGGGCCACTACTGAAATGGTTCCACAAAAGCAAACAAAAGATGTTTGATGAATTCGTTGTCTCGAATCTTCTCTCCACTACTGGCATGAAAAGAGACGCAGAAATAGCCTCATGTTTAGAGTCTTAGACACTTCTTCATATTTAAAGGCGCAACATCTTCGCAACTTTTGTCAGTCATTCTTCACACGGAAATTCAAGGCTTTTTACGAACGCCCCCTTATTTTGTGACATAGGGAAGAGACTGGTCCAGTTGACTGGTTCTCCCGTTTTTGACCTACGCGCTGCATCTATTTACGATCTGGGGTGATAGTATTTATACCGTCCATTCGTCAGCAAGCAATGCCAAAATTCGGTGGTCGAGAAGCCTTTGTTCGTGCTGCCCGGAAACGGGAGCAGAAAAGTTTCCAGATGGCGTACCCCAGTTTCGATCTCTCTGGAGTCGTTTACGATGATAATATCCATCCAGGAATCTTTGACGATACATCAAGGTTTATCCGAGGTCTCAAACAGCAAGGCTTTTTTCTGTACGTGGCCCTTCCCCATTTTGTTCATTCGTCTTGAAGACATAGAGCATGAACAGGAGCTAACAATGGAAGTTAATAGTCAACTAGTCGATGATCTAGACGCAAATTATGACAGCGATGATGGTTCTGACAGTGACGACGAGATAACACATCGCGAGATGCATCGCCGAAGAGGCCGTGGGGAGAGCCGACGCCAGCAGAACTACCACGTCCATTACCACACTCACGGAGCAGACAACAATAACGCGATTTCGCCTCCTCTGCCACTATGCCAGCAATCTGGTTATACAGATGCCCCAGCGATGCTTCTAGGCTTGTCCCTTCCGCGACGAAACGGTGGTTTAGCTCTGGAAGCACCCACGCCGGTGCCCAATGCGTCCAATCTTAACTGGCCTTCTCCGCATCAAAGCAGCCATATAATCCCAAGGAGGATATTTCCCGCCGGTTTCAACTATCAGAGGATGGTGGATGGGAGAATTTGACTAGTATAATTGTATTGATGATATGTTTGGTGCCCGGGTTTGCAATATGCATTATCAGTTCTTTTTGGATATTGATATCCATAGTTGGACCTGTGTAAACACATTGTTTGCAATTAGCCTTTAGGGAGCTCTTGATATTACACCTTTATAAATTTGCAATTTGAAGAAGCATGTAGGAGCTTCAATCACAAGAGCTCTTATTAGGGGATAACCAAGAACTCCCGAGTGCACCAGAAGCCAAGGACATTAGGCAGCCGCAATTCTTTTTTTAGTCTTCAGGCTTCACCTTTCAGTGTTCACCAGCCTAAGATATCTCTAGCAAACACGATTTGCTATAGTTATGCCATTAATTGAGAAAACAATCGAGCTTTTAACAAATGCCATGCGACTCGGGCCCCAAACCATGGCTCTACCAGATCCCTAAAAAGTCCAGAAACGGCTGTCAACAATGCAAAAAGCGAAAAGTGAAGGTTGTTCTGACACGCTCTCTCTCATAATCTCCAATTTGCCTAAGCTGATAGACGATTGACAGTGCGACGAACAAGGACCTCGATGCAGGAATTGCAAGTACCGCAAGACGCGATGCAGCTTCGAGTCCTTGTGGGCTTTTGAGCCGTGCTCTGGTCCATCAACACCAGGCGCATGCTCTATGTCGACTGCTGTCATGGTGGCGCATAGGCCAGAAGCTACGCAGGCTCTAGGGAGCCAACGAAGGAGTTTCTATATCCTATCTCCTCCACGACCCAACCCTGTATCATCTGGGGACCTCGAGCTGATGTATCACTACACCACCGTCGCCTTCTTATCATTTGTCGACTACGAAGTATATAGGCGTGCATGGGAAGTCGACGTCCCTCGAGAAGCGCAGTCTCAACGATTTTTGATGCACATCATCCTCGCCATATCGGCCCTACATATTAGCCACCTATCCTCCTCAAATCATGCACACGCCCTATCTTACAAAGAGACGGCGCAGAAACACTATAATGCCGCAGTCACAGTATTCCGCTCCACCGTACCTATAATATCAGTATCGAATACCAGTGCCGTCTTTGCCTTTTCACACTTGAGCATATTCTTCGCTTTCGGGTCGTCTCATTTTTCCAGTAGCTGCAAACAGCTTCAAGACCCAGTTGGCGAACTTTTGGACATTTTTATCCTTCTCAGGAAGGCCATGGCAACCCTAAGGCTAGCCTGGGATTCGCTTGAGGAAAGCTCACTTGGAATCCTGTTACAGCGTGGACCGCAAATAACAGATCGTCGATACCTTCCAGCAGAGACAGCCATGGCGCTTGAGCTCATGGAACAACACTGCCTGCAACTAGTCTCATCAAACTCAGCCGAATCTCGGCTGAATCGAACTTATGAAACGGCTATCGATCAGCTCTGGGATTCGTTCGTCATGGCGCAGACCAAGAGGAAGGATTGGTCCATGGCGTTGAGATTCCCTATCATATTTCCGGATCAGCTGCTCTCCTTCCTGGAACGGAGGGATCCTGCTGCTCTACTATTGTTGGCGCACTTCTGTATAATCCTATACAGGGCACCTACACGTTGGTGGGCTGAAGGTTGGAGTGTCCAGGCTATCGGGGCGATATTTGAGAGCATTCCCCAAAATCTGAGGTACATGATATCATGGCCGATGAAGGTAGTTGGGCTAGATCTAGAAACGCGAATACATTGAGCATATTTCGATAGAGCTTGTATTTTCATCACTATCATTTCTGCTACATATTGTTTTGGACTGCAAGTTTGAAAACTACTTGAAAAAGATTGCAAAGATCTATACTAGACTTGGATACTATCTCAGAGTAACCCAAATCAAAGGCACACGCTTTCTAACCCTCAGTTATTCTTCCGTCCAACAATTTGCCTCGCCTTTCCATACAAGCCAAAAGGAAACCAAGACAATCAACGGATTCGAATGAAAATCAACTCAATCCCCCTCCGGACACAGATTCTCCCTGTCGTTACTGTGACGTGGACGATTCAACATGCTAAACATTTTGTTTCTTGTAGGATACGCCGTTCGTCAAGCAAGGCCCCTGGTGGCAATGGCGTGTCGTGCGTATGCTGTCTCAGTAAAGGAAGTAGGACGAGTATTGGGAATTATATCGCGGACTCTCGTTAACTTGACACTTTCAGGTTGTCTTTCCAGATCAACGGAGTTTAAGCTCTTTTCTCCCCTCAGGAGCTCCGAGATCTCTCGTGGATGTACGATATTCAGCAAAAGCATGAGGATCCACATCAGTGCAGCGTCAAAAATGTATAGATAGATCTCTCGGCTCAAGAGTTCGCCATCAGACCCTTGCACATACTCAATGACTCTGAACACCGATCGTACCATAATGAGGAAAGATGCGATATAGAGTCCGAAAAGGTGTTTTCTCCACGAAAAATGGATGGATAAGGACGTTGTCGTCGGATTTGCACTCATTCGTCGGTGGAAGATGATTGATGCAAATGTGAAGAAGCCGAAAAATAGAAGCTGGATCACCAAACCAACAATGATAATCTTTTGGCCAAGAGAAAGGTTTGAGGGCGTCCCGCTGTACATGACACCGCCGCCTGGTCTGTGGTTAGTTTTCGAGTTCCTACGTTCTCTAGATGAGGGGTGGCTTACCGATGCCTTGCACAATAAAGGATAAGATATCGCCGGTCACAAATATTTTAGTCATCCAAGTCCTCCTCACAATGGAAAATCTGTCCGCGTGAAGAGCTGCGATAAGACGACCCAGTACCATATATATTGAGGCAGCGAAAAGGGCTGGAGCCAGGAGCAAGAATAGTGACTGGATGATGTATGGGGTATCTTTGAATAGCGGAGCCTGAGTGCTGGAGATAATTCGAGCACTGTAGCCTACTATCTCGACTGTGTGGAGGAGTGAGAATCGATTATTTCCATGAAAGGACATTGAATGACCTACAAATACCCCCTAACGCAATCGGGATGAAGAACCACACGCGGGATTTTATAATTTGAAAAGTATGAAAGCCCGAGGTTGAAAGAAAGAGGACAATAAATAAAATCGCGGCCGTTTTCGAAGGGGTATATTTGTAGAAATCATGAAACTCGGCGTCGTCCGCCATGTCGAGAACACTGTGCTGGAAGAGATGCTAGATATGCAATTGAGAGAAGTGGTAGTAAGTTCAATACTGAACATAAAGCGGAGAGAGGGCTCATCCAAGCAGCTCTTATACAGAGCGTGGGAGGGGAAGGAAGCTGCAACGCAGGAGCCTTCATGAATGCGACGACGCAATCATGATTGCGCGTCCGTTGCCCATGAGGTTCCAGTACACTAAAAGCTCAGCCTTCTACAGCCAGCACATATTCTTCCTTGGGCGCATCACGGGCGCAACGCGAGCTGCAGATGGCATTCGGGTTTTCGGGATCTCAGGGGCCGCATTTAGAGTTTCGGGATCAGATCGTGTTCGGACACTAATCCAAATCGGTCCTAGTCTCGGGCCGATGAGGCTGAATAGTTCGCTGCTGGTTTGAGAACGCGTTGAGGATCAACCGGATATGAGCCTTCTCTCACACTTAGAAATCTCTGTGCAAAGATGATGCCCTAACCGAAAGAAGGCTTGAAGGGAAGTTGTCTCAAAGATCCAAAAAAATCCCTTTCTCACCCTTGGAAAGTCAAAAGGGAGCTTGCTCTGAACACGCAAGTTTGTCTGAAATCCATTTGCTGTCTGCTGCTTTTCTGTCTTTCTCATTTGTCCAGTCACTCTTGAGAGTCATGGGAATTTGTTTCATCTTCAACACAGCTTCTCTTGCCCCCCGGGGTTGTTCTATTAACATTCGAGCTCGACACCGAAATGTAAAGATGGGCACCCGCATCCATCTTAAGAGTATGAAATAATTTGATTTCGACTCAAGTTTCAGAGAGTAGATGTCACAGATCCCCAAAGACGCTGGAGATACCTCTACTTAGGTGAGCAGTAAATGTGGCTTGTTCCAAGGTAGTCATGAAGGTTGAAGCTTTGAATGACCTTCCAAGGTCAAATTTGATGCCATATCATGGAACAGACTGTGAATCAAAAGCTTTCGTTTCCTCTGCCTATGAGCTCGAGAACTTACTTTCTCATACGGCCATCAGAGTACTGCCATTGCAGAAGACAGTAGCTGCTGTAAAACTAGCCGAATGACTGGACAGAAGCTAAAAGTCCGGCTGCAGTCAATGGCGGGCAAAAGAGGTAGCTAGCCCATATTTCATGGAAGAGAGCGATTCTTCATCGGCCTAGACAGGAATCGGGCAGCGGAATCGCCGGGGAGATGCAACACGTCTAGGCTAGCAACCTGGAATCCTTTGTAGGCAACAACAGTACACTTTGCACAGATTTGATCGCGCGTATTAGGTAGTCTCCCACAAAAGAGGCCTGATTCGCCCATAAGAAGCATATTCCAAGGCAACGTGGAGTGGAGAGTTATGATGCAGTTCTCAACAGCATCAGGCCATTTCCTAGGAAATCACCACACTGAGCAGGATGATTCCCACTAGGTACGTAAGTATTGAAGTCAGATCCAGTGCATTTGCATCTCAGACGATGTCTAGGTATTATCGAGGGAGAAGCTCACGAGCGTTTGTTCAGTTCATGGGGAGGGGAACGGACGGAACGAGACGGTTTTCAGCAGGTTGCGAAAGGGTGCTTGAATAGTATCTTCTCTCTTGATCAAGAATCGGTGATATATCTTTTCGCATTCTGGTCGAATGTAATTAGCCGTTAATGTCGAGAGTTTGACGGTCCAAGATGGAGATCTTGAACGGCAAGTCGTGGTTTCCAAGCCAACTTGGCGACTCGAAACCTCCAGCAATCAGGCATTAGTTAGCAAGGTCGCACATGCACCCAACTATCTGCCGACCTAGGATGCTGACACTCCTTTCGAGCTGCGGAACCGGCTTGCAATGGAGAAATATTCTCAATTTCGCGATCGAGGTAAGCTACCGCCCGTCTTGTCACCTCGAAGCCCGCATTGCTAAATCTCCTGGCAGCCTCGGGCATCGCGCCATTTCTTCCGGTTGTCGGCCAGGTGCAGCCATTGACGCTGGCTGTGAAACTTGTTCTCTTTTCCATTCGGCTTCCTCTTCTCGTCTTCGTTCTATTCGCATACTTTGGCATTTTCCAATGGCTTCCCGTTGGACCTTTGGGCAAGAAAATTGGTCTATGGAGCATCGCGACTGTTGCTGGTGTATGGTGGGCTGACCTTCACATTGACGGGGTCAAGAAAGGGTATAACAAATTCACAACCCTTTCCATTTGATGCGCAACTAGTTATGTAGTTACTAACTTGCTCTGTGTGCGCTCGCTAGATCTCTCTCACGACAACATCCCGATCGACTTCCTCAACCAGGATCTATCATAGCCTCTTCATTCACATCCCCCGTTGACTCGCTTTATCTTGCTGCCGTGTTTAACCCGATATTCACAATTTCGTATCCTTCTACGCGAAAAGTACGCCGCATTTCCGTTCTCCAAGCCATCCTACGCGCGTTTTCCGCTCCGGAAACGCAACCTTCAGCCACCGACCTCACAGACCTCTCAGCCCTCTTACGGCAATATCCTCATCACTGCATTGTTATATTCCCAGAATGCACCACTACCAACGGGAAGGGCATATTACAACTCAGCCCTTCGATGGTGTCCGCCCCCGCTGGTGCCAAAATTTTCCCCGTTAGCATCCGTTATACTCCCGCCGATATCACATCGCCGATTCCAAACTCCTACCTCAGCTTCCTTTGGAACCTGTTAAGTCAATTAACTCATTCCATGCGAGTCAGGATTGCGGAAGCCATCGTTGTTGGAGAGAGTGGTTCGGATAGTATCGCATTTGATGACCAACAAACTTTGCTCACTCATGTTGGGGATGCGTTGGCAAGATTGGGCCGTGTGAAGCGAGTGGGCTTCGGAGTTAGGGAGAAGCAGGAATTTATCAAAGTATGGTCTAGGAATAGAAAGGGCATATTAGGCTAAATGACCGGCGCACCTCGTTGATTGCCCTCGAACTTCGTCTGTCCTGACAGCAACGATCCAAGCCCCCTTGGCGGCTATTATCATTGATACCCTGCTGAATATGAGTTTTCATGCCGTATGAAAGCATGTTGCGCTATACTTGCACTATGGATGCTTGCATAGTAACGCAACATTCGATATTCCTTCTTTACGAATTATAAAACAATGATGGATTCGATCCTTTCCTCTTGCTACTTTTCATTATCATCTTCGTTTGTTCTCGAACCGCCGGTTATCATCCTAATCCCTGACGAGGCCAATGTGAAGATCACAGCAAAGCGCCGAGCAGTTGGGGACCTTGATAGAGAAGCGGCGAGCTCGGTTTGAAAGCTACCCTGGACTACTAATATAGGCATCCAATCATAACTTACCCATTATAATGTATGTACCTTAGGAGAAAGCCTGTGGACATGGCACCTGGGTCTGGCGACAAGAATATTCCACGCTGCATTAAGGGAGACACAGTAACTTGTGGGCTATATAAGTATGCTTGCGTGCCCATGCAATGGCCGGGCTTTTTTTCTTTACGACCGTTTTCTCAGTTCCGTAGCCTTTTACTGTACTCCAAGCACATATTTTGCGGTTGACTGGTAACTGGGGGATCACAATGGGTATAACCTCAAAAGAAGGTACCGTACCAACGCCCGACGGAGACCGGGGACAGGCTGGGAGTACAGACCTTCGGCAGCTCCCTGTTACCTTGCTTTCAGGCTTTCTGGTAAGTGCGCCATCCACAGGGACAAACCGTGAGTTTTAACACATTGAATTTAGGGTAGCGGAAAGACGACTCTCCTAGAGCATATCCTCAATTCGCCAGATCATGGCCTTAGGATAGCTGTTATCGTCAACGATATGAGCAAGTCAGTTCTTAAGTTACTACTAACCTTTAATGTCTCCTGCCTTAAACTGAACGGGCGGTTTGTATAGGCTCAACATCGACGCTGCTCTCATCACCCACCACAAGGTATCCCAGACCAAGGAGAAGCTGATACAGCTCCAGAATGGCTGCATCTGCTGCACTCTTCGTGGTGATTTGCTCTCGGAGCTTGCGCGTTTGGCGAAGAGAAAAGAAGTGGAATATGTTGTCATTGAGAGCACCGGAATCAGCGAGCCGATGCAGGTGGCGGAGACATTCACTGCAGAATTTAGCGCTGCCATGCTTGAAGCTGAAGACCAGATCACAGACACTGACGAAGATAGTAAGAAGATTCTTTCTGAGATGTATGCCTGGACGTCCCGACCACCCCCTTAGACCGCGTTGTTAATTGGGCTCGTTAGTGCGGAGTTAGGAGGGCTTCACACGGTAGCAAGCCTTGACACGACGGTCACGGTGATCGATGCGTTCAATCTTTTATCAAACTTAGACACCGCTGAGTTTCTTTCCGATCGATATGGTTCTCAGGAGATCGTCCCGGAGGATGAACGCACCATCTCCGATCTCATGGTCGATCAAATCGAATTTGCTGATGTTATTATCATCAACAAAATCGAAACCGTGAACGAAGATAATTGCCGTCGAATAAAGCAGTTGGTCAATTTGTTGAACCCAGATGCAAGGGTCTTGCAATCGAGTTATTCGAAAATCGATGTGCGAGAAATCATTGGAACGAAACGCTTCGACTTTCTCAAAGCGGCTTCAGGGGCAGGATGGCTGAGAAGCTTGCATGAAATGACAATCATGAACACTGGCCAAGGGAAGAGGCTTGCACCCAAACCAGAGACATTGGAGTAGGTTTCCTTTTCTCTGCTTCCCTGGGCCCCATCGGCCTCAAAAATCTATATCGCACGCGCTAAATGCTTCTAGGTATGGAATCAACAACTTCGTATATTGTGCCCGGAAGCCATTTCATCCACGTCGGCTTTTTGCTCTCCTTTACGACAAATTTATCCTCCTTCAACAAAAGGAAGAGGATGACGAGGATGACGACAATGATGAAAATCCAGACGAAGGATCCGGGGAAGAAATGGAACTCGATGAGAACGGTCTCGTATCCCAGAACGTCGATGAGGAAATGGAAACAAAACCCATACAAGATTTCGAACAACCCGAACCCGCCGTTATCCTCGCAAATAAACGCGCACACGCATTTGGACCCGTACTCCGTTCGAAAGGGTTCTTCTGGCTAGCAACTCGCCCACTTCAGTTCGGAGAATGGAGCCAAGCCGGTGGAATGCTAACAGTCAGCTGTGGAGGCCCCTGGTTTGCCGAAGTACCCGATGAACATTGGCCAGAGGATCAAGACGTCCGCAAGGCTATCCAGAATGATTTTCAGGGCCGATGGGGTGACCGACGACAAGAACTTGTATTCGTCGGGGAAGGGGTCGATGTGGAGAAGATAACTGCTCTGCTGGATGAATGTCTGTTGGATGACGCCGATATGGCCAGGTGGGAAAGGGTTATGGGAAATAAACGAATGTCGGTAGAGGAAAAAGCGGAGAAATTGGCGACGATGTGGGAAGATGGCTGGGAAGACTGGCCTCCATTTGAGATTGAGGATGAGGATGAGCAAGTCATGCTAGAGAAGGGGAAAGAAGAAAAGCACAAGCACAAGCACCATGCCAGCGACTATTTCGGTCCTGCGAAAGGCAATGATAAACACGCGCATCACCGACATCGCTCCCATATAACGAATGGTAGCAAGAAATCCATCATAGTCTGAAAAGGATAGTATAATTTAAAGTGTAGCTTCTGCTCTCCATAGAACTGCTTTTCCCTGGCAATTTGGCTCTTACATCTAGACAGTTGGTCGTATTGTGAACTCCAGGGTCTGGTTCTGGGTATCATCAGTACCATTTGAAAAAGTTGCAGCTTTATTACTTATAGGCCAACACAAGATCCAGAAAGGAAACCATCTCCCTGGATGAGAAGGAAAGAGATAGTTCGCCCGGGAGCCCCCTTATATTTCACCCGACCCCATGCTAGGTGTCGCATACAAATGCCCAAGGCAGTCCTATTTGTTATTCGCGAACACATTCCTCTCGGCCAGTTGCTGTTGCCTTCTCAATGTTACTCTCCGTAAGCATCACTTCTGGAGGTCGGGCCGTCAGAGCCGCCCCTTTTCTCCCAATCACATACCATGGCAGGCTGAACAGCTCGTCCATGGCTTCTAGCGACTTCCCAGCGGTCTCGGGAAGGAAAAACCACATCCAAAGTAGGCCGAGCATGGTGACAGCTGCAAAGAAAAAGAAAGTCCCTTGCGGTTTCATCGCCGTGTCGAGAAGCAGGGTTGGAACGGCTTTATTCAGACCACTGTGATGAAGATTCAAGCGTTAATCAGGAGGTGTATTCCCCGTGAATTTTGCTTAGACAGGACAAGACCACTTACTATTGATTTGCAAAGTGGAAACACATCACCATCGACGTCCCCAAAGCTCTCACACGAAGCGGGAAGATTTCTGCGTTGATCAGGTACTGAATGCTATTCCATCCAAGTGCCCATCCCACGCCAGAAATGTAGATCGACACTATGGCTGCAGTCCCGGCCCTTTTCGAATTACCTTCGGGTGTTTCGTGATTTCTAACGCCCGGCACGACTGCTAGATAAATTGCCACATAGAGCATGCTCAAAAACTGCATGATGATGCCATAAGTCAAAGCTCGCTTCCGCCCTAGGAGGTCAACCAGAAAGAGAGCGCAAACGATTGAAGCAACCAGCTTTACAACGCCAAATATCGCGGTTGCAAAAAGTTTCTCTGACTGTCCCTCAGTGCCTAACATGGCAAAGAATTGCGGCGCGTAGATTGTAATACTGGTCGCTCCAGACCACTGACTAAGTAGTTGCGACATTAACCCAACCATGATACGATATCGGTTCGAGGGGATGAAAAAGAGCTCTTTCAGGGGGCCTAGCCAGTGAAAGCCCAGCGTGGCTTCTCGCTCACGTTCGAGTTGCTCGTGGATGTCGTTCATTTCAGTTTGAACGTATGGGTGGCTGGGAGAAAGGTTCCGGATCTTTGCCATTATTCTGTGCGCTTCTTCATTCTTGCCTATCTTTGCTAGATATCGCGGAGATTCCTCGACTCCAAAAGAAAACAGAAAGATCAGTCCGGCGAACATTATATGGATAGAAGTTGGTACGAGCTATAAAAATGCTGGATGGTCAGCAACTAAGCAACTTAACTAGCTCGGTGATCAACATATCAGGATCCCCATACCCATTCTTTCTGAGACTGATCGCTGATATGGAGCGAACTTCCCCAGTTGGCAAAATAAGCAGTCACAATCGCAAGATATACAGAACCCGAGAATGCACATGTGCAAAGGCCGCGAATCGCTTTGGGTGAAACCTCCGCTAGGTATGTTGGCCCAACGACGGTTGTTTGACCGACACCTATTCCAGCAATAAGTCGACCAGCGTGTACCTGGCCCAATCGACCGTTCGCCGTCATGTATATGGCAACTCCGGCGGCCCATACGATGCATAATTGTCGTGTAGCCCAAATGCGACCAATTCGATCAGTAATAAGGAAAGCTCTACACCGATTAGTTTCCCATTTCAAAGTTGAAGCTGCCTCTCGAGGAACCTACATCAAGGCGCCACCAATACTTCCAATCTGAACCATAGCGGTAATGTTTCCAAGTCTGTTTGCCTGCTCTGCCTTACTCAGATTCGGGTCGTTCAAGCCGTACTTGGAAGCGAAGGATTTTTGCTGAGTTGTCCCACCAATTAAGCCCTCGTCGATTCCTAAGGACAGTCGTTTAGATAATGTGCAGTGTACGATCAGGTTTATGGACCACCTACCTCTACTTGCGCCCATTAATCCAAAGCATAGGACAGCCATACCCAGTCGCCAATTCAGAGCTTCGCGGGGGGTATCCCCTAGGGTTTGCTTGAAGATATTCGGCATTTTTGAACCCCTATTCACGTTGTCGGCGCTGTTAATGTCAAATTGTAACATGAACAGCAGAAAGGGAAAAATATTGCCGCCATTGCAGTTAGTTATAGGCGTGTCGGCCTTAGAAGAATGCTTGACAGGCTTGTGATACACAGTGTAGATCCCTAGCGAATAATTCCAGAATCGGGCCAGTTATGTTTCACAGACACGATGAACTTCGGACGATCTGGACAGAGACCCATAGCTATTGAGATCGAAACAGATTGAAAATATCTTGATGTTGTCAGCAGAGGGACATTAAAGATTTGACTACCCGAGCAACGGGCGAATTCCGATCCTGAATTCATCTCAAGCGCTCGTTGTTGATTGAGGCAATCTTCATCGCTTGTATCTAGTCATTGCACCGTCATTATCCGAATGGACGGTGATTTGAGGTTGCATTGCGATGGTAGTCAAACGAAGATTTCAAAAAGTCTGTACTCCGTAGAACTTGAGAAGGTGGTTGCCTGTGTCACTTGGTCAGCTTGACCTGAGGAACCATGAGTCTCGACTGACTGCTCTGTATAAATCTACCACTGGCTCTATTCTGACTATTGTGTTGTCAATATAGGATCCGCATCAACTGGACCTAGCTCTTGAGGAACGATACCGTTCACAGCACCTGGAAAGTTCCTAGAGAAAGGTCAAGTTCAGCCCAGTGTCTACTCAAGGAGCAAAGGCCCCAAGCTCCTTTTCCCGCACTAGGAACCGCGCAAAACATTACAACAAGCAATTCAAATCTCGGGTCAAAGAAGGTGTTATTCATCATTGAAGTCGTTAAGGTCAAGACGCCGTACCAATATATCAAGGCTGGAAACGGAAAGAATTATCCACAGCTCCCGACCAAGCCGGATATTCGATCCAGATGATACATCAAGATAGACGAGTGCTAATGTGAAATAGAAAGTGAATCGGGGAAATCCAACCACAGCAAATCCGCTTAAAACTAGATAAACCAGTGTGACACGTCAAAAATGATGCGACATTCCACCAAACAAATTATGCGTCCCGCACTTTAGTTTGCCTTTTGGCTGTTCCAATATGTGTATTATGCACCTTGGTTGCAAATCGAAGACTAGTCAGGGTTTCGTTAAGATGCTCCTGCCGAGGACTGACCATCACAAACATAAGGGTTTTGGAATTGCCTCCCAAGGAAAATTGAAGTAAATAGGTGAGCTACGAAGAGGGAATGGTTAGTCGAAGCCCTGGCAAAAGCTATGGAAAAGTCTAGCCGGAGTGCTTACTTTGCTGTTACGATAAGGTATGTGGCCACCTTCTTTGCCTTGGCCAAGGGCGCCGATAACATCACCAAGACAGCTTAGGCTGCGGTTGATATTCTGGGTTTCTCTCAACCTGTCTCCTGTTGCTCCGCTGTGGCTAAGCCGCTCACTCCCAGCGAGATCCACCAGATTGAGAGTGCCCTCGCTTCGTTCCCCGGTGATGGCGTTCTCACCGATCAACTTTAATATAAACACTGAATGCGACCGAGAAGATCGCCAATTTGCCTTGGTGGCAGCAACGGATCGGTTCGCCGCAGCCTGGCAAAGCATGGACTCGACTGTTGCCGGTGAGTCCAATGTGACAGTCGTCACGTTGGTGATTGTCGTTTCGTGCTTTTGCATATCGTGACGGATCTCATGTTTCTTTTTGTCAAACTCTTCTGCCTTTCCAAGCAAGTCATTGAGGTTTTCATTGTATACTTCCACAAAGTTTCCTTGCATCGTGTATTTCCATCCCTTTTCTTCGAGATCTGCCGCTGTTTCATATATTTGGGTAACTGCGCGGGGTATCATACCATCTTCTGATGACATAGTGTGCGTCTTACCGCTTCCTGTTTGTCCGTAACAAAATATACAGACATTATAGCCATCCAAGGCGCTTTGGACGAGCTGGCTTATTTCCTCAAAAACATCAGGATTCTGAGAAGATGGACCGAACACGTGGTCAAAAGAAAAGGAATAACTCTTGGTTGTAATATTTCCAAGGCTGTTCTTTTCCTCTGGGCCCTGCAGTGAGATTTCCTTTCCATCGGCGTCGTAATCTGGGAACTGAATCCTCGCTGCACTCTCGGTGGGTTCTGCGTCTAACAGTGGTCTCACTCGACACATGACTCGAATATTTCCCCTCAGTTCCTGTACCTGGTTATGGAGCTTTCTTCGCAAGGTCTCCTCTTTTCGTAATTTCTCCCGTATCGCGTTCGTTTCGGCCAGGGCATCGCTGAGCTGCTGATCAAGTCTTCCAAAGGCGTCAGACTGCTCCTTGTTTCCCGATTCAAGGAACTCGATACGCGCTTTCAAGGCGCGAGTTGAGGACTCTAACGTTACGGCGTTCGCGTTCGCGAGAACCAGGTTTTGCTGTAACTCTTTATTCATCATGCATTCTCTGTCCAGGTCGTTCTGGAGCCTCTGGGTTTCCTCTTTCAGAAGCCTAATTTCACGCTCCCTATTCTCAACGTCAATCTGGCCGCGTTGTCGTTCCATGGCAGAATCCGAGTTCATTTGTCTCAGCTCGCGTAAGCGAGACTCTCGTTCTTCTTCCAACTGAGATTCCAGACGGCGTTGCAGGCTGCACATTTCCTCTTGGTGTTTTTGATTGATCATATCTATTTGGTTTTTGACTTCATATCGCATTGTCTCGGTGTCCATCCGGTGGCGGCGGTCAGCATCATCAAGCGCAATTTCGCTTTCGCGAACGGCGTCTTTCCATTTCGATTCGGTACTTTCGAGCCGCAATTTGAATGAATCGACATCTACGCGGAGGTTCACATTCTGCTCCGTAAGCTCTGTCTTTTGCTGCTCCAGCTCCTGGACTAAATCCATTCCCCGTTAGTACTAGTCAGCGGAAGGGTAACAACAAAGGGATTCATACTTCGAGATTTGTAGAGTTCTACTGCTTCTTGCAGCCCGGTGCTATGGGAAGTCGAGTCTTTAATTTGATGCATGAATCGCCCAAACATCGCTTCGAACGTTTCTTCTTTTTCATCTTGGTCCCAACCTTGAACATGAGAATAACGTGTCAGATACCGGTTGACCTTCAAAGGAGTACGGCGCGAGTGTCTTCTTGAGGATCTAAAGGAGGATGCAATAGATGGAGTAGGAAAAACAACAGCAGAAGAAGGGATAAATTTTGGAGGAGAGGTGCGACAGGGGAGCCTCGATACTGGTGACCGGTTTGATCGGTCCCCAGACGCTGGCACGCCTGAAGTGCTTTTGGAGTACACGGAGAGATTTTTGACGGCATCGCAGAGTACATCAATGTTGGGAGTCCTGTTGTCTGGGGTTCTCAAAGAGCTCGACCAGTTTGAGTTATAACTCATTTGGTTGTCACGGCTCTGTCGAGACACTGGTGTCATAGGCATTGTGGAGAAAGAAGACTGCGCGAGGGGAATAGGTTTCGCACCCTTTCGTTTCCCTGAAGTATCACCAGGTTTCTTCGGCTGATGTGCATCCATCGAGGTGGCAGGGCGAGCGGATGGGTGCCTTCCAGTAGAGGCATATCCAAAGGAAGTTTTCGGACGGGCAACACCCCGCCCGGGGGGAACTGCAGCGGACGAGGTTGAGCTTCGCGTAACATGGTGTGAGGCTAACGAGGCATTGCGGACGTTTTGATTGGGCGCAATGGACGGGATGTTCGAGGTGGACCTAGCAAATGAGCCAACTGATTTGGAGGCGTAATGGCTTGGTTTGGTTCTCGTCGGAGAACTCAACGGCTTTCGCTTAGAGGTCGCGGCAGTGGCTGTCAATTTATCAGTTATCATCGGCCAGGAAGCTATGTCACATAAAACCACGTACACGTAGATTCAGCCTGTTTTCTTTTCAAAAGGCCGTTGGGAGGTGGAATAGGCACGGACGCGTTGTTAGTGGCGGTAGTAATATCAGTAAAGGTGCCTCTCGTCTGGCTTCTCGTCAGGCGGGGAATAGCCGAAGACTGGGAGAGGTTAAGTATTGGTTAGTTCCATAGAAGGCAGCAGCGTCCAAATTGAAAGGTCCGCCATACTCGAGATGCATTTTCTTCTCCATCCATGGCTCGAGAAGTCGACAAGGCCGTTGGGTCCAACCATCGAGGGGAGAGGTTCTCAGCGATAGGTAAAGGACAGCCGCAAACGCGTATGCTCGTTTCGTCAAGGCAGAAGTTGACGCACAATAGTGGCCGTATCCATTGGGCCTCGAGGATGGGGGGTGTCGCGGGGAGTCGTTGCGATGTAGCTGATGGATCAAGATCGAGGTGTTTGGAGGTTGATGTTGTTGTTTGGTTGTCGGGCCAAACAAACAGTGTAAACAAGACTGCATTCAGCTAGTCCAGATCAGGCTAGCCTGTATTAGGTAATTCTTGAGCGATGGATCGGCCCGATCGAAGCGAGCTTAACCTTCTCCACCTAACAATATTGAATAGGGGTCTACCTCCTTGCCACCACCAACAATCGATCGACGGAACAGAAAAAAGGGCTGCGAGACAAATGTAATGCGGCTAAAATTTAAGATGAGCCGGAAGGCCTTGAAGTACTTCGTAAGGAATAATGACAAACATTGATATAAAGTTCAATTTGAGAAGAGTCCAGAGCCTAGACAGTCACCACTTTCTCTACATCAAAATCACCAGCCTGCTTAAAGTAATACCCACGCTGATTGCTCACAATCCTCTTTGTATAGCCAGTTCCTTCCTCCGCCATAAAGTCGAAGTTGAAGTGCGTGTGCCCGAATGCCCACATGCATACATTGGCATTCCTCCAACACTCCTCCTCGCTCAAATCGCTGGCGAATCCAGAGCTAATGGGACTCCCAGAATGCACCGGGTCAATTGCTCTCGGGTCTTGCGTGATCGGGCTATGGTGAGTGAAAATCACAATCCTTCTTCGTGGCTCGGAATTCGATATGGTGGCCACTTGATCATTCAGCCACGCCAGGTCCGCTGCATGGGCATCGTTATGACTCGCGATAGTCCAGCCGTCAATGTAATAGAAGTCATTCAGGCCAAAACTGACTCTCTCTTCCTGCTCTGGGACAACATGCGAGTAGAGTGTACACCCAAGAACAGTCACCTCGTCAGAAACATCGTAGCGCGTCTGGTCCAAAAACACAAATTGCCCAAGGCCCAAGGTTGGGTCGCGTTCCGCGCGTTGAGCCACCTCCCGTGCAAACTCATTGAGTTGGCGTCTCACTTCGGCCCAGCTGGAGTGGAACGGCTCGTGATTCCCAAGAAGGAAAAGGACGGTGCGGAACTTGCGTAGCTGGGTTTCGATGAACGGGAAGAAGCCTGGGTCACGAATGTTGCCGATGTCTCCCAGTAGCGCGAGACAGGTGGCTTTGGCGGGAATGTCAAAGATGTCATATGCCGCAGGAGCTTCGAGATGGATGTCTGAGAGGACTTGAAAGGACACCATGTTGACGCGTCAAAAGGACACTGGACAGATGCTGCTCCCAGTGATGAAGAAACTAGTTCAGCCAACCATGGTCTGGAGACAAGCTAATAACTTCTGTAACAAAATTCGTAACTGAGATGAATGAAAGAGTCATGATAGTTGAGTTCATGATAGTTGAGTTCAACAAAGTTGAGATATTCATTGTGATTTGATACACATAGTTTACTGTTACTATTTCTTCTCTTGCGATAACGACACATGCTTGCAAATTAAACGCGTACCATGGCCATGAAATATGATAGTAATTATCCTAACGATCGGGCTAAGGTTGCAATCTGAGGGTCGACCTACTTAGACCTCAAGAGCATGCATCGCGAGATGTAACAGGGACACAAAAGGCTACTTTCAATATAAGTTAGCAAGGTAGGAGAGGCACTGTACGGATAGTTGCTATCTAATCTATACTATGATAAGAATATTTAGAGACGGAGAAGGACCCCCAAAGTGGGAATACAGGAGGAGCGGATGGAGTAGATCGCCAGACTCCCGTGATTCTTGAGATTTTTAATCCTGAGCGCAAGGCCTTTTGCTTTCATAGCATTGAACGGACTACATACGAAGTAGACTCTCCTGAACCATGCGGCTTCTCAATGCCCTCTCGTCCATCTGTAGCTTTATTTTCTCCTCTCGAACACCGCATCGTTATGTCCTTGTCTCCTTCCTTCTCCTCTACCTCCTACTCCTCCAGTATTGTCGACTGCACTACTATCGCGACCCGACCTCCTCGTTTTTCAACCCCAGCAAGGGATATGAGCCCATTTACTCCAGGTTCAGAATCTCTCAAGCGACTAGCTTTATCCGGCACATCGATGCAACGGCTAGTCCTCGAAATGGCACGGCTTCTGCAGGAAACAGCAGTGCAAGCCTCTGTGTTGGAATCGCCTCCATTGCTCGGACGGATGCAAGCTATGTCGAAGCGGCGGTCGGTTCCTTGCTCGTCGATCTTGCTCCACAGGAGCGTGATGATGTCCACCTGATCTTATTTATTCCTCACGTAGACCCGACTATCCACCCGCTGTTTGCGAGTAATTGGACGGCTGCGCTGGCAGACAAGATCCTATTGTATGACGTTGACAGTGATAAATTGGACCACCTGAGGCAATTGGAGAAGGAAGGTGGTTTATTCAGGGAAAAGGCTTTGTTCGATTATGTCTACCTTCTGAAGGCTTGCCAGGATGTTGGAACACCATATGTTGTGATGGTGGAGGATGATGTTGTCGCAATGGATGGATGGTACCATCGCACGAAAAGGGCGCTGGAGGATGCGGAACGGCAGACGCGTAGGCTGGGCGCTTCAAAATGTGAGCATTTGATCCTCATTCGAGTCCACTGTATTAACATTTCGAGAACAGATCTCTACCTTCGATTATTCTATACTCAAGGGCTGCTCGGGTGGAATAAGGAAGAATGGTTCACCTATCTCGTCTCCTCAGCCACTGCCGTTGCGATTCTTGCGGCCATACTTCTTATAACGCGACGGTACATCCCTTGCTCAGTCCGTATACTGTCGAATCAGGTTATCATAGTCCTCTGTTTGATCTGCGCGCCGCTCTGCATAATCCTATTTTTCGCCTCAGGCCGTTTGTCCATGCTGTCGACCCCGGCCGGGGTCCATCAAATGCCACGCTTTGGGTGTTGCTCCCAAGCTCTTGCATTTCCGCGCAACCGTGTTGCGGATGTGATATCGTGGTACGAGACGAAGCGAATTGGATTCGCGGACTCGTTGTTGGAGGAATACGCCAATGCCAACGATGAGATTAGATGGGCTTTAACGCCGAGCGTCTTCCAGCATGTTGGCGTAAAAAGCTCGAAACAAGACGGTCCTGGAGATGATATCGTCGCAAAGGAGACTTGGAACGTCGATTTTGAGTTGAATGATCCCATAGCGCTGCAGATTCAGCATGAAGTTTCTGCGAAGGCCATGCGGTAGGAGCTTGGATCTTGCTAACCATGGGCATAAAACTGAGGAATTGATTCCCATAGTAACCATAGTTACAGACTGTTGTTCTGCCACATGGAGCGTCAAACACTCAGGAGCGCTCACCTGATTTCCCTCCATAGCAACTAAGTGAACCAGTGATTTCACAAAAAGAAATGGTGAAGATTGGAACTGCCTGATGGTATTGAAAGCCTTTGGTGGAAATTGGACCGTGTCGTGAGATAGAAGATACAGGCAACAGTATAACTACAGCTCCAGCTTCGATCTTTCAGTTATACTCCATAAGGACCTGTTAATTTCTGATAGTTTCAAGTCCAAACCTGCTGGGCCCGTTCCGACATGGCGCTTATAACCAATTAAGGCAAGGTTTTACCATCTGTCCAGCAGATTTGATATTTGGTTTTTCATTTTCCTCTGGGAGAAGTTCTAACTGTCGTAGAACGGCTAAGAGCGAGCCATGCTTGATATATGACCCAATCGGGGAAACCATGACATAGGAGATGGAGGTTGTGATAAATCTCATCACTAATCGTAGAAAGATGCAAGCAGATATAGATATAGAGATAGGTACTCCGTATAAGAAGAACATTCGGTGTGCTGGACCGTATAGGCAGTCACTCAATAATAGCAACCTGTCTTAAGAGGCATAAGAAACTGGGGAGAACATAAGACAACAACAATGAGACTTAACAGCTCCATTAGACGTCAGTGAATATCACTTCGTGAGGCGAAAGCATGAGATCTTGATTGAGATGTCCAGATTAACTCCTTGGAAGGTCCTGAGATCTCAACCTTGCCAAGCCCGTGCTAAGTTGGGCTTCCTCATCGCCCATCCGCTCCTCTCCTCCTGGTCTCGACCTCCCTCTCCGGCTGTGTCCAGAGCATTCGCAGCGAAGAATTCGCATGAGAAGTGTTGTTGGTACAGGTGGTCAATTCTCTCAATTGAATTATTAGCGGACGCCATCCTCAGTTATCTGGTCGTTGTCAATCCCCCTCCCTGAAACGGCCCGCATCCATCGTGAAACTACACTGCAATTGAAGCCACTGTGTCGTGTGCTTCCTTTGTCCTCGCACTTCGAGCAAACTGTCCGCTTCACGGTCGTCGCTTTCTATAAGGTCCCAGCCTTTCAGCTCACAGCGCCATGGCGGGTCGCTTCGTTCGATCATCCAAATACCGTGCGTACCAATATCCCCCTGTTGGAAGTGTCCGCTGATGCCTGATTCTAACACTGTTTCTTTAGGCCACGTCTTTGGACGTTCTACGCGCAAAGTACGCAGTGTTTTTGCAGGCCTACTCCTCCTCCGTCCTTTACCGTGTGCTCACTACCTTAGGAACAATGCTATGACAATCTCCGCATTTCTACGAACGCTTGGGATACCAATCTCGTCAAGGTACGCCTTTACCGAAATCTTTGCTTACAGTCAGCTTCTAAACATACCCTGCTGCTTTGCAGGTAAACCCGCAATATCTTTCAGTTAATTGGGAAACGGCTGGCGGTGGTGCCTTCGCTGTTATTCCGACAAACGAAACCGGGAAGCTTCCCGAGCGATTCCCCCTTTTTCGCGGACATACTGCTGTAGTATTAGACACAGATTGGTTGGACCTCCCTGCAAATTCTCACGTTGTTACGCTTGCCTAACCCTCTTTTAGGAATCCATTCAACGATTCTTTGATCGCATCTAGCTCCGAAGATGGAAAGGTACATACATATATACATACAGCCGACCTCCAGTATTTACCATGTGCAGTTTCAGCTGATCTGCGCCTAGGTTTTCCTCTGGAGAGTGCCGGAAGGCTTTACTCTCCACACGGATGCTGAGCAAGTTACAGACATTGCGCCAATTGGAAAGCTAAGCGGCCATCCAAGGTACGACAATAGATCGCCGTGAAGCCAGACAACCGGGGCTAATATCTAGTTAGAAAAGTTGGACACGTCCTTTTTAATCCCGCGGCCGAAAATGTGCTCGCATCCGCGTCTGGCGACTTTTCCGTCAAAATCTGGGACATCGAAGCTGGATCTTCGAAACTCACGCTCAAGCTTGGGGACGTTGTCCAATCGTTGTCATGGAGTGCAAACGGCTCACTTTTGGTGACAACTTCCCGAGATAAAAAGCTAAGAATCTGGGACGTACGTCAAGAGAAACCCGTCCATGAAACCCAAGGCCACTCGGGCGCAAAGAATAGTCGAGCGGTGTGGATGGGAGAACATGATCGCATCGCTACCACAGGATTCTCGAAGATGAGTGATAGACAGCTAGCGTTGTGGGATGCTCGTGCTCCAAGAGAGCCAATCAACGGATTCAAAGTCCTTGATTCCATCTCTGGGGTTTGTGTACCGTACTGGGACGATGGTACCCAGTGTCTGTACCTGGCTGGAAAGGGGTAAGTGAATTCGAACGCGACTTGCCTTTTTCTCGAGCTCATTGAACTTTATTTTAGTGACGGCAATATTCGTTACTTTGAGTATGAAAACGACAAGTTCGAATATTTGTCCGAATATAAATCAAGCGACCCTCAGCGTGGCATTGGATTCATGCCTAAGCGTGGTGTTAATATGCACGAAAACGAAGTCGTTCGCGCATTCAAGACGGTAAACGACACCTACATTGAACCTATTTCATTTATTGTTCCTCGTCGAGCCGAGGTCTTCCAAGACGACATCTATCCACCAACAACCGGCATTAAACCAGCAATGTCATCTGGGGAATGGTTTGAAGGCAAGGAGGCCCTGCCCCCTAAAATTGACATGGCGAGCCTATATGAAGGAGAGGGCTTGAAGGAACTACCAGCAGATGCTGTTCCTGCACCGAAGAAGGCACCGGCAACTCCTGCAGCTCCCGCAGAACATCCTAAGGAGCAAGTACAGAAACCTCAAGAGGAGCAGGAAGCTAAACCGATTCGTCCAGCCGTTGTATCGCCTCCTCGTGACAATATGAAAGAACAGGGCGCTTCGATGGCTGCTATGGTCTCTAAATTCGCTGATGAAGAAGAGAAAGCGGACGACGCGGATGATAGCTCTAGCTTTGAAGAGGTTTCCAAACCGGTGGAACGCGCGCCGACGATTTCTGTTTCTGCCACTGATGCTCAACCCCTTTCTTCACCGCCCGGATTATGGAAGGCGAGAAAGCCCGAGGCGGCGAAGCCCATCCCATCAATTGCAAATGTAAGTCCAGTAATGGACCTTGTGATTCCGTTCCGCTTTACTCATGAACATGCTAACGAAGTTCAGCCCCCCCCATCCGTACACGTTCCAAACCTTCCCATTACCACCCCTGGCGTCGTAACCCCGACTGTAGATGATTTCTCGGCAATCTCCCGAGAACCCATTTTCAAAGAGATGGAGCAAATCAAAACCTTGCTCGCTGAACAGACCAAAGCCATGGCGGCCCAGGCCAAACAGATGGCCATCCTCGCTGCTGAGATTGATAGTCTGAAGGCAAAATTGGGCTAACGTCACATTGGCTGTGCACCCAGCGTGGGTTATCTTTGAACCAATGTTTTTCATATATTTTTCACCTGACGTATGAGCCCGCCCTTCTTTCCTTCTTCTTTTTCTGCCGCTTGGGTTTGTCTAGGAACCACGCATTTTTGCCTTGGAGTAGAATGACTCACCCGTTGGTTTTGCAGCGTATCATAACATGGTTCTTTGCAAATTCGCCTAGGAAATGTGTGTATACTTGTTCTGTATATCGTCTTCTGCACCCTGTTTCTTTAGCCTACTTCCCACCCTCATGTACCTATCATATGATCCCTGTTTGTTTCAATGATTTCTGAAGCATAAATAAGCACGCAAACTGAGGGATCTTGCTAGGGTATCACTCTTCACTTGTTGCATTGTTGTACAATACATACATAGCACTCGCCGTGGGAAAGGATAATGCACCACACCAGAATAGCAAGAATATATAAGATCAATCACCCCAGCCACCCATAGCATTTTATGGAATTAAATAAAAGCTGTCCACTGAAGCGTAGACCGTACGAGGTATCTAAGCTCCGTCATTCTCTTTAATAGGTATCCAAAAAAGTCAAGAGTAAACCTCAAGTGTCAAGGGTGCGAAACCCGGCAATGAATTTTTGAAATCCGATTATTAACCAAAGAAACGCTAGTTCAAACTCCCAAACTTTTCATTCCGTTAGTTAAGACACCATTAACAAGATATTCGTTGTTCTGCAAGTTCTTGGTGACTTCATCCAGTACACCAGCGCTCGCAGCAACGAAGCCGAGATACGGTTTGCTCGGAGAGAGGACGCGGGAGAGATATTCAGGGTGGAACTGGACGCCCACAAACCAAGGATGGTCCTTGAGCTCCACAACTTCCATTCTCTCACCCTTGTCGTCCCTTCCAATGAAATTAAGTCCGGCGTCCGAGAGGCGATCGATATACTCTGGATTCACCTCATAGCGATGACGGTGGCGTTCGTCAATCGACTCATTGGATACTCCATACAGAGCTCTAAGTTTAGACCATTCCGTACCCTTTTGGAAAATGGTAGGCCGGAGGCCAAGTCGCATGGTTCCTCCCAAATTGACTTTGTCAATTTCAGGCATGAAAATGACGACGGGATCTTGAGTGCTTTCGCCCTGCAATTCAATGGATCCGGCGCCAGCAATCTTGCATACGTTTCGTGCGTATTCGATCACAGCAATTTGCATGCCAAGGCAAACACCAAGGTAGGGCTTAGGCTTTGTTCTAGCCCATTGCGCAGCCGCAATCATACCTTCGGTGCCTCGCGTTCCAAATCCACCGGGGACAAGGATGCCATCAGCAGTGCAAACTTCATGCCACGCTTTGTGGTATTGTTCTGGGGATTCCTGTGCCGTGGCTTTCTCCAAGTGCGAAGAATCAACCCAAACCAGATTCAATTTCCTTCCGCAAGCCATCGCGGAATGTTCGAGCGATTTGATGACTGAGAGGTATGAATCATGCAAACTGATATATTTGCCAACCAAAGCAATTGTGACAGTTTCGAAGAGTCGTTCTTGAGAAATGGTAAGAGTTTTCCATCTTTTCCACGTAGCTTCACCCTGAGAAACGAGTTTTTGTTGAACGGACAGATCACCAATCCTAAGGGTATCACGAAGAACAGAGATGAGGCCTTGCCTTTCAAGTAGGAGAGGAACATGGTACGTAGTCGTAACGTCGTGCACACCAAACACTTGCTCAGGCTCCACCTGGCAAAACATTGCAATCTTATCAATAGCTGATTTTTCAAGAGCCTCAGAGCAGCGGCACGCAATCTTTTGTAGAGATGCCGGAGGTTAGTAATATGGTTCCATTGTGTTTGGCGGGGTTAACCTTACCAGGTCAGGGCTCAATCCGGCTGATCGAACATCGCGGATAGCTTGCTGTGTTGGCTTGGTCTTCTGTTCACCATGAATGACTGGAACTAGCGACACGTGGATGTTGACGAAGTTATCCTTGCCCGCCCGTCGACGGAGCTGCCGCATCGCTTCGATAAATGGCGCACTCTCGATGTCTCCAACCGTACCTCCAAGTTCGATAATGCACACGTCCGGAGTTTCATTCGTGTCATCGACTGGGATTTTCGCAACTCGCTGAATCCAGTCCTGAATCGCATCCGTCAAGTGCGGAACCACTTGGACAGTGCGGCCAAGGTAATCACCCCTGCGCTCTTTCTCGATGACATGTTTGTACACTTTGCCGGTTGTGATGTTATTCTCTCGCGTCAACGTGATGTTGAGATATCGCTCGTAGTTCCCAAGGTCAAGGTCGACCTCCCCTCCATCATCTAGGACAAAGACCTCACCGTGCTCCGTGGGGGCCATGGTGCCGGCATCGACATTCATATACGGGTCGACCTTGATCGACGTCACCTTGAGACCAATGGTCTTCAACAGTAGGCCGGTCGAAGAGGCTATCACGCCCTTCCCGATGCCGCTGATGACACCTATAAGAAACGTCTGGTCAGCTCGGAAACCCTAGTGCACGGTAGGGGGAATTGTGCATACCTCCGGAGACAAGAACGTACTTCATACTGGCGATTAGAACGAAGTATGCTCAAACGTACGGGTGCCTTTCCTGGCTGCTGCCAGGGGGGAGGGAGAGAAAGAAGAAAGAGGAAAACGAGCGGCGGGAAGCAGCGGGATTTCCTACTGAAACTTTTCGAGGTCACGGGGCAGGCAAAGCCCTTGCCCTAGCTCCGTGATGTCGTCCGAGTTTGGTAAGGCGCAGCGGGACTTTTATCTGAGTTTACGCTAAGGCGTAGCTGAAGCTTGGAGTTGTGATCTAATCTCAAAGAAGTTTAGCGCGGTCAAAGCTTGTTATGTAACTAACTACCTAACTACAGGTGATAAGAGGAAATCATCTCTGGAATTCTCCATCTGCTATCCCGGATATCATTGTGATTCAAAATGAAGGGCTTTTTATTATCTCTCATGTCCACTATGTCAGCAAGATGTTGAAGTAAAACAGTCAAGTCAGTTTTATATACTCCCTCTGCATCCAGCTTACTTGGAGCTCTTCTCCCACAATGACTGTCGAATGCCGTGATAACAATACGGGACCTTCGGTTAAGCCATATGGAAATCTACCCTACACCTCCATATAGGCAAAGATCATTTCTTATTCACTGGAGGTGCTACCAACTTGTTAAAGAGCTTTCGCCCTCGCAACTCTGCCGTTTGATTCATGTGGTTGAACCAACCTTCCTTGCACGTACACTTCCTCCCCCAAGCGCCCACGGTGCCTTTTACCCAAATTCCTCTTGTCTTCTCCCACGAATCAACTCCTATAGCGGCGCTATACCACGTCAACGGGATCCGGAAAATCAGATTTTCAGGGCGGGGGGGAAGTATATTGAGCAGTGTCAGCTAGGATGGCGGATCCTTCAGCTCCCACCGGAGATTCGGGAAAAAATACTCAAGTACGATATCGGGCGTCTGCTATACATCATGAGAGCGGCGGCACAATTGTGTTCCAGGAATGAGGCCACCGAGGCTGTCCCAGAACATAGATTTTCAGAAACAACCCTGATTGTGTATGGCAACATGATCCGTATCCATTTAGTTATTATCGGTGATCGGACCTATACCAGAGATAAAACCAGCAAAATTGGCCCGGGAGAATCTGTTACTCTACAGTAGCACTCTGAGATATACTATGCTGGGATTTATACCTGCTTCTCTGCTCTATCTATTTGCGCAGCAGTCGAATTCTGGGTACATGCTACTTTCAATCGTGGCTGCACTTATTTTCATGCTGTACCCGCCACCGGTCTTAGGAGTGCTCAATCCCATACGCGATGGGATAAATCAGGCGATGAGTCTAGATTATAAGCTCAACGAAGGCGGATATATTGCTATCAAGAGCGATGAAATGGGTGTAATAGATATTGCATTCCAACAGCACCATGCTGCGCCAAAATGGATCCTTGGTAATCATACCTCTCCCTTTCAAGGCAATGTTTCTGTGATCCGGTGTGCATATTCCCACAATCTACGGATTATTCGAGACGTAAGCCATGTCCTCTGCTCCTTCGCTTTCTTTATGATGATACTGACTTTATATCACAGTCCTTGAGATGCCGTGCGATTATCCCCCTTAATAGGTTTGGCGCGGAACCGTATTTCTGCAGTCAATCAGTTCCACCGCACGATAGTTGGGTTGATTCTGGGTTTCCTGTGGAGACCGTACTCACTTCTTCCCCATTCGCATACTTTACACATGCGACTTATGTTCCTTTTGCAACAATTAAAAATATCAGCTTTGTTGTCGATCACCTTCAGTTGAGTATTAATATAAAAACAAATATCTCGGACCCGGGACGCTATTCCGTGAGCTTCCTCCATCCTCCTCAGTCATTGAGGTATACGCTCTGCGGTGCAACAATTGGCGAACGCACGTTTCAATACCCCTACTTGCAGGTGTGTCAGCACCAGTAGCTCAAATTCCATGCTCTACTAAGCTTAGATTAGTTTGAAGTTGATGGTCAGTGGAGGCCTCCGTTTCCTCCGCATTGCATACATCTTGATGGGCCCGTACTAGTTCAGAATATCCTGGGAATCTGGTGGGGTAAATCTTTTGAATTTATTTCCCTTCACATTGGTGTTGTTGTCTCGAATAGGGCCAGTCTTAAAAACACTCTCACTTGAGGAATTCTTTCTACCCTAGTACAAAAGAGTCGGCAACTATGGCGGAGTCTGGTATAATGGGAACAATATCGACCTGGCTAGCTGCCTTAAACAACAGGGAGAAACTTAATGCACGCGGCAAGGAAAGCCCGGAAGACTTCCTCAGGGCCGTCAAGAGGACAATGTTCATTCAGGTATACAGTACTCATCGCGGGCTCACCCAAAGCAGGCCGCATGACAGGGTCGCCTTCCTCAGCACACTGGACTATATCAAACTCGATTTTTAGCCCCTCCTCGGTTTTCTCGGTCACAGAAATATATCCGGCTGCACGAGATCGGGGGAGCAGAACTTCCTCATTGAGCCAGCGAGCTTCAATCACTTTCATGTCATCAACTGTCTCCTTTGATGACACTGCCCATAAGAGAGGACGATTCCATCACGTAGAATCTCAAAGTGCCTGATACGTTCGGCACCATCTTCTCTCATACATTCCTGTAGGTGTTTCCCCTTATCCCGCCGGAGTGTGCCGGGGGTTTCCTTTGCCCGCTCGTGGTCATCTTGCCGGGGCGTAATAAGCGGCAGAATATGTTTTCCCTTATCCTGTCTGAATGTGCCAGGCGTTTCTTGCTGGGCCGTAGTAGGCAACACGTTGGAAGATTTAGTGTTTGTAGGCGAAGCTGGAACACTATTGGATTTTTCCTTTTGGGTTGAAGTTCTCCCCAATTGGCTCCTTTTCTTGGGCTGTTGCTTTCTCATCTGGACGGTGCTGCTGAAATCCAGTTCCATCTCTGTTGGGAACATATGAGGATTCGAAATTCTTCTTCCGAGGTGAGCGCCTTGGCCCTTCAGGTGGCGCTCCACCTGAAAACAAGAGGATCTTGATTTTTTCCATGCTTATGCTGGTTATTTTCATGGTGAAGAAGGGAGGTTTTATATCGCCCTAACCTAATGCAGAAATGCAGAAATGCAGAAATGCAGAAATGCAGAAATGCAGAAATGCAGAACCTTTCTCCTAGGTTCCCGTTCGGGCTTTCATCCCCCCTGGGCTTTTGTTTCCCTGCACTCTCGCCATCCATTGCTAAGTGCAGGCAAGGCAGGGATGACTTTGCAATAGCCAGGCGACAATGTACCATCTAGCAAAGTCACTCTATTTCTATGCTACCAGCAAGGAAGGTATTCTAACTACCTACTCTCCTTCTCTCTCTTCCCTTGTTCGAAAGAATCCTAGCGAGTACTCGTCACAGGTGGAAAATCGTCCATTCCCCGTTACCGGGCTACTATTCTCCTCAGGCTTCTTCACCCCGTTTCTGCCTATGGGCTTTTATTATACTAATATTCCTAGGGAACTTTTTTGGAGCTTCAAATCAAGCAATGGAATTTATTTCTCGAGGTATATAGTCTATTTATCGGAGATAAAAAAAGTCAAGAATGGCTAGATTGAAATACTGCTGAGTCTTATTCTTTCCTTTGTAATCTGCCCATACAATTCCACGAGAAACCAATGTCAGACACCTATCTTCCAGCTGTAAACAACCTAACCATCTCATCAAAAGCCACCCGCAAGTCCCCTCCATTTCCAAGACGTGCTTGTAGCTGGTCTTCCTTGGTGTTCAATGCTGCATCAATAATCTTGGTGGCATGCTTTTTAATCTTTGGTCGGCATTTTCGTTTCCCCCTACCCTTCCAGATGTCAAGTTCACTAACTGAGGCCAAGATGTCGAATGCTCGGATAGCTTCGGGGGGATATGAGGGGATTTGGGCCAGGGCTTTGTCGAATGATATCATATAGGCCTGCTGAAAGCCTTGCTTATATTTGGCAACATGTGGCAATTTCTGTTCTTCAGCATATTGGATTGTCTTGATATCGCCAATGATATCACCACCGTGTGCAATCTCATTTCGAATACGTTTGGTTTTCCTGTCCTTGCGGATTCCCGCCCGATTGGACACTCGTCTCTCTTCCAGGACCCGTCGCTCTTCCAGAACCCCATGGCGGATCCCGATATGAACCTTTGTTGAGGTTGAAAGCTAATATGGTCAGTAGTTGCTCTTTATACAGTCAGGCATACCTCTTACATTGTCTTTGAGAGCCGCTGTATCCTTTTTAAGTACTGTATTTTGCTCCACAAGTACTGTATTTTGCTGTCCCAGCATCACACTTTGTTTCTGAAGTGTTTCGATTTGACCTCTGATCTCTGACAGCTCATGCAGTACTTTTTCCATGCTTTCCTTCTGCATATCCAACAGAGCGAGACCCTCTTTGTTGCCAAGTTGTTTTTTGGAGTGTTGGATGTCGATGTCATGACAGTCAGATATTGCGTTTTGTAATAGCCACTCAAGAGGATCATCGCCATCGGGTGGTGGAGACACTCTTTTATACAGAATGCCATCATACTACTAACTGTCAGCAAAAGAAAACCTTTGGCATAATTATGATTATCCCAAGTTTAGAAATAGGTTACTTGCCTTGTCATTATCTGGAGGGCATTCAAATACGGTAGCTGATGCCATTCTTGAAGGCTCTTGACTTGTCCCTTCAATTCAGTGGAATGTACAGATCAAAATGCGGTGTTTTCTGATCTGAAGAATTCTTCTCCATGGCATCTGCATGCATATTATATCCCCAATTGCAGACAGTTTAATATCTACCTTTCTTCTCTAGCCTTTGTTGGCAAAGTAGAGTCAAGAGGTTTGAAGGAGTTTCCAGCAGTTTCATATCTGCTAGACAGTTTCCATCCCCATTCAATGATTAGAAATAGATTCTTTGTTTTCACCAGCTTTTTGATCTCTTTTGAACTGAAAGCATTGCCAACTCTGTTTTCTTCAAAGCTCTGATCCCAGGTTCAATGAGCAGCATCAATGATGATCTCTTTAAACATCTCTCTCTTTCTCTTTGCTTTGGTTTCCATATCCTTCCATCTTGTCTCAATCTGCCATGTACTAGCCAATCTTTTTGCTGCTCTAAGCACCCTTTCCGCAAAAGCACCTTCGATAAAAATACGCTCCCACGGATGACTTCGATCAAACATGGGCGACTCCAGGTAGACCGGATTGAAGAGTACTACTTCAATCATGATGATATCCTTGGAATCAGCCTTGCTGCTCCCTATATTGACAAAAACAGTGAAGACGATCCAATTGGAGCACTGGCACCAGGGCCCTGGGGAACAGTCTATCCCAGAGTTGTGCTCGAGGTTCTATATTGTGATGGCCACATTGGATATGAATCAAGAGGCAATCTCAGCCAGATTCTTTGAAAATCTGAAAGTGAAGTGAATAAACTTATTCACTTAAGGCTCAAAAATCAAGAAAAGGACTACCAGGATCAAATTGCTCTGGGTGGCAAATTTCTTGAGGAAAGACACAGATAACACTTACTGGAGAAATGCAGAACAACAGTATAAACAGCTGCAGCAAGCGCTGCGATGGCAGGGCATTAGTCTGTGGGCGTCCCAGGAGCCGGTTTTCTGGGACCAACAACTGCTACAGAGATGGCCGCCGGAGTAATCCAGCTTTGCACCTCAGCAGCAACAGTCAGGTTGGCGCCAGCCTCTGATGCAGCAACAAAGTCCTACCACAGCATCAGACTTGCAGCAGCAGCTTTTAGATGTTCTACAGCAGATAGGAACCCAGTCTCAGATCCCTCAACCGCCTCAGGCTAGGAGCAGAGCATCAGCCTCGCGGCAACAGCTCTTAAATCAATTGCAGCGGCTAATAACACGGCAGTCACCTCAGACTCCTCAACCACGCCGGGCTCCTAGCGGGGCACCAGGCTCGTCGCAGCAGGTTGCCAATATCTTACAGCAGCCAGAAGCTCGACAGCCATCTCGCAGTCAGCAACTCTGGGATCAACGCAGAGTAGAGACCTTCGAGTGCCAGCCCAAGCCCATTGGAGATGCGACGACTTTTGCGGGAGAGACCCCAGGCAACGCCACAGCCAACAGATCCATTTGAAATGTGCGCATTGAGCGGCCGTGCTGCCGGACGGGCCCAGCATAAAGACCTTCAATGTCTTTGTGTATTTCAGCTCTGTGCTGAAAAGAACATGCCTTTTTGGTTTCAGCATTATCAAACTCATCAAAGTAGACACTCTGAGTAAACTGTGTCCACAGTCTATTCTTCACTGTTGAGCAAAGAGAGAAGAGCTTTTCAAGAATTGACACTGAGTATCTGTGCCAAAACTTTTAGAAGACATCAACAAGAATTTTGAAAGAAAAAGAAGGGGTTTGAGGATGCTATATAGTCCAGCTGTTGTATGTCTTTGAAGTGCCATCTCTGTCTTGGGGCCAAGCAAGCTCCTGAGGGGGATTTTAACGGGGAGTAGTGTCGGACTCGCGAGGAAGTTGGGAGCAGATTGTAGCACACTCATGGTGTACCACCAGGGCAGATTCGATGCCCGTGAATTCAAGCCAAAGGAGAGAAAACCGCGCAGGCAATGTGGATGAGTTGTCGCATCCATGGGGAGCTGATGAGCGTTTTGTATATCAACTGTTTCAAAATCTGCCCGGGCACCGCTGGGAGATGGCGAACTGGAATATCTGCCAGAGGATTCATGAATGTCATAACTATACTGAGTATGGCGTACATACCGACGCACTCAACCCGAAGAACATGCTTCTCGGGCCAAAGGAGCGCTGATGACATGGAGACAGACTGCAATGGTACCCCTGACAATATCACGTTGTTTAAGTCCTCTGGGTCGGACCGCCTCCCGACGGCTCATCCGGAAGAGCGTTAGTTATCGATTATAACTAGTCACAGGAGGAACGGCGCGTTCGATTACAGCCAATGCACGGGCGTCAACCCGCTCTTTTGAGGCTAACCAAGCTTCCACACTTGTGATTATTATTGTCGGGATCGTTAATCCCTACCTACGAGTGAGTTACTCTAAAGAGCATGGCGCGAGATTCCTAGTCCGAGCCAAGACTGCGATACGGACAGGATCCAACGGCGTATGTTGTTGCATGGTTGCGCTGGAATGCGCAATCTCAATTGAGACTTATCCGAAACTTGATATTAGTAGATACCGTCGTCCATCTCGGGCTACGATAGCCATGTTTTGGCTTTACTCAGTCAGGCTGGTAAGAAGACGTGCGAACAAAACTTTTTGCTGGATATCAGGGATGCTTTTCATTGCATTGTTTCAAAGCTACTAGAGCTGACCCGACACAGGACATTCCATGTAATCAACAGCCAACCTCAAGATTCTCAGGTGCTCAAGGGACTCCCCGTCCTGGCCGCCCACCGTACGGCCTCGTTAACCAGTGTCGCACTGAGCTCCTGGCAATTGCCCCTGCGATAGCTCCTGCACCACTCTCCGGCCTGATAGCAGTCCAACACCTTCCTCCCCGGCAACCATATCGCACGACCCCTTAGGGAGGGAAGATCGCCTTGATGACGTTGAAGTGCTGGTCCAGCGTCCCCCTATAAGGTCTTAATTTCAAAACCTCAGTCTGATCTTCTGCGCTCAAACGTTCTACCGTCCATGCTAACTTCTCCGATGGATTCCGAGTTGGCGAGTCATTTGAAATAATCTTGTAGAGTTCATCACCAACACTGGTGATTTCGAAAATCGGCACCACGCTGCTCTGGAGTCTCGCGACCGCTCCGTCCTTGTATTCGGGGAAACCAATCTGAGTCCAGACGGGGTTATAGGGAGGGTATGTGTATGAGGATTTGCCGGTTATAACATACCACGGGTGAAGACCGTGGCTGACCTCTTCGAATTCCCAGGGCTGGTGGCTCGCTTTGAACTGGACAGCATCCCCCTCTCTGGTGCCGTCCCACGCAGCTTCGTGGCCAGTCCTATTGTTCGCAATGTAGTAGGGTCCATCGAAGACGTCGGCGCTGGCCAGAGTGGCCAGGAGAACAACAGAGAACAGGAGGTGCATTGCTGAGGCTTCAGCGGTTCCACTCAACGAACAGTTTGATAGATAAGATATTACCAGTATGGAACTAGTCCGGCTGGTGCGCGAGTGATAGAACGAGGGATGATGTGGATGACCTCCGCAGGTATATATGTGATATGTAAATTCAGCTCCGCGGACGCAGACAATCTGTTTCTGTAGATTGATCACTGTCCAACATGCATTGAATGCAACCCAAACCTGCTGAGAATTACCATTTATCCCACAAGAACCGGGAAGCAACCTGTTTTAGCATGTCGAATTACCAATCTCATCCGAAATGTCACTGTTACTCCTTATCACGACCTTTGCCCTCGGAAAAGGGGACCTCTTTGCCGGGGTCCTGATCAAAAAGACGGGAGAGCCTGCGTTGAAACCACCATTTAGATATTGATATTGCGTTATGAAGAACTCTTCTGCTCCTAATTTTAGCACAATGATGTAAAAAGGCGAGGAATACAATCGCCATATAATGCAACCCAAGCCCGCTGATAGTTGGATTCTGGGAGCATCGGATGCATATGCTGCTGGGAAGACCATCAACGTACTAATCCATGATCCTCGGGATGTCACTGTGACAAAAACCCGTTACCGGAAACAGGGGGCATACCAGCCAGGCCGAACTTCTCTTATCAAGATGCCCGCGGCTCATGCAATGCTCTACGCGGGATCCCCGCGATTCCGTCCAAGTGTACCCTGTACCATGCTTTGAGTTGATTCGGCCCGCGAACGGCTGCTCTAACAGGAGCTTCAGCCAAATGCTTATAAAGGTTGGACAACTCTTAATTGTATCCTGAATCAGAGAAACCTCAGCTCCTCCTTTTCTGAATAACTACAATTGTCTGTATTTCGTGGGCACCATGCGCGTGGACTTCACATTTGCCCTTTTCATCTGGGCTGCCTTCCATAGCTTTGGCTGCTTCGCCTTCGACGGCAACTACACCATAAGCACTTTTATCAATGGCGATTTCGCTGTTGCCGGCACCGACGCGAACGGCTTCATTGAACTTAGGCGTGGCGAAGGCCAGTTCTGGGAATTTGAAACTTGGGGGTATGAGAATTACCACTTTATCCGCGACGCCACGACCAAGAAATATATCCGTTTCCCGACGATCGAGGACGGTGCGACTGCTATCCTGAGCGATGAGAGCGCAACAGCAATCACGGCTTCCCATGTCACGATCGAGACACTTACCACTATGCGTGTCAACGACCCGAAGAATCCCAGTCAAGGTTTTTTCGTGACGGCGGAACGGTATGACGATAGCGCTGGGCCTCGAGTCTTCAGGCTGAGGAGCTGGCCCGTGGAGAAGGATGGTCAAAATTTCCAATTTCTTAAGCAGATTCCAGCTCGGACGTGATTCCCCAGTGGAGACGAAACACGCGCGCATGGGTTGGTTTCTATATCGACGTGAATTCCCCACCGGTGAAGTCTTGCATGAGGCACATTGAGAGGAAGAGAAGCAGTTGCTGGGCCTGTCTTTGTTGTCATCAAAATCTGGCTTTCTGAAATGTATGTTCGCCGAAGCTCACTGTCAACAACTGTCCTATGTATGTAGCTGCATATACACCACAGCATTAGTTGACACACAGTCTGAAGGGTTGAACTGACTGTCTTTAACATTTTGCGTCTGTACTACTCAAGTCATCTTCAGGCTGGTTGCCTGGGTAGCTATGCATGTATGATAGTGTTGGAGGTTCCCTGTCAGCTATGCGTTGTTGTCAAAAATAGAACCTGGTCTACTCTGTAGTTAGTTAATCTCTCTTGGCACACTGTGATTACATGATATATGTAACTACCCAGCCATTAATACAGTAGCTAGAAGCAGAGAGATAATAAAAGTACAGCATTATCCAGAGCAGAGATGCAAATCCATGTAGTTCAGCATCTAGTATTGATCTTTGGGATGTTACAGACTTGCTATCCTACCCCCATCGAGCCGCCTCTCTCTCCTGCTCCACACGCGCCGCCCTTGCCTGATCGCTAGCCTCATCCTCATACTTATAACTCAGACGCCTTCCTCCCAGCAGACTCCTGTCTCCTTTGGCATCATGCTGGCGGCCATTCCTGCCATCGCGATCGGCATTCATTGCCTCCCGGCGTTGCTGCTCTTTCAGCAATCGCTCCCGATTTCTCGCTTCACGCTCCAGAGTATGTGGATCTTTCTCTTCGGTCGCGGGCTTCGTCGATGCATCGCTGGCCTGGACTCGGTCCGCTAATTTCTTCTCCCGGCTACCATTCACCGGGTCATCGGCTTCTTCACGTCGCGCACGTCGTGCCTGTCGTCGCCAAGGCTCGCTTTCCGCCCGCGATTCGGATCTCTCGCGACGACGCTTCCGCTCACGATCCTTGTCGCGGCCACGATCTCTGGGCTTTTCTCTCTCTTTATCTCGATCTCTGTCCCGGTCTCGCTCCCGATTCTTGTCTCTCTCCCTGTCCCTATCCCGTTCTCGATGCTTTTCCCGATCACGATCCTTGTCCCGCTCTCGATCCCTGCGGCTGCGATCAGGGTCTCGTTCTCGATCCCGTTCACGGCGGCGGTACCGATCTTCTCTCTCCCTGGCACGCGCCAGCCGTCGGCTCTCGCTATCCTCGCCCGTTTTCTGCGATTTAGAAGACTTGGAATCGTCCAATGTGTCCCTTCGCGTAGGACTTCGATGGCGACGGGATGTCATGCTTTTCTCGTCACCGCGCCGACCCCTGTCACGACGGCTGCGGTGAGATGACCTATACGAGGTTTCAACAGAATATGACCTGGATCGAACGCTTGATTCTCTGTCCCTATCGGAGTCCTTGCGTGACTTTCTACTCTCCTTGTTACGGTTTTCATCAGTTTCACGTGAAGATTCTGGGGACCTGGAGCGCGAATAACTCCTATAGCGCGAGCGGCTTCGACGTCTATGGGAACGCGACCTTCGCGACGGTGACCGTGAGCGCGAGCGAGACCTAGATCTAGATCTAGATCGTGATCTTGGCTTGCTCCGGGATCGGTTATCATCGACTGATTTAGCGGCGGAAGCACTTTTAAGAAACCAGTTAGAATTGATAATCGCGTTACAGAAGCTGAAAGTAAAAGCACCAACCTCTGGGCGTCTACACTCTGAGTAGATTGTACGTTTGCACGTCCTAAAATCGCAAATCCTCTAGGATTACGAATACTAGTATTTGGCAGTCCCTCCCTCATTGCGCGTGGTGCCGCTGGCGCTCCTGCCACCCCCATACCCCTTGGCTCCATACTGAACCCGTACTTGGAAGATACAGATGGTTGCGAGGACGCATAGCCAGCTGGCCCGTTGGGAAAATAGTTAGGACCGTAATGCGGTGGGTAATTCTCCCCAACGACTGGGATGCTGTTTCCGACGGATTGGGGACCAGACTTTACTTCTGTTGCATCCGCAGTATTCCTATCGCCAGACTCGACATCAGTCGTGGTTGGAATCGCCGACGTTTGGGGGCCATCGTCTTCCGTTTCTGTCGCCGGTTTCGCTTCGCCAGACGACGGGTCAACTGTCGGGGTATCATCTGCGGATTTTGCCGCTTCGTCTGCGGGCTGATGCTCACGCAAATCGTCCTCGCCACCAGGGCAAAGCTCGTCATTGAACTTGCGCTGCATGTTCTCAGGGGTGTCGGTTGGTTGTTCCATCGTGGCGGGGCCGCCATTACTTTGGAGGTGCGGTGGGATTTGATGCTGGAAGGGTCCTAGGTTAGCAGAATGGTAATTATCATGCATACCCGTCATGGTATAACCGCCGCGACCACGACCGCCGAAACCGCGTCCACGGCCAGAACCGCGGCCATACGGGCCATAGGACCCATGGAACTCATTGCTAGGATGGTGCATGTGAGGATAATTTCCCTGTGGTTGAGACATATTATATCCAGGATATCCAGAATAAGGGCCAAAGTCGGCACCCAAGCGATTAGCGAATGCATTTGCATTGAATTTATCTGGGCCTCCATTCCACATATTGTTCTGAACATCCCAGCTTCCATACATTCCTTGACCGTTATTGAAATTCATTCCCATGCTCATATCACCATTCATGCCATTCATGTTCATTCCGTAATCCGTAAACATTCCCTGAGATGCAACCATCGGATCGATTCCCATTCCAGACATGCCGGGCGGGCCTAAGAAGCATTAGAAAACGGTTGTGGCAAGCAGTGCAGGACGGGCTTCTGCTTACCCATCTGGTTCGCAAAGGACATCATGCCAGGCGGTTGCATTCCATTGGCCATAAAAGGGGGCATCATTTGGTTGAAATTAGGGCCTTGCCAACCCACTGGTTGGAATCCGGTTGGATTATTTGACCCCATCCCTATACCATTGTCTAAAGTCTGGCCAGCCTGGACGAGATTCTGGGCGGCACTGGCGTCACGTTCGGCTGTGGGATTCTGATCATCGGGCGCTTGCGACGGGGCTTTGGGAGACGGTGGTGTTTCATCAACCGCGGTATCGGGGTTAGTATCATGGGGGGCAGTGACTTCGTGCTGTAGCAAGGAATTAGAATCTAAGTGGGAAAACATCTCACATTTTCTGCGACTCACTTGTTTTGCGGGCGTGGTTTCATTTTCAGTGCTAGCGGCATTGGCGGAAGGAGATTTCGGTGTAAGGGGTCCCGGTTTCCCATCGTCAACTGGGGGTTGTATATGGTTTTCAGGTTGTTCCGAGATGTTTTGTTCGATAGTTTTTGTCTGTGGGAGGTCCGTTGCGGGGGTTGGTGTCTCACTTGGAGTTTCTATCGTCGACGGGGTAGGTTCTGTGGCGGGTTTGGCGGGTGGCCGGTCTCTTTCGCGTTTCTTCTCCTCGGTTCGTAAGAACGCTTTCAGAGTTGTCCGCAGGGCCTTATTCGGTTTGCAGAGACTCGCATCGAGCGGTGCGTGAGCGCAAACGGGGCAACTCTCCGGGAGGGAGCCTTGGCCTAAAGAACTTCTGTCAGGATTCGTTTCAGAAGAGCCATTCAACCAAGGGCATTCCTTACAGTTTTCACAGATAGCCTGGTCACAGCAGGGTAGGCGGAATGCGTTCAAGGCCAGCTTGTTGCAGATGGCGCAACGAAGTTTAAAAGGAATCTCATCTTGGGTAAGTGACCTGGGGGGAATCAGCACATGCGCTCATCTATAGCCTAGAACGGGGCACAAGCTCACTGGGCAATATCCATCAGACCCGAGGAAGGCTCCAGGGTCGCCATGCCAGCGGAATGGAGGAGTTGTATGGGTTAGCGGGAGCAGTGGGCTGGATGAGACTGCGAACGGAGAATCTGCGATGCTAGGATCGAGGTGGCATGGTCGGAACGCGGGATGAACGAGAGAAGCGCTTATGTGGTGAGAGAAGCACCGAGCATGATCTACGGCGAGTGAACCGCGAGGAATAAGGTGCGAATGGCTGTCCGAGCGGAGTGGAGGGTGAATGGGATGTGGTTTTCGTCGACGGGCGTTTTGAGCAGCTGCTTCTCTGGAAGATTTTGAGCGCCTGCGGAAGAACGTTAATCCGGGTGGTTAGTTACAACCCGCGAAAAAAAGATGGATATAAATCGGTATATTCAGCAGGAGGGCGGGCGAGGAGACGAAACACAGGTCGATATCACTCAGATTAGATCAAGTAATTGCTTTACAGCCATCATCAATGCTCCCGGTGGCTGCCCGCAGCCAACACCGCTCGTCCCGCACCAGGGTTGGTGATGCCTTGTGTTTGGCTTCGCCCCAACCGAGCCAGGGATGAGAAGGCCAGCAGCAGGAGCACGGTCTGATGCATTTCCGGGTTTGCTCTATCATCAACGCGACACGACGAGTTGTTTCCGTTTGCAAGCAGCAGGGGGAATCAACAGGAAGAAACGCGCAACAAAGCGACGGGCTGTGAAGCAGAGATGCAGGAAAAACAGGAGTGGCTTGTTACCTTGAAAACTCGTCAGGAAGCGAAAAGAAGCTATATGTAGAATTCCATCAGAGATGGTGATTGTTGAGGACAGACAGTTCCGGAGTGAGCCAGGTAGCTGTGACAAGGCCGGCCTGGTGGTTGATGTGTGGGGGGCGCGGTTTGCCAGGGCCGGCTGGGCGGCATAAAAGGGCCTGCGCTCCCTTGCCAGCCCGCCTGGAGCTGCGACGGCCGCTTCTCCTGCCTGCCCTTCAAGCACCACAGCTGCCACGCACTCCGGACCCTTAATGCCACCTATCTCCACGTGAGCCCTTATCACCCGGAGCTTGGGCCAAGAAAAAGCTCATTTTATATTCTTTGCCTGGAACGCGACAACAAGACCAGACTGAACACACATCCTCTCTAGCGGTGGACGACCCGTGCGGACCGGTGCATGGTGGTTCTAAATCTGACAAAGACAAAGAGCACGCTCTCGCCGACTGTTGAGCTCCATTGATCCCAGAACGACGCGCAGTTGGACCCAGTCTAGGTAGGTCATCATCGCGCCTTTGATCCCCACTGTGACTGTCATGATATATCATGTTCCTTACTGCTCCCCGTTCTCAGTGACTGATGTCGCTCATGTGTCTGTGGCTATCCAACCGTGGCGACCAAGCACGGCGTTGTGAACTGTTGCCGAATCAGCTAACACGGGTGTTTGCTAGCAATGACAGATCAGGATAATTCCTACAGACCCCGGTCCCCTGATTTTTCCAGTTTTGCTGGAAACCTACCGCAACAGCCTATCCCCGACCCCTACAACCAATCTCCTTATGCATTTCCGCCGCAGTTGACACCCCAAGCTTCCTACGACGCGTCTCCCTTCTTCAACCCTCACGTTCCTCGTCCTTCCGTCTCCTACCATCCACAGCCGCCCTTTGCCTCTGATTTTGCCGGGATGCCTCCCCAGACGCGGTCAAGGACCTTGCTTCAGCAACAGCAGCAGCCACTGCAGCAACAACCGCTCCCACAGCAGCCGCTACAGCCTCCGCCACAGCAATATCAACACCAACCCCAGGCACAACAGCATCGCCAACCCCAATTGGAGCATAAACAACCGGACCCGCCTCCGGAAATCAAGCCGTCCAGCGTCGCAAAAACAGGCACCGGACCTTCCCCAGGACCCTCGATGGGCATTGATATCAAAACAAAATTTCCTGTTGCAAGAATCAAGCGGATCATGCAGGCCGACGAAGACGTTGGCAAGGTAGCCCAGGTAGCGCCGATCGCTGTCGGTGAGTCTCTCTATATATGAAATATTCTTCTCCTGTAGCCGCGACTAACGTTCTCTCTAGCCAAAGCCCTAGAGCTGTTCATGATCTCCCTAGTTACCAAAGCTGCGAATCAGGCAAAAGAACGCTCCTCCAAACGTGTCACCGCCACACACTTGAAAGAGGCGATTGCGAAAGATGAAGTTCTCGATTTCCTGGCTGACATCATTTCTAAAGTCCCCGATCTCCCTGCGAGCAAAAAGGACGAGGATGGCAGTGATCACGACGAACACCGGAAACGCAAGGGAGGGGGCCGACGCAAGAAAGAAGAGCCCGATGATTGATCCCTCAGACCCCGAAAAGGTGTATACTCGGCATGACTTGTCTGGCGTTGGTGGCTCTTTGGGATACTTAGCATATCCTGCACGTGTGATGCAGCATGGTTTCTTCTAACGACTTTTGTTTCATTTTGGCTGGCATTGGGTTGTTGCTTTGGTGCTTCTCTAGCGTTTTCAGTGTATACGTAACTACAGTTTCTGGTGCATCGACAAGGGCAGGATACATATTTCAAAAGCAGCCGGCACCGGGAATAAAATAATTCTTCTGTATCGGCGAAGCATTCGATCATACATCAGGCATTTATAGTAATATGCGGCGGATGCGGAATTGGGCACATCGCGGGGCGCCAAACTTTTAAAAAAAAAGCTTTGGGGATGAAGGTTGCAGAGCTGTGACATCCGCGTCAACCTCGAAGTATCAGGACGATTTCCCCAGCAATCCAGCCGGCTGAACCTCTAAACCAACCCGCCGGCATGCAATATGAATAATGGATTTTGTACGAGACAACCTCGCTTGGGTAATCTGGGCCTAGATCTGTTGCTAACCAGCTTCCAGTGGTCTCGTCTTATCGGAGGTGCTACCTCGTCCGCCTCTAGGTCTCCTCGCCGCAACGCTGCTGCCGAACGCCATACCGCATTCAAGCACATATACAATGCACTCTACGTATGCAATCCTAGAAAGAGAATGTTCTTCTGATCTCGAACCGTCACACTCACCTCCCCCGCTCTCTTTTAGCAAATATGGCGCAACTCTCCCTCCCTGACCCCGGACTCCCAGTACATCCCCCGAATCCGAACTTGCATCGACCGTCTCAACGCCATTCTCAGCGATGAATCCCGTGGACCGGCACCGCATCCATGCCTCGCCTTCGCTGCCACGTCGCAGGTCTACCTGACAATCGCCAAGCTGGCCCTATCGACCTACGATCCGCGCATCGTCTCCGGGACCGCGGTGTTTTTCAACATGCTGATCGACGCAGAAGTCGAGGGTGCGGTCGACAACCGGGTATTCTCGAGAGCGTTGGTGGATTTGGCGCGGAGGGCGGGCTGCGCGGGTGAAGAATGCGAGGGCAAGTTGGTGGAGTTGATATTCGGGGTCGCGACGAATATACGGCTGCGACCCAACATCCTGCCGGCTTGGTTCTTCCCGAAGGGCTCGATCGAGGACGAAGCCGAGACCAGAGAGGCTGGTGAAATATTTGCGGGGGCGACCAGGAAGGAGGATTTCCCCCTGTTCTATTTACTTTTGGATTATGTTCATTTCGCCGGGAGGATAGGCGATTTTGCCCGTACGGGGCTCTTATATATAATCGAAACGGCGTCCAGGGCGAAGGATTTGGAACGCTGGCTTATTGAGAGCGATCTAGCTACGTTGATGGCTACCGGGCTGGGAGGCTTGTATAGTCAATTGGGCAGGTATGTGACGAAAGTATCTCACGGTGATTGATATCCGACAACGAAATCAGCTCACACATGCCCGCAGGGTGCTGCCCCAAGCTCACGATGTCGAGATTCCCCCGATAGTTGCCCTATCTGACGACACTCGCCTGGAAGCATATATCCGATACGATCTTGGTGGCAATATGGATTCTTTCCTTTCGTACCTTTTGTTTTGGCAGGACGCTGTTGATCACTGCAAGTCTGTTGAGTTGAATGATACCCTTTTAGACCATTTTCAAGTTCTTTTCCTAGAGCAATTACTGTATGTCCTTTCCCTGCTGGCCTCTCTCAAGCCGTATGAGCTGACAGTTAATAGATACCCGTCTCTGCTTGAGTCTTCCGACGTCGACGGAGGTTCAACTCCGGCCGTCACCAGCTATCTATCGCGGATTTTGGAATCGATCGATCAGCCTGAGCTGATTCACCGTATATTACACTTCTTGCTAGCATCTCCCTCTGAAAAGGACAAACGCAAGCCCGTCGAGCAAGCTAAAATGTCAGTAAGCCGTCGCAAATCGCTGGACATCTTGTCGTCCTTTGCCGAAGCTGCCGCAGTACCATCGCCAGCGCTCTTCAATTTGGTGGATTTAACTTCAATGAGCATCAAATCACACAATAACCAGACTCTTGTGGCTACGTTAAGACTAATTACTGTCATTCTGCAACGCCATCACCACTTCACCAGTTCCCTCATCAAAGCCGCGCCAAAATCGGAACCATTGCCAAAGCTGAGAACGCTTGGTGCTCTCAATGCCGAATTGCAACAGTTGTTCAATTTTGCAAGTATGATCTATGAAAATCCGTCATTGGATCAATCCTATGGCAGTTATCTGGCCAGTGCGTCGACTGTCCTCTCCGCGCGATCGTCGATGATGTTTTGGAACAAATCGCCCGATCCCTGCCTCGAGAGTTCAACGATGCTCCAGGTCGGCGACAGCATCTTCCAAGGAATGTTGGACCTTCTGAGCCATTTTTTCACCAATAATGTTATCACCAACCTCGCTTTGACAAGTGCGGTCGCAGCTATGGCGACTTCAAATTTGATCTCTCTAGATGGCTGGCTGCTCGTCTCTCCAGACAAATACCGATTTGTGGACGGCTCGGATAAGAATGGAGCATCAGATCAGCTGTCAGATGGGCCCGCCAGCGGACGATTCCAGGATTCTGGAAGCCAGTTAAACTTTGCATACGCGCAACCCTCTTGGCCCGACGATGATCTTCCAGCCCTGTCAGCGGTTTTATATAAATTAGCCAAACAAGTCCACAGTTGGCGCGAATCGATACCCGATTTTGATAGATTGCTCGCAGGTCGAAGGGATCTACTTCGTTTCAGGGATCAAGAATCAGAGACAGGAACAGAAGTAGGGCCACATTTATCCGACGAGAGCGGTAGCCGCGCAAGGGTCAGAAACGACCGCAGCACGGAATCTTCCAGAGGACGCAAGTCGTCGCAGCAACGAGCGCTAGGAGAAAATTCCCCGTCACGGCTTGCCGCACGCCCTCCATCCAACCGTCCCTTCTCCAGGTCCCGCAATTCGTCCTCCCAACGTCCAGCTTCACGATCACGTTCTCGTGCGCACCTTCTTCCCATTGACCTCCACAGGCGGCTTGCCAGCCCCCTCTCAGCCGAGCTTGGCCGCGCTCCGAATCAGGGAGACCCTGGTGGCAGTATCATCGACCCCGTTCCCCATCCGGCACCGGTTCAGCCCCGTGAGGCATCTGACGGCGATACAGTGAGCGCAGAGGGCGCGACGTTGGGACATGTCCTAACTAATGTTGTTATTTTGTATGAATTTGTTCTAGAACTTACAGCACTGGTGCAGATGAGGGCAAGTATGTTTCAAGAAGTGACTTTAAGCCCAGTCGAAGGCTCGTCGTGAGCCCCTCGGCGCTGAGGTCCTGTGGTGGTGGATAGATTTTTGTGAATAATACCCCCGAACGCATACGGGTAGAGGATGACAATGGATCTAGTCGATTTACAGCCACCACGTCACCTAGATGTCTATTTCCATGGCAGAGACCTTGCATTCATCTATGTTCTCTGCATCGCCCCCAAAAGTCCAACAGAGCTGTGCGGGACGGAATGCCGTCGATTGCCCAAAGCATTTTCCAAAAGGAGGCTGATGTACTACTCTCCCTGGTTGCCGTGTGCTTGTTTGATGCAAGGGTGATGCTTCAGGGTGTTGGATCCCAGTGCAACTTTTGATAGTTAAATTTTAGTTTAATGACCTCTTTGGATATTTCGCGGTTTCGACAGTTGGAACGGTTCAACAGTTTTGATTTTGCAATGCAACTTTGCCATCTCTCCCCAGCTCACCCCTGACCGAATGCAGGTGCTCAACTGTGATTTCAACACTTGCTGCGAGAAGTCAAGGAAAAGAGGCAAATGAAAAAAAAGAAAAAAAAAAGGCGATCGCCCCTTCAACTGCTCAGTTGAGCATCAATTAACGATGCCACCTCGTCATTCTGCAGCCAAAGAGCAAATCAACTCCCTCGTCGCCCTTCTCGGTTCCAGACAGCGATCATCTCTCCACGTTTTCTTTACCACGACAGCAGAGGGCATCTCAGGGAAATGACGCAGATTCCGTTGCGTCCAAGAGGGTGAACCCCTGGCTATAACATGTCCAGGTCCCTGCCTCATCTCGTTGGAGCATCCTTGCGAACCGGACCATCGAACTGGGGAAAGGCCATGGCTCCTGGGGAACTATTAAAATCGAAAGACGTGCCAGCAGAGCAATTAAGGTCTGTTCGTCCGAACCTGCGGCGGCGCGAGAATTCAGCTCACCAACTAGTTCAGCTGGGCGACTCTCAGCGACGGCGACGTGGTCTCAAACGGACGAGATCAGCCTGCGTCAAGCTTGGACTCGTCCACTCACCGGACTCGTTGATGTCACTCGAGTGGGTTACGAGAATTGACAGCATGCTCAGACTTGTCTACGGCCGGGAATGAAATGCTGGCTTTTGGTTTCGCTTTCGTTCCAGCCCGATTCATCTTGTCGCTGAGCGTGGAAGCGGTTTTGCAGATCTTCCCAACCGCGACCGGTTGAATCGAGCTTGAAAGTTTGACGGAATCTAGGCTGTGATACGAAGGAAAGATCGGTAAACGCCAACTCTTGCGCGAGAACAATCAATCTCCTGTTCGCCGGCCTTGCTAACCTGCTTTTTTGACAGGCAAACTTCCCATCGGAGGTGATGCGTTGTGTCGCCTCTTATGCGAAGTCAAATATTGAATGATATCACACAAATTTGGCCCTCAAGCATACTTCTCCCATGAAGCATCTAGCCGCTCGTTAAGCAGCATCAATCAGTCATTCGTTTTGCAACCTCACCAAATCCAAACCCGTCGCGCACAATGATACAGCGGCAGGGAGCTCGCTCGCCTAGTGCCGCAGCTCTCATCCAGGAGCGTAGCACAAGTCCGCTTTTCGCTCCTGAGCCATCCTACTTTTACCCCTATGCTCATCATGAGTTCTCATTGCCCTCGCCCAACGGATCTGACACGAAACCCGCCCTTTCGCACACCTCTCAAGACGGTTCCCTTTATCTTCATGGCGCCATCCGCGATCTCCAGAAGCTTCGCGCTCTCTACATCCCCTTCATCTCGTCCGAGGAGGACCTCACACCCTCCTCGACGAGCACCACGCAGTTCGTGTCGGCTTCACCTACAGTCTCTCTTCCTTCTTCCCGGTCCCGTCTTCCGCGCGATTCCTCCATTTCAGTAACTTCGCCTCCTGGGTCAGCGAGACACTCGTTTCTCTCGGGAAAGTTTACTCCCCCGGTGCGCGCGAATGCCCGCTCCGGCAGATTGATTAAATCCTACCCATCAGCGTCTCCAGTAACCCCAGCCCCGAAACGAGCTGAAACCGAGATCGAATCAGTACCGGACTTTCTGCCCGACTTTTCTAGCCGGATCCTCAATCGGTTTGTGGAGTTGATTAATTCCATAGATATGCAATCATTAAGCGGAAAGGAGCATGAGTTAGGTGAGTTGCCTTGATCGAAAGCGTTTCGAACTCCAGTTAATTGTAGGCTTTTGAGTATAGTAATGAACGTGAACCCGCCGAATATGTTGCACTTGCGATCACAGACATCTACAGGGTCGAAGTCCAAAGCTTCAAAACGTGCTTCTACAACCCCTTCGGATCACCAGATAAACTTTTCGTCGACGGTGTACAATTATGCGAATTCCCAACTGCCTTCTAGCCTGCCACATTTACGGCTGTATGTGACACCCGCACTTCAATCCCAACCATAGCCCAAATTAATATCTTTCCCGTATTAGAACCCTCCCAATATGGCCGATTCTCTGCCTTGCCGCCCAATTCTCCCAGCGCGCCTACAGCATGCCCTCAGAGTCGGAAAAGGAAACGTTCGTTGAAGCGGACGTCAGAGGTGGAACTAATGCGATGGTTATAAAATCCGTTGCCCTTGACCATATAGATCTCGTCGTCCTTTCGATTAGGGGAACAAACTACACTTCCTTCAAGAACTGGGCAAGCAACATGGCTCTAGAGCCAGAATCGCCAAACGGATTCTTAGACAACTCTGATAACCTCTGCCACGCTGGATTCTTAGGCGTTGCGCGACAAATGATCAGACCGGTAGTCCTGCGACTCCGACAACTTCTCCAAGAAAATCCTGCTCGTTCGGCTGGATCACTAGTTATAACCGGCCATTCTACCGGAGGCGCAATAGCCAGTCTCCTATACGCACACATGCTTGCGCAAACCGTGAAATCCGACCTCGTCAACCTTCGAAACTCATTCAATCGCATTCACTGCATTAGCTTTGGCGCACCACCCGTCTCGACTCTCCCACTCAACAAGCCAAGCCGACGAGAGTATCAAAACTGGTTATTTTTCAGCATCATCAACGAAGGCGACCCTGTATCACTCTCGGAAACTGCATATGTCCGCTCCTTGATCGATCTCTACAACTCCCCGCCCCCCTCAGCTCGCCCCGCAAGCTTCCTCTCGCGGAAACTCTCCTTCTTCAGCTCCAAGCAGCGCAGGGGGTTCGACAAACGCAAATCCACGAGCGCCGTATGGTGTAGGCCGGCATCAACGCTGTCGTTGCCGGGAAGGTTGGTCGTCCTGCGCGGCAATGAGGGCAAAGATGGGAAACAGCGCGCCGAGGCGTATTTGACGCGAAATGAGGAGTTGGCGGGAATTGTGTTTGGCGATGTGATGATGCATTCGATGGCGCTGTATCAGCGCCGGGTGGAGATTTTGGCGACGGAGGCAGCGTGTGTAAAGATGGACGAGGGATCGTAATTTGGGGGGAATACCCCGTTTGTGAAGGAGTGTGGAATTTAATAGGATTGGGTGGTTATATGTGTAGGATCTTAGGCGAGGGAACTGAGTATGGCGTGGATTAATATATTGCTATATTGTTTTGAAATAACATCTAGTATTGTCCGAATATTGAAACAATCAGCCGATGTGATCTGTTAAGGCTTAGCCTGATGTCCACCACCACTCAGCTCTAGAAGCCGTGCACATGAAAAACCGACCTCGTTATATCAATCTTTCTGTAGTGTCCCGTGAATGATCACAATCGTTTTTCGACTGTTTCCGCAGGTATATCAAAATGATAGCCGCTGCTCGTTCCTACTCCAGAGAGTGTCCACCAACGTGAAAATGAGGAAGACGAAGAAAGAGGACAGCATATGAAAACCGGAAATAAAGCCAACTTTGAAAAAGCAAAAGAAGTGAAATGGTAGTACAGAGAAAAAGCGGTCCTCGAATCTCTGGCCTTCGCCCTTTTCTTCCCAAAATCACACAGAGTCGGTGATACATCCATGGCTGGCGTCCGTTACAGCCCTAAATACCAGCAGTCAGTAGCTGCAACAATACCCCAGCTGTGCGTAGAAAGGCGATGTTAATCACACATACCTGGCGTATTTACCCAAAGTTCCTCTCATCGTCAAACCAGTTGGACGACCAAGGCCGCGCTCCTGCTTCTCTTGCCACTTCTGCCTCCTCTGCGCAAGCACATCCTCGCCAACTTCGAGGTCAAGGACTCGCTGCTCTGCATCGATGGTTATAACATCTCCGTCTTCGACGAGTGCGATCGGACCGCCAACTGCAGCCTCGGGGACGATATGTCCGATCAAAAATCCGTGCGAACCACCGCTGAAGCGGCCGTCGGTGATGAGGGCAACGGAGGATCCCAGTCCAGCACCCATCAAGGCGGAAGAGGGTTTGAGCATTTCTGTGAAAGGCGGCGGTTAGGAGTATATCTATGATTTTTACCCAAGGAGGATTCAACGTACCTGGCATTCCTGGTCCACCCTTTGGTCCGGTATATCGGATAACAACGACAGTCTTATCTTCCTTTTTGATTTCGTTCTTTTCCAAAGACGCAATGAAGTCATCCTCATCATCATAGACTCTGGCTTTGCCCTTGAAGCGCATCCCTTCCTTGCCTGTGATCTTGCCTACGCTTCCCTCAGGAGCGAGACTGCCGCGGAGGATTTGAATATGACCTGTTTTCTTGATTGGATTACTGAGAGGACGGATGATCTGCTGATCGGATGGGAAATCGGGCACGTTTTCTACGTTCTTGGCCAAAGTCTGCCCTGTAACTGTCATTCCGGAGCCGTCAAGTATACCTTCTTTCAGGAGGAATTTGATCAAGGACGGAGTGCCGCCAATGCTATGGAGATCCGCCATAACGTATTTGCCAGAAGGTTTGAGATCTGCAAGGAAAGGAGTGCGATCACTGACAGCCTGGAAGTCATCGATGGTAAGTTTGATGCCAACGGAATCTGCCATGGCAATCAGGTGAAGCACTGCGTTGGTCGAGCCACCAGTGATATTCACCAAAATCATTGCATTCTCGAACGCTTTCCTCGTTAGAATGTCTGATGGTCGGATATCTTCCACCAAAAGCTTCTTGACAGCTTCTCCCGCAGCTAAACATTCGAGTTTCTTGGCTTTTGATTCCGCTGGATTAGACGAGGAGCCTGGCAGCGTCATGCCCATCACCTCAATGGCTGAAGCCATTGTGTTGGCAGTATACATCCCGCCACACGCACCGCCACCCGGGCAAGCATGGCGGATGATGTCGAATCGTTGCTCCTCGGTTATTTCGCCAGTTAGAAATTGGCCATAAGCCTGGAAGGCGGACACGATATCGATATCGGCGTTGTTCTGGGTTGCAGCACAGCCTGGTCGAATTGTTCCTCCATACACCATCAAACTGGGCCGATTCACGCGTCCCATTGCCATAATGACACCCGGCATGTTTTTATCGCAACCCGGAATGCCGATATTCGCATCGTACCATTGGCCGCCCATGACGGTCTCGATCGAGTCGGCGATCAAATCCCGGCTTTGCAAGCTATATCTCATCCCCTTTGTGCCCATGCTGATACCATCACTGACACCAATGGTGTTGAATTGGTACCCGATCAATCCCGCTTTCTGCACACCTTCCCGCACGACATTGCTGAGATCCAGCAGGTGCATATTGCAAGGGTTCCCATTGTACCAGACGCTGGAGATGCCAACCTGGGCTTTGGACATATCTTCAGTCGAGAGTCCAGTAGCGTAGAGCATAGCCTGCGAGGCTCCTTGAGAGATCGGCTGCGTGATATGACTGGATACTTCATTGAGAGGCTTCTGTGGCTTTGAGGTATTCGATGAAGATTTTTGGGATGAAGGTCTGGCGGAAAATGTGCGACTGTGACAGATATATTAGCTGGATAGGATAATATCAATTCCACTTTGATGGCCTACTAGGAAAAGGAATTGAACCATTGCCTAGAGGGCATGAAGCCCCGAGGCCGTAGCTTCAGCATTTTGGCAGGGATGCCTCGCTTGTTAATTCCAAAAACCCTCAATTGAGCGGGACTGAACAGTTTAACCACAGACAACGAGAGGGCCCAAATTGTAGACAATCAGAGCGTCTGGACAGAAATCAGCACTTCCGGTGCGATTGACCGATTGGTGTTTCGTCTTTTTCTGTCTAATTATTTTTGAAGCTTCGTGCGGAGAAAAGAGAGCTTGGGGAAGCTTCCCCTCCGATGTCGCTGATGAGTCATCTCGAGAGCACGCGCCAGTTTAGCCAATCAGGACAATGCCATTTGATCCAGGCGCCCTAACTCGCAACGCTTGGGGAAACCGACAAGCCACTTCCCCCACTGCGTGTGTGTTTGGGGAGAATTGGTAAAGAGCACAGAGGTCGATGTTGGCTAGTTAACTACTTGGCAGCTTGAGTTGAACATGTTCAAAGATCTCTGCAATTTCCTAGCCAAGGGAGTGGCCCAACCCTATTCTAGGCCTGGTGCTCAAATGGCAGCAATATATACAGGAAGAAGGGTAAATTATATGCGTTTCATCAGACATTAGGTCATCAGTCAATCTATGGCCACCACTTTCCGTAGTACTTTCTCTTTGGGCCGGTGTACTTCAAGGAGTAGATGCCTCTCTCAATGCTGTTCAACAAGATATATCCACTCCTGAAGTATGGGTACACACTCCAGCTGCCGAAGAATTCAACCTCGCCATTCTGCTCATCATCTTCGGGGTGGCAATCGAAGAAGCCGGTTTGCTTGAATTTCTTGCCGGTTGGGTCTCTGTCAACAGAGCTGATGTCGACGACGCGAAGACCACTGCCGTAGTTGGATTGGTACGAAAGACCGTTGACGACGTATTGGTTGTGGTCGATGGATTTCGCCGGGGACTGGTAGGTTCCGGTGTGCTTGGGCTTCTTCAAGTCCTTGATGTCGAAGATATAGGTGGTAGTGTGTCCGTTTGCGGCCTCGCCGGTTCCGTCTTGCTCATCAAGCTCGTCATCCAGAAGAAGGTATTCCATCCGGACGGGATCGGTCAACCAACCTTGGTGGGTGTATGCAGCACCAACGTAAGGAGTCTTCGAGATAATCTTTGGCTTGCGCCTGTTCGAGACATCCATGATCGTGAGGGTGTCTTCATTGTAGTTGAAGCAGATTTCACGGCCCCAGTAGCGGAAATCAGGACCAGTGTAGATGACGCACTGAGCATCATGGATATAGCCATCCTCATTTGCGCAGCCTGGTGATGTTGGCTTCGCTGGGTTGGAAACATCGACCATGAAAAGGCCTCCTTGGCAGGGAGTCTTGCGGCCGGTTCCAACGGCATAAATCATCTTCGTCTTTTCGTTGGCGACGATGTTGTGGGAGCTTCCAAAACCGCTGAAATGTGCGGTCAAGTCCGTTTTGATGTCGAAATCGCCGGGGTTGGTGACATTGAGTAACTGTGACTGATGTTAATAAAACTAAACCGACGGACATGCTGGGATACACCAAAACTTGCTTTTCTCATGTCGAAAACCTGGAGACCGTGGTCGGGCGATTCGGATCCGATGTACACGTAGCCATCAATCACCTTCATGTCACGCCAGACAGTGTTGGTGGTCTGGGTTGGCAATCTGCCGCGGTACTCGAGGCTACCATCCTTCATAATCTCGACGAATCCGGTTCCATCAGAATGTCCGACAGCACCAAATTCACGGCCGTCCGGAGAGGTCCAACCTGAACTGTAGTTAGCATCTTGTGGGCCACTTTGAAGTACGAACAGAATTCAACTCACCCCAGACATCATTTCCTCGCCTAGTCTTGCTACCAATATCGGCGTGGGGCAAGAAACCGTGCAAGTTGACATTATCACATGAATATTCGCCGGCCTTGCCATTGACACACTTGGTGACTCCCTTGGAAGCGGTGTATTTATTGGCATCGAAGTAACCTTCGTTTTCCATTCTCTCTTGGGCCCTGAGCTTCATGTCCATGAGTCGCTCCATGGCCTTCTGGTTTGCGGCGCTGACCACGCCGGCCGAAGCCAGCAGGGCAAGAGTAGAGAAGGTCTTCATCGCTGATGAGATATCCTTGAATGAATGGTAAGGAAGGAGTAGGATTCACCAAGGCAAGCAGGCTGGCAGGAGGTAAATCAACCTGGGGAGACCGGAGAGTTTTTATATCCGTCTGGTTGATCATTTGCCATGGTCATTGAACTCAAAAATTGCTTGACTGACAGAACTGCCAGGATCAGCAGGTAGAGGCTGCTGGGGGTTCGTCGTTTAACGACTGTGGAATACTAATAATACTGGAAATCAGTCACGAAAGAAAAGCTGTCAACGGCTAATGGTCAACCGGAACTAGCGGAGAAATGTGGATTCGGCATGTTTGAGTCGGATATCTCTGATGCGATGGCATCAATACCGTATACGAAAAGGCAATCCTGAATGAGGATTGGGATTCAAGTGCTTACCCGACGGAGGTCATCAGAGAGCAAGCCGCAATGCGTCCGTCGCCACAGATGCCGGTTGAGGACCTTGACTGAAAGATAGAAGAACCAAACAGGGAGAGAAACGTTTTCGCCAGGACTGATATCAGTCTTCGTCAAAATAGCCATGGCAGGCGTTACATTGGGGGTGGAGGGCGGGGAAGAGTATCCACCAGCTTGTATCTGGGGACAGCAAGGGAAACACGAAAGGTGAAGCATCTCGGCGCCAGAGTCCTTCTAGAAGTCAAGTGATCTTTCGTCGGTCCTAAGCCAGGGTTCACTGGAAGGGACTGGTGCCGAGTTGCCTAACCCGCTTCAGACACGCATGGCGGATCAAAATGGGCGGTAGATTTGCCATGTGAAGTTTGGCATCGAACTTGGGTTGCAGCGCTAGGGTTGTGTAATCTTGAGAGAAAACGCTGGCCTCCGAACTGTGCCAATTTGCGGTTGAGTTCCATTCAGCAGCAGCAAGCTAACAAAGGTTGAGAAGGGTTCAAAATCGAGATACGGGCCGAAGGAGGGAAATGCAAAGGACGATCCCAGCCCAGCATCAGGGGTAAGTGGCGGGGATAGCGTTGAACACCTTGTGGGCATTAAGAAACACAGGGATCAGGGGCGCCGCGAGTGGAGAGGATGGAGGACGACCATCCTGCCGACGCTCCAAGGCTACACTCGGCGATCAGAGGAACAAGATCCAGCCAGGGTTCCCCGGGTGGCCGGGAGATGAACATTCGTTGAGAAACGGCCATGCCGACTCACATCTCCACGAAACCCAACGAGTTGCTGCGTCGTTGTTGTTTGTCCTGAGCCTCGAGGCCGTCGGTGGTGGTCGGTTGAGCCAAAGAGATCACGATCGGCTGAGTCAGCTGGCAACTATCCAAAGTCAACCTCGGATGCTTCAACGCTCAGCTTCAGGCTTCACGCAAGACCAAGGGCCGTGAAGGGGCTTCCTGGATGTCGATCAGGTCGCGCTCGTATGGACGCCAGTTCGCCATGTCGCTTAGCAGGGTGTCGCTCCCCACAACGCTGACTCTTGTCGTCTTATTCTCCGTGTCCCATTCCAGAGCCCGCCGTGGGCACAACACCTCCTCCCGCTCCCGCTCGAATCAAAGATGATCCTGCTGGCGATCTGGAATGCGTTCGGAAGATTCCACGATCCTCATCCTGATTTTGCGGCCTCCTTTTCTCTATCCTATATCCAGGGATCGTTATGCCAGCACAACTGACCGCTGGACTCGCGTGCGACTGTGAAAATGGCGGTTCTTCGGATACCATAACCCATCTATGTTAAGATGGCAAAATCAATAATAAATGGATGCCAGGGATGAACCGCACAAATGTCTTTGCAGCCCATCCAGATTTATAAGCATGGATCTTCTCCGCCCGCATGCTTTAGCCCGTCACTCATCCGATGTGGTGCAACGACATGTGGTAGATGGCTCAAGCTCTCTATGCATAAATTGTGAAGTCATTCTCTCCTCTTGTGTACCACGTTTCCATCACTCAAAGTATGACGAACACATACAACTGCGTGCGGAGCATTTACTGTCCACGGATATTCCATCTCTTGGCTTCTCCAGAATCTTGGGCAGTTCATTTTGTTTCGTTTCCCGGGGTGGCTTTTCGGAGTGGAGTACAGAATAATTCCCCGATGCGACGAATATCGAGAGACTACGGAGTACATCCAGGACACTTGTTCGAATACCGAAATTATTACATGCCACTTTAGGCATGGCCGGGTATGCTACCTTATCCAGAATTTTTTCCAGAAAAGCGCTTTAGCGCCTCGTCTTCGTTCGAGGATTGAATGTTGCAATCACAAGACCCGTCAACACGAAAACGCTGCAGCCCCTGATACTCCCATGTGCCAAGCCCAGTGAACTTTGACTCATGGGGCCTTTGGCGTACTCTTCGTCTCAATTCCCAAGCTCAAAAGTCATTGACGGTTGAAGTTGGGCATCGCAGAAGCCGAAAATGTTTTGGGAGAGTGCAATCCAAATGCACCCAACGCCAGACCTTGCATTGACAAGCTGGACGCACAAGCCATCAGAGGTTTCACCCCACCGTGGAGCGGGATACCGTCGTGGTACAGATTCATCAGGGATCCTCCCAACTTCCCCTCATCTCTTCACCTTACTTCGAACCAGGGTCTTGGGGACGAATCGAGAGATAACTCTAAGAAGCAGAATCAAAGCCAGGGGCCCCAAAATCACTGTGAATGTCCTTGACCGAGAGACGGCGTGATCTCTGGTTGGCCAGAAAGTCCATCTCCGAAAAGAGCAGTGACCTTGGGGATGGGAAAAACCCCAGCACTTCTATCAGTTCTACTACAAAGGATGCAGACGGAAGATACATGCAGGTTCCCTTCGTATTGGATCTAAAATGCTTGGTCAGAGCCAATGGCTCGACCTATACTATCTTCTAGCCAGTTTCGTTACTAAGGGTAGAAACAAAATCAAGGCGAATCATTCACTAACGACTGAAGTTTTCTACCGACTGCAACTGCAAACCTATCTCTCCTGGTCATGTATCGGTACATACATTCTAAGTAAAGATCCTACAAATAACGGGTACTCGCGTACTGCCAACGCGATTTCTTGGATCCCATTTAGCCCCCGTTCCCAATTCACGCTTCGCAAAACCCTTCCAAAGCTCACACTGGTTGCGACCACCGGTGAGAATCTTGTCAGCATCGAGAATGGCGTCGCGGGCTTGGACAAAGTTGGGGTTGCAAGGTTGCCTAAAATTGACCTGTTAAATCAACCGGACACTTGAAATGGTGGGAATCATCTGAACTCACAATGCCAATCCGTCAAGGACAAGCTTCATGGCGAGATATTTACCGTCGGTCGGGACACCGTTACGGAACTTAGGCGTCGGCCCATCATTTTTGCCGTGTTTGTCAATCAAATTCCACAGAACTTCATAGAGAATTGTAGCCCAAACAGTGCCGATAGCGTGGACTTGATTGAGCGAGTTTACGGTGGTATAAACGAGCGGGTTGGTGGTCATGTTGGTGGAGTAGACGTATTGTCGGACACCGCGCGGGTTATTGGCAACCCATGCGCCCTTGGGGTAATCCGTGTGACGTGTATCCTTGGGCTTGAGACGAACCGCTGTGGCAAAGAAGTCTGACCAACCTTCACCCATACCACCGGATTCCAGGGCATTCAAACACCTTGAGTTGGCAGGACCACCAGTGAGACGGTTGGAAACTGGTCAAGGGAAAAGTCAGCCTTGGGAAAAAAGAGGAGCAGAAATAACCAGCAGGAAGACGTACGGCCGTGAGTATACTCATGAACAACAGTGCCTTCCTCGAAACAGACATCACGAGGAGGGTTGGCTCTGGTCCAAATATACATCCGCATGCGGCCTGGTCGGCCGTCAGGAGGAGTAGCAAAATTGGCATTGTTCGTGCCGCTGCCATCCTGAGCATTCAAGATCACATAATCATTTCCCTTTCCGCCCTGGTTGTTGTTGTTGGTTTCAAAATTTCCAGACCGTTCATTGAAACCTAGCATATAAAGAAGATCATGGTACGTGTTTGCTGAGTACCAGAGCTGAGTGATCGATGCATCGATATAAGTTGACGGGGGATTCATAGATGGCGAGTAATCATATTCGAATTTGAGATCAGCGGGTTGAGGACGGTAGTTGTTGAGATATTCACTGCCTCCGGTAGGGTTCGACTGAGCAATTCCGTTATTGCCAATAGTCGTGGAGAACCTTGTGGTTCCGTTGCCATGCCAGGTGAATTCAGATGTTCGAAGATTCCAAGGGTCCGAGATTACCTCGAGCTCGCCTTCAGTGGGATCTGCGATTCCCCAACGGCTACGTATTATATTAGCCTCGATCACTCTTCATGGCATCACTTCAGGGCTGGGACTTTGAGAACATACTAGACCTTGTAGGTTGCATGAGCCACATAGTCAACAACATTGTGAACCTTTGTGGTATCTTCTGCGTCAACATATGTCAGAAGCCAGTTATCACCGATATCCGTTTCTACTCTCCACGTTAAAGCCAAGCTCCCGTCATTCTTCATGAGATAAACGAGCTTGGCTGTAGGGTCAGCGAGAGCTCCGGAAGTCCCCTTGAGCACAAAATCTTCATCATCCTCCTCATTGGTGGCCTCCGCAACCGCCCTTTCAGCCTTGATTGGGATCCTGAGTGCTTTGAGAGCTCCGTGCAATGCTTGAACGGGATTAGAGGGGTCCTCTTTCACCCTCAAGTTGGACTCAGGGACGTCTCCGGTATGGAAAGAATTTCCATAGGAAAAGACTCTTCCGTTTCTGCCAATCTATTCCGAATAGTAAGTTGCAAGTCTCAATGGAAATCGGACTATGGTTAAGCTTACATTAACATTGAAGTCACCATTGTCAACATCGACTCCATTGATGGTCTGACGGAAATAAACGTGACCGACTCCAGTATCGCCGATGTAGTGGTCATCGACGAGGCGGAAAGTCGCCTTTGGAGCAACCCGCTTCACAAGCCTGGTAGCAACATCGACATAGTTGCGGGAATGGAGAGCCGAGACACCAGAGTCCTTCTCAACTTGTTCCGAAATCTTGAACTGTGACCTTTCATTCAAGCGGAAGGAGTCCAAGTCAACCCCACGGCGAACAAGACCAGTGGTAGGCGGAACATGCGCCACCGCATTGAACGGCAAGCTCAAAAGAGTTGCGGCGAGCAGGAGGCCGTGCATGATGACCTAGAAGGAAATTTCAAGAAACGACCAAAAGACTCAGCTAGGAACACCCTATCAGACCGACACTATCGTCCAGCGCGTCTTTCGAGCTCCACGGGGGGATCCATCTCATCTTTATATCAACTGGCCGCGCCCTGTTCTTTCATCGCCGAAGTTGATTCGCAGCGTATCCCCGTCTGGATCATTGCCGTGGCGACTTGGTCTTTTCACCGAAGCTATGCAATGTGAAAGGATCTTGTAATTGCACCTGGCCCGCCAACTCTCCCTCACAGTGAACCCCGCATTGGCTTTCAGTGTGATTTTTATTCACCGTTGATCATCATGGGCGCGGGGGGCGGGCGGTTGGGAAGGATAGAAATTCTGCGGAGAGAGCCCGGGGATAACCACGGCCAGGGTGCAGGTGGCATTCTGCAGTTCCTGAAAGAGAGTCAGGAAGACTAGAACATTCAAATGAATAATATGCAGCATGGCCGCGGGCTTTCGGATCGAAGCTCTACTTGTAAAGTTAACATGGTAGGCCCTGGAGACAAGGAAGCCAGGTGTAACCTTCCAATTTGATTGTGGTTCAGAAGTAGCAGAAGAGAGAGCGGAGGTGAAGATAGCAATGCTATCTTTTGAGGAGGAAAGTGATGGAAGAAGTGATGATAATGGTGATGGCGATGATGGAAAGACGACAAGAAGGGCGAGCTTCTTCTTCCTCCTGATGATCCTATCTGCACGTCGAAGAAAAGATCGACACGTCAACCTCCAGAACCAGCAACAGGGGAGCCTGGAGATGAGCGGCAAAAGGGCACAATTTGATCAAATGGATTGCAATGGCAACAAGATCGGGGATCTAGAAGGCTTAGCAATGCAAGCTCTGGCCCAGGGGTAAACTGCTAAAGGGTCAGAGGGGACAAGACAGGTTAGATACAGATCTTCACTGTCCGCATAACGAACCGGCAGAGGAGCGAAGGGCTTGGGATGCACAGACAGACTGATGAACGACAAGCCACCCCGGGTCCTGGGAACCTAGCAGCAAGTAAAACCCTTGACTATGAATGGAGAAGCACCGTGCAATATTGCTGACTTGAAGACAACTCCATTTATGAGTAAACCCATCTTCACCATATCATAGCATATCCTATACATTAACGCTCCTTTCATCCCGCAAGCAAAAACCAAGGTGAAATAACTAAGCGGCAACACCAAAATCTATATGTACAGTGTATAGAAACGAATGAGGACGTTTTCTAGCATGATCCGTCAAAGAAAAAGAACCATCCGGGCTCTAGCAAGTAGCAGCCCGCTAGAAAGCAAACAAAGTAGAAGATCCGTCAAATCAGAACAAAGGTCAAAAGTACACAATAAATACATCTCAGATAGGCCTTGACACTAAACCAGAATGCCTAGGGCACCTCGAAATCCCCTCTCTTCAACCCTCCTGGGACTTTGATTGCTTCACTTACCCATTTCATCTTCGCAATCTCGTCCAGCCCTATGCGGCGACTGCTCCTCTTCAACAGGCCCTGCACACAGAGCTGCGCGCCGTCAAATGCAGCCCCTTTTGCAGGATCCCATTCCCCATCTTCATCGCCGTATCGATACCAGCTCCATTCACATCGAGCGATACGATGTGGCGTACGAGCACGCAGCTTCGCGGGATCCCCTCTGGTGCCAGGCAGCGGGTCAAACGGAAGCCTATTCTCCACGATCGCGTAGAGAAGGACTCCTAGAGCCCAACCATCTGTAGAACGGCCATCATACGCTTGTCCCATGAGGATCTCTGGGGCAGCGTAGTCTTCAGACCCGCAACGTGTATGGAGCAGAGGGCTCTGCGGAGGCTGTGGAATACGCCGAGAAAGGCCCAAATCGGTGAGGGTAACAGCTGCTCGTGGATACTTTTGCCAATCAAGAACGTCCTGCATCATCATAGCTGGAATATTCAGGAGCACATCTTAAGCGCAAATCAGCATTATACAACGAAACGACCCTATATATACGTGAAAGGCCTCTGGTCTTGGCTTACGCGAGAAGCAAACTTACTCTCCAATTTAATGTCCCGATGAACGATTTGATTTTGATGCAAATAACGCACCGCAGCGACCAGCTCCGCAAATATCCTCCGTATCGATTGCGGAGACAAGGAATTGGGTCCTTGGCTCGCGAACTCGAATAGGTCACCCCCCGGACAGTAATCCAAGACCAGGAAAGCTCTTTTGTCGTCGTTACCAAATGCTTTTAGTTGGATCATCGAAGGGTGATTAACAGATTTCAAAATGTCCACTTCTCTCTTTAAGGACACTTCAACTCTTTCCTCATCAGCCCCGCCTGCGGGGCCGTATTCGACGACTTTTACGGCAACCAGGCGCGGTTGTACCGACATATCGTTGCTCCCATCTTGCTCTACTTCTGGAAGTTCTTCCCTAACAGCAAGAACCACCTGGCTAAAGGTTCCCTGGCCCAGTTGGCGGACGAATCTATACCTCCGGTGCTGTTGCGTGCGGATCGATTTGACGTTGTACACCTGAGTGGAAGACGGGTTTGGGCCAAGTAAAAGGGGACCAACGCTTTCACTGCTGTCCTCACCGCGTCGAGTGCTAGGTGGAGACGGAGGGTGTGCATGAGGCAAGGCGATACCGCGTTGCACGGCAAGGTACTCCTCCCGATGCAGCTTATTCTGCACAGTCCGCCGCGGTGGAGGTGAGACGCAGCTGGTGCCGTTAGTACTGGTCAGTGGCGCCTTCACGACACCTGGGACATGTAGCGCAGGCGGGACATACTCGCTAAGGCTCCGGTTGCGCGCGTGGCCAGCTTTGGGAACTTTCATATGTACATTTTCCTTCTTTATAGGGACCTTTTCCTGACTCGGGGGCCGGTCACACGTTCGACGTTGACCGGACGACGACCTCGGCGGCCTGTTAGGGTCCAATGACTTGAGGCTAAAGGTTGAGCCACGATATGAGGCCGTTGACGGAGACCGCGGAAGTGAGTGGGAGCTACCGGAGCGCCAGGACGCATTGCCATGGATGGGCGAGGGTAGGGGAGTGATGTCGGTCAGGGCTGCAAGCTGCGGAGACGAAAACACGGAGGCAGGTGAAAGGGAACCTGTGCTGGACTGAGGAGCAGCCAACGCAGCGCGGAGGCTTGACGTTCTGCGGGGCAGACTGGTGGATGATCGACTAGGCCGCAGCGGGACGTCATGATCTGGCCGGGAGCCTGGAGCCATGATTTGCGTGCTGCCGAAATCCGTGCGAACGCTCAGAGTGGGCGTCCTTTGAACAGGTGTTGAGGGTTCCTTTGGCAGAGAGGTCGTTAACAATCTCGCAGAGTCACCGTTGGGGGCGGCGTTGAGATTCCGCATCACCGGACCTTGGCCCACAAGGCTGCTCGAATGGCATCCTGGGAGAGGGTGCTCAGGAGCATCGGCTGAGCTGGTGCAGGGCTGCTCTGGGGGACTGGTGGCCGGCAGCAAAGATGGCGGCGATGGGAGGCCATGTGTTGGAGAACCACAGGTGATTGGATCAGGTTCCGTCTGAGAAGAGTTGCGTTCTACCATCGAGAATGGAGTGGCTGCAGAACGGCGCGCTGGGGGTGTGGTCTCCAAGGACGCAGCGAGGAAGTGTTGGAGGCCAGAAAGACCAAAGCGACCTGAAGGCTGTTCCCGTCTCAGCGGTCTAATAATAGCTGAGGGCGCATGAAGAGGTTTGAAGGTGGGGGATCCTGGCCGTGAAGATGATGTAACACAGCACCAGCACCCGCCAAGACCCTCCCGAGTGAGCCCAAAGATGGCTTGCGCACAATGCGATTTTCGGGCGTTGGCCTGCGATCAGAGCTCGATCGCCAAAGCAGCAAAGCTCTGGCGTCGTCTTTTTGTTCGTCCTTTGGCTTTGTCTGTTTTTTGTCCCTTTGTCGAGGTCGCACGGCGTCAAAGAGGCGGATCTCGCTGGCCGTCGCTGCTTTAGAGTGGTCATGAGTCAGCGCTGCGCTAATAAATAGGCTTTAAGGTTATTCCGCAACCGCACATACGCTAAGCTGTATGTGGCTATGACTAATACCGGAGCGGGATAATATTACTCCGTCGGTCATTGCTCAGAGGTTAGAATATATCAAAATCATTGAGAGATTGTTTTCTTACACTTATTTGTGCTGATGTTCATTATCATCATACAAAGGCCTCCAGGCATCAATGAAAATGAGCCGTGATGGTAAACTGCTGTCTCTGAGTGTCCACAGACTTTTGACCGACTTCTACGCTGTATCTAACCGCAGGATAATCAGGGTAATTGTCCATAGTGGGCTATCATTGTTCCCCGCGCCCAAGACCTGCTCCTGGGGCAACCGGTTTGCAAGAAGCCTAGATACGGTTTTCACAACTTTTGATGCAAATGCAACTACTCCGTACGAAGTTGGCTACATAATATCTGAGGTTCAACATTGGGGATCTTGTCCATACTTACGTTAGTACTAAACTAGTTAAATCCTGGTGTCTTCGCAGTCACCGTCTGCAAAAGACTACATAATGAAGAATGGAACGCCCAGCCAAATAAAAGCCTCTATATGTACATACAATGCAAAAAACCAGCTCATATCCCATACCAGTAGAGCTCATCGTCCAGGTATGAACAGGACAACGCTAATGAGAAGAACCTCACAGACCTGCGCCGGAGTGGGAAGATGCTTTTATATCAGCGGGGTACGGGGAAATAAATAATACACGGAAGAACGGCACGTCTGACAGATTATATCGGTTGATTATCCGATCACCAATGGCCATCGGTATGGTGACAACCCCTTCGGCTCTTTAACGTCGCTGTTGCCGATGCTTCCGGACACAAAACGCGAAAAGCAGCCGGATGAAAGTGGCAGTTCACCTTTTACGCGAATAAGGCCCGTCGAGTAACCTAGAAAGCGCAGCTGTTAGAAAATGTATAAACATAGAACTTAAAGTACCAAAAAGATGGCCATACAGTCCAGGCAGCGGCGAGGCTGGCCACGATTCCTCCTGATATCATCATCGGTCTCAACCCTCTCGTACTCTTAAATAACATCCCACTGAGCGCACCCGCAACGATGCTGTTCACTGCATCATGCTTGCCCCGTGCATATCCCAATGTCGAATTAATTCCGTTATAGGCCATCGCAAGAACACCAGCTGAATTACCCAAGAACGGACCACGTCTCGTCACGGAATTGAGCACCGCGTTCAGCCGCAGCTTTGGGGGAGCAGAAGGTGGAGTTTTCTTCAGGCCCTCTGTCAAGCCCCAGAGACCCCCGGCACTCAAGGCTGTAAGATATGTGGTTCCAGTGCCATAACTCAGGTCGTCAGACCAGCCTCGGGAGGGGAGCGCTGATTGGGAACCGGGCAGTTCGTTCAGCGTCGAATCCTCAAGGGTAAGATAGTCTAATGTTTCGCGATTGAGCCCCGCGAGAGGGTGTAGTTCTGAAGGATCGGGAATCGCTGTGCTGGAGAGGAAAGAGGAGACGTCATGAGCGGAGTTCGGATCAAAGGCAGCGGAAGTCGAGGAAGGAGTTGAGGATTTGCGGCCGGAGAGCGTGTCCCAGATCGACATGATGAACAGAAGGAAAGTATGATATTAAAATAAATAATAGACAAAGATAAAGGGAAGACTCAATATGCGCTCGCGGTGCGCCCTTTCGATACGATGTCGCTGGAGATTGAATGATCTGGACGTTGAGTTGAATCTTTTCGAGAAGCAAAAAAAGTTGAATCAAGCCGGGTTTGCTTTGTTTGCTTTGGATGCATCTTAGACTCGATGCTAGACCCAGGTGGGGATAGCGCGGCAGTCGACCTCGCTCTTCAAAGAAAACGAGTTTTTGGCGACGACGAGGTCTGGGCGGTTGGCACTGATTTATTTTTTCTTTTATTTGACAGCATGGAGGCAACGGGGATAGAGGCGTCTCAGGGCTCTGAAGGCCAGTTCGATTTAGGAGAATTTTTCTTGCAGAACGGCGATTCAGTCATTCCAGAGCAGGTCCTCAGGGACCTCACAAAGGGCCCGTTGCGGTCTTATATATTGCAAACTCGAGATATTCAGTAAGGGCCGCGATAGCCATTGCGTAACAGAATTTCCCATAGAGATAGATGTTGATGATTCGTCCAGGCAATTGTTGCAGGTCTGGAAGTGTCTTCTCCATACATTTTCAGAAGCCAACCTGCCCGGATCGCATAATGCAGCAATCTGCAATGCGGTCAGCGCATATCTCGAGTCCGCACTGAAATCAGACTATGAGGAGCTCCGCCAATTTATTTTGTCGGAAACGACCTGGATTTCTATTTTCGATATCTATTTGGACCGTTATCACAATGGGCGACCCAAACCAATGAAACAGGTCCTCACCTCCCTCATCATGATTCTGTCAAAATGTATGGATGCGCAAACCTCAAGATCGATATGCGCCCGCATAGCCGAGATGATTGTGCCTAATATTATATTGTTTGAGCCACGTTCCAGGTTGAAAGCATCCCTGGTTTCTTTGGAAGCCTTCATCCGAAAGGACGTCATCAACGTGGCGGACTGGTTCCTGCTGTCCCAAGAATGGCTATGGACTAATCATACAAGCTGGATGCCGCTACTTGGCGAGCATTGTGCTAGCTTGGAAATGCCTTTGGACTCTCTTGCGGATGACGAGAAAAGGAAGAGTCTTTCGCCGGGGGACCTGCATTTACATGCAGCACGCATATTCTGTCTAGTACTTTTGCTGAGTACGCACAATCGAGACATTTCGCTTCCAGCAGGAATGTTATTTTCTCAATTGTGTTGCCGGCTTAAATCAGTGACATCCGCCCGTGATCTCCCCTATTACAGCAGCGGCCATGCCTTTTGGGTCGCGCCACTAAAATATGTCTCTTTGATGAACCTAGACTGCTTAGATCCCATAGCTAACCATGTGCTTTTCCCCCTATTCAAAACCGAACCGAAGGATTTTCTGTCTTTCGTAAGCACTCTGCCCCTGGATAGCATTCGCCTGAGAACGCGCGCAAGAGCTTCAATTGAAGACTATAGACTTCTCTTCGCAATGCTCGAGCTAGGCAAAGAATTAGGTCTTGTTTACGATAAAGAAGGTAGGTCGTTGAGTAGACATAACGAAAAAAATTGTTGCTAATCGCAACTATAGGGCTTACGAATCTCAGCCCATCCATCGCTGAATCGTCAATATTAGTAGAAGCTGGAGCTTATCGGCAGTTCCTTGTCCATGCCGATGAGAGTATAAGGATTTCGGTCCTGTCTTTGCTCATAACGGACCTAGCGACAGCAAAACCATTTCCTCCGGCAACTTTTGAAGCTTTGATGGCCAGCCTTCCTTACTTGCATGCGGAAACCGATTCGCACACTCGCAGTCAGCTTATGAGCATCCTGAGAAAGTTGGTTATCAGACTTCGAGGCAGCTCTAACACAGTTCAAGCAACGGATGGGGCGAACTCCGAGGCCGACATTGGTAGATTAGACCGAAGAGATTCTGCACCTGATGCCAAGTTGTTTATTCACTGGTATATCGATTTCCTCGAAAGCGAACTTCAACCTTCTGCCTCGTACCAAAAACATATACTGGCTCTGAAGGCTTTGATGTTGCTCCTACAATCCGGAGTTGATGACCGAATGGACATCGTGCACTACTCTAAACTAGGTCAGGAACAACAGACATGGCGGTTCAGCATAGCAGTATTCAAGCCCAGCCTTTTCAGGGCCATTGCAGACCTACTACTTGATCCCTATGATGATGTTAGAGAGACGGCGATGATGCTCCTCCGCTTGTTTCCTTGTGAATTTCTCCAAGCCTCCTCAGACCCTTCAACCCCAAGCCCATATTCCCAGTTACAATCCGCTCTAATTAGAACAGAAAAGATGGCTGGACATACTAGCAGGGCTGACCACGCAGATACTGTTGGTCGGTTATATCGTCTCCTTTTCGACCTTTCCGGCACAGTTGACAGAAACTCGAATCACAGTAGCGCTGCCTATAATATTGTCGATACGATATTAACGAATTTAGAACAAAGTATCCCGGGTGCTCCTGAATTATTCCACGCTACCCTTCACAACACGCCTCTTCAAGGGCATATTTCTGCTCTGAGGTTGGTTTTGAATCGTTGACATTTTCGGGAATTAATCAACTAACTAGCGTGCAGGTATATCGTGGCAACCCCAAATTTTTACCTTCTCGTTTCTTCTTCAGACAATTCGACCCCATCTTGGTTGTTCTTCCTCGAAAGGATTCTATCGATTTGTTTTCGAGTTTGGTCCGGCGTGCGAGATATTCTCTGCGTTGACTCACCTGAACGAGAACATGAAAATCCAGACGAAGATTTGGCTGGCCCGAAAGATGTCTTGTCATTCTCATGGCGTGCATTGCGTGAATCAAGGTACTCATTTCATGACCTTCCTGGGATTTTGCTTATCCGACATTCACTAATGAAATAGTGTCTTGCTCAATGCCATTCTGGTTAACACGACGTTTGCCCCTGGTGGCTCTGAAATTGGGATTGGATACGAGTCGCTCTCCAAGATAGGGAAGTTGAGTCTCGAGCAGTTAGCTGAATTGCGGCACAGGGGTGCTTTTTCCACAGTTTCGCAAACCTTTGCCTCTTGCTGCCAGCGCTGCTTCCAGTCCAAGGATGTTGCGATCCGTGACCTACCGGCTGTGTGGTACAAGGTGAGCAGTCTTTTGCTAACTCGTGGAATGCAGCTGATCGAGTAGAACACCGTTCGGATTATCTACGACCAAGGCTCGAGGCTTACCAGAAGGTCTGCCGGCCTCCCGGCCATAATCACTGGGATCGCCTCGTCTCAGCCGAAGGGTGATTTATTCCGACAAATCATGGAAGAGCTTCAAGATATATCGCGGACGAGCCCTATGGAAGCCTCTATTAATTCGAATTTAGAATTACCGCAAGTCCATGCGTTGAATTGCCTGAAGGATGTTTTCACAAATACATCACTCGCCTTGAGCACGGAACAGTACATCATGTCGGCGCTGCACATATCAGCTGATTGTCTGGGATCCAAAATGTGAGCTAACGCTACCATTTGATGTTTCTACATTTTTATCCTAACCTTACCTAGCTGGGCGATTCGCAATTGCGGCCTGATGCTATTTCGTGCCTTAATAAATCGCATGAGCCGCCCAACCCCCGAATCTCGGCGGGGTTTATTCGTAATGCCGGGATCTGACTCTAACCACAGCATTCCATTCGGAAAATATCACGGATTAGTGCCGCTATTGTCTGGCCTTTTGGATGCTGTGCCCGACGCACCGGGTTATGGGGCCAAAGCCTCTGGTACCTGGGATCTCTCCATTCTCACTGAGCGAGTTTTTCCGGCCCTTGAGTTGATTGGGAACAAGGCTCCGTCTCGTCCTTCTAGTGATGATGCTATTCTAAGGAAATTAGCAGAGTCTCAATTTGCAAATCCAGTCTGGGGAATAAGAGACCATGCAGCTAGGACTTATGTTTCTTTGATAAAGCGAGCTGACCTTTTGCAAACTGCTCAAGGGTTTTCTACACCCGAACTTCCAGTTCAGCCTCCAAATCAAATCCATGGGACTCTGTTATGTATCAAATATTTGATCGAAAGGTTATTGGCATCTCCTTCCGGATACTGGCGTGGTAAGTGCAAACTTTTGCTTTCTTCGGGCGGCTGCAGAGTCACTCACCTAGTACAGGTAATATTGACGGTATGATGGCGACAATCGAGAACATCTTCGAAAATAGCTACTCTATAAAATTAGCACCCTATATCCAAGCTTGTTTTTTTGAAACCTTGGCGAATATCTTGGAAGCTAGCATTGAATGTCGACTACAAGGTAAGACTATTGCATTCTTTAATTCGTCCTAGAATTTGCAATCGGGATTAACTAATACTATTAGATGATATCTTGCTTCGCTTCGACGCCATATATGAAAATTATCATCTAAAGCAGCTTTTGGATGAGGTTCTGATTTCAAAGCCGACTTCCTCAGTTTCCCGATCATCGTCCCTACTCGTACGGTACCTTGCCTTCAGCAGAATTTTGCTAGAGTTGCTCAAAGGGTCTTCCTTAGAAGATTTAGCACGGCTTATCGAAACTATTTCTACCTCGGATATCGATGCGGGCCCATGGATATTGGATCGGTTGCATCGAATCTTCCCTCATTGTGCGGCTACTCAGTATAACGTGATCCAGTTATACTCCAATGTTATTTTACACACCCAATCTCAGCGTCTCAAAACTGCAGCAATGTCCAACCTGGCAGTATCATTGGAAGGCATCTATCAAAAACAAACAAAGTTCCCTTCTGGGCTTGGATTTTTGACACTTTTGGCGAAATCCAAGCGCTTCTTTACCGAAGAGATTGGCGGTCCATTCTGGGACCGTGCGAGGTTTAATACCGCAATGCACTTGGAGGGTTGTTTATTCCCCCTCCGAGTCCAATCCGTGAGAGATCTAGAAAACCCAGAAATAGTGAAGGATTTGCGGCAATTAGTTCTGGTGCTGTCGTCCGCTATGTCGGAGGAAACGGTAAGCCAAACATTTTTATTCTCCAAATAACCACTTTCGCTAACGACTACGCAGGAATTCTCAACAAGATATTCCGCCGTATCTTCTCTGAAATGTTTCATACTTGGGCTTCAAAAAATGGACGTAACCCGACCTTATTCCCATGATCTGATTGACATTTATTTCATATTATACGATATGCTGAACGACGATGACGAGGAAATAAGGGATACAGCAGCGCATATCGCTTCGGAATGCCACTTGGCTGAATTCACCATGCCCAGGCTGCCTCTTGCAACTAGCGTGATGCTGGCAGGAAACCTATCTCGACTTTTCCCGCAATCTTACAAGGTTTTTGAGGGTGCGCTTTTCCATCTTCTCGGAAATCCCAGGGATAGGCATCCCTTTCCTCGCGTCGCAGATGAGCTAGCGGAGTTTCAAAAGGAGAGTACAGTTCTCTTCCTTGAGGAAAAGCAAAATCTATACATTGATGAAGTCCGAGAAATTGAGATTTGGTCCAGCGTCCTTATTCAGTTGGATTATAATGGCCTTCCTACGAATCCATTAAGGTCCGATTTCGTTTCTTGGGTGGCTGGTGGCCTTGAAGCTCTATACGATGAGCTCCGTAAAGATCAAGCAAAGGGGATATTGGGCTGGACCTCGCGGTCCGACTCCTTTGCATTGAGCCTGAGGCTCGTTCATGGAGCGAAAATTCTGCTCCTCACAGATGGACTGGGCGGTACTGAATACAACCCTAAGTTCGACTCATCCAGGATTCGTGTTATCCTAGAGAAGTTGGCCGATCTTGGTGATATTGCCGGAATGTATGGGCTTTGGATAGCAGCAGTTAACTCTGTTCTAAACCCTTCAGACACATCCAAGATGTGTTTCCAAACTAGCTTCGATGCTGTTAGCACTGAACTGGCAGTCCGGTGAAGCTGAGTCTAACAGATTTTGTTGGGGTTCCGTCAGTGTTATATGCATCAAAGGCAATTCAGTCGTATAATCTGGAAGGTTTTATTTCTTCTTATAGCAACCAATTCCCATAACCTTAACTGCTCCCTGCCTTTACACTCCATTCACGCACACGCCGCATTGTAATTCTCAGTATTGGCGCGGAAACATTATGGTATGTTCCGGAACTTCTCAATGTTATACACCGGGAAATGCTAACAGGCTAGCCGCCTAGCCAATATTCCTCCCACAAGACATAGCATTCTTGCACCAGGTAATACTTATTGTCAATTAAGCGCCATATATCTCCAGCGCAGTAGAGGATTCTGCATATCACCAAGTCGCCAGCGACTCCCCAGGTTAGTTGCACAATCTCAATATCCACTCAGAATTATCACTAATAGTCCATGGATTTGCTTTAGGAACAATGAATCCAAACTACACCATTTTGATTCTTATATTTGTCGTCCCTGTCCTTGCCTATGCCCTCTGGAAGGCAGGTATCCACATTGCGCAAATCATGGCTCATAAGGCCCAGCTGATGAAGCATCAACAAGAGATCGGCCGATTAGAAGCTGCTCGGGCTGTGCGTGAAGAGAGGGTGGCTACAGAAGTGAGAGAATTGATTGTCGAGATTGACAAGTAGTGTGCTGATATGAAAGTGCAGCAGGCAGCTCAGGGTGGGAATGAGGGTGATAATGCTAAATAAAACCCTCACATCACCTGTACATGTAGCTGTTGGATGGATATGTTAGTGTAAATAGTGGCGGTTTCTGGCAGCCGTGGGACCTGGTTCTCTCATTGCAGTTGATGTTTGTTTTGAGCCATTCACTGAGATGGTTGCAGTGTATGATCTCGGAAACTCCCATTGTTCACTCAGAATACTCTTTTTTGCCTCTCAAAATGTACATTCAATCTCTCTTTTGACTGAATATTCCATTATCACTTTTGATTTTCAGTCACCCAAGCTCACAAACAAAGCTCTGAACACTGGATAGAGAACCCATAGCTAACTTGACAACAGTAGTATGTATATACATTTCAGCGCGACTCAATTATCATTTTCATTTTATTTAGAAATATTGACTAACGAAGCAATATATTCTTTAGACTTGCTAACTAAAGAGTCAGTACAGATCGTGATGAATGACTCTTAACAAGACCGTCCCACAATTTTAAGAGCCAAACCAGCTGTCCCAAAATGCCACCATGCTCCTTGGGGCAATGCTCCCTGAAATATCCGCGTTCGGCGACCGATTGGAACTCATGGACCTCTGAACAACAAGGCGGTGTTCTCGCAGCAGCAATACTCCTGTTCATCTTCCTTTTTGGGGTTGTCTTGTGGTTCATTAGTCATAAGCGGAAGAAGGAGAAGCGGCGTCGTCCATCGCGGCATGGAAGTCATGGTCGACAACGCTCAACACACGGCCGCCCGCGTTCTGGACCGAGACATCGCAGTGAGACTCGAAGAGGGCGACGAGGCGAGATTATGATACCCAATGTTGATGGGGCAGACGAAAAGGGAAAGCAATCGAAGGAAGGACATCATCGCCATAGTCAGAAAAAGAAAAGAAAGCGAAATAAGAAGGGCCCAGCGCAGTGTGCTAGGTGTGCGTCGAAATCGAGATCTAGAAACACGTCCAGAGCCAGACCGGAATCCAAGGGCAAAGGAAAAATGGCGGTTGAGGATCCAGGTGAAGGGCCATCAGCAAAGCCTTGCACTTGACTGTTTCCGCTGAGAGCCAGGACTTGCAAGCCATGCTAAACAAAATTTAAAACATCAAACAGGTTATTTTAACGCATTGGAAAGAGAGAATAGACTGGGCAGTCTTCATAGTCATTAAATTGGGTTGCATGAAGTTTTTGGAGCTCAAGCTTGAAGACCATAGTAGCGGTACAACGCAGCTTGTGCAACACAATAGCAATCGTTATAAGATGGAATTTGGAACAATCGCACGGTTTTTTGCAGAAGGCTGCATCATTGACTTCGCACCAGTTGAAGTACATAAAGTGGGATATTATGACAAAATACCTTCTCTCTCCCCAGGGCCCAGAGAGAGGTATGGATTGCATATTACTCCCAATAGCAAATCAATCCGTCCAAACCAAATGACTTGATTGCTCAAATCCGTAGAAACGAAGCAGGGGGCCGGGTCTTCTAGCCATAGAGATGGCTAGCAAACCGGCAAACATCCGGACCTGGGTGAAAGCATATAAAAGTGCAGAAACAGAGCTGCTTTTGTCAAGCATATTGCTTTCAAATCCATTCACGAAGCTTTACCAATAGCGACCGACAGGATGCCAGTGGTATTATCAGAGGAAGAAATGCAGATCCTACGGACCTTGCAGAGATACTCGCTCGCGACGCTTTGTCTATCCATGATTTCTTGCGGTTTCATAATTGCGGTGGCCTTTATCGTGATGGGGATAATCGGGATAAACGTCTACACAACTTGGAAACGCAAGTTTCCCAAGCCTCGCCATTTTAATGCTCGCATAGAAGAAGAAGAGGTCTCAGAGGCGATTTCTGCGACGTCAAGTGAAAGTAACGGTCCCTCGTCGGCAGCAGTTACGGTGTCAATCCCAGGAGAGCAACTGTCGACACGGTCATCGCGAGTGCCGCAGCACAAATGGCAGGCCGGGAATTCTGATACTGACGGGGTGGCTATCACCAAGCCTTTGCAGCCACAAAAGCCAAGGCACACCCAGCGTGCAAGTTTGCAATCGAATCGGAGGGGATCACATGCTATAAATAATAATGAATGGACCGGACAGATGGGGGAGGATATGGACGGCCAGCAACAAGAACCGTGTGTCCGTAACCCACCTCGACAGGGGGCACCCGGGGAGCGACGCAGACGACGAAATACAGGAGCAGCTAAAGCCGACGAAGGGTGGAACGAGGTGACAAGCCAAATCATACCGGTATCTTTCGGAGAAGACAACCGAGAAGGGTAATCAATAGGAGCCAGCACAATCTATGCGGGAGGCAAGCTAATTTTCGACGTTCTGGTTCTAGTTATTCGAATCAATGCGAAATACCGGTGGGAACAGGATTGAGGCCTGCGTACGCCGCTTTCGCCAAATGTTTAAGCGACGATGCGAGAAGGGAACAGGAGCGGGAGCGAGCTGGTCAAGGTATGCGGATGCCTCTCCCTGGACTCATCCCACCTGCAGAGGCGAGGAACCGGGCCTCCAGCCAGCAACTTGGACTAGGTGCGTTGCGCTCCCTATTTTCCAACCGCTTCCGCAACTCTAAGAAGACAATGCTTCTTGATTCGAAAAGATCCTCAATCTTCAGACTCGGTCGCGCATCTCGAGAAATGGACCAACGAAGGCAGGGATAACCGTTTCGATGACAGTGACCCTAGCTGGCCAGGCAGCTCAAGCGATTCGGTGCCGGGTCCATCGCGGCGATCCGTGTCGAAAGGAAAACAGTCTCGTCGCAGGAGCTCGACATCATCCTGGAAGTGTAGCCAAATGATAGGTTCACCACCTACCAATGCGACGAGCGATGGAAGTATGTTTGCGCCTATCAATCCCGTCGCATCTCCATCGAGAAAGGGCCATTTGCGTCAGTCATCGTGGCAGCAAGGGGTCGACAGCATTCAGAATTTATCTAGTTAGTTAACAAGGGGATTATTAGCCAGCGTTCAAAGTTATCAGGGCGGAAGAGAAGTGCAAAGGCGGGGACATCTTGATACATAGAGATCAACCATCACAGTCCTTCTAAACTGTACAGTAACTAGACCAGCTTGTGCAAATAGACCACTTTGTTTGTATTCCAGTTCAATGTGCTTGTCCTGGTTTGGTTTGTGCCGTGTGAACGCCCTCAGCTTGGTTTGTTAGCTCCGCCAGTTGATGATCTCATATCTCGCGGCCTCAGTCCAGCCACAACAACATCCATTGACAACCGCCTGGCTCGACATTGTTCACTGACCGCGTTTGGACAACACAATGTGGAATGACGAGGATAACAATCCATATGGCGCATTTGATCGCCACACAGCGTCTGTGAACGATCCCTTCCAGGCGCCAGCAATGTCACCCAGTGAGTTGCATGCACATCGGCCTTCTGGTGAGCTCGACAGGAGGCTAACGCTGTTCACAGCATTCAATCAGCCCCCTTCCCCACAGTCTCCTAGCGATGGAGTTCCAGAATATTCAGCGAGATCGCACACGCCTAGCGACAACGGCGACGAGCCCGAGCACGAGCAGGCAACACCAGAGGGCTATGCGGGGCACACTGCACCACCGACCTACTCGCGCAAGAAGGGCGTGTATGAGAGCAGAATACAACAGATTCTATATGAAAACCCTGAGATTCCAATTCTGATTACACATGCGGGCAAGAACCATGAAGGCGGTGGCGGGTTTATAGTGTACACAATACGAACGGGGGTATGTTACAAGTCTGAAGGATCCCATTCCTCTCTGGGTCATGATTCTGATATCCTCGCCATCTACCAGGACCTTGAGGTCAGACGCCGATATTCCGAATTCAGTTCGCTCCGTGCCACCCTCGTAAACCTCCACCCTACCCTCATCGTTCCGCCGATTCCGGAGAAGCATAGTATGGCCGATTATGCGGCGAAACCGACAAAAGCTAAAGAGGACGCATCGATCATCGAACTGCGGAAACGTATGCTCAGCGTCTTTCTGAACCGTTGTCGGAGAATGAAAGAGGTCCGAGAAGATGGCGTTTGGTGGCGGTTCCTGGACCCGAATGCCAGCTGGGTTAGTGGTTATATCAGAGCCGTTTTTGCGCCTCAGCTAACGTAGAAGTAGAGCGAGGTTCTTCACTCTCACCCGGCCTCGTCTGTCCCGAAGAATAACTTGAAAGCCCCTCCTCTCGACCCGGCAAACCCGAAACCCGCGCACAACTGGCTCCCAGTCCCATCCTCGTCAGCCAAGTTGAAAGCCGTCAGCGGGGGCACAACGTCCGAAACTAGTTTACCAGGAACTGTCCCCGGTTTCCTCAATCGCTTCCCTCCCTCGTCCAGGAACCTGGATGAGCATGAATTGGACCCATATTTTATGAATTTTGAGGCGTCAACCAGAGAACTAGAGCTGCTGCTTCAGGGAAACATTGAAAAAGTCAATAGACGAACATTGAACCATCTCTCTTCTCTTGCGACAGACTTGATGGAGTTAGGCGCACGGTTCAACGGATTCTCCCTCTCAGAGCCCTCGCCAACGGTCGCAGCAGCCATTGAGCGGGTTGGGCAAGCGGCAGATAACTCATACATAGAGACAGAAGAGCTGTCAAACGCCCTCAACGCGACTTTTGCAGAACCAATGCGAGAGAGCGCCCAATTTGCGGGGGTTGTTCGTAGTGTTCTTCGTTACCGAGTGCTGAAGAGGGTGCAAGAAGAGATGACGAGGGATGAGTTGAGCAAGAAGAAAGCACTCCTCGATTCGCTGGAACGAAGCGAGTTAGAAGCCAAGAGAATTGAGCAATACCTCAATAAGACAGGACCCCCAGCTAACAAGCCGCAGCGATCGTTATCGGATTCATCGGCAGCAAGCAATGTTGACCAAGGAGGAGGCGGCGAAGGTCGAGGGAGCATGGAGGACACGGCATCCATCGACTCTGATTTCCCGCCTACCGGCGATAACCCACGCCCGTCCGCAGCACAAGGCCTTCCACATCGTCCCGCTGACAAGCCCTCGCCTCCCACGCCGGGCCATAAGCACTCCAGTAGCGGTAGCTTTATGGCCAATAAGATCTTCGGCCGTATCAGCCACGCAGTTCACGGGTTTGTCGATGTAGATCCAGAGCGGACTCGGAGAGACCAGATTGGGAAAACAAAGGAAAGTCTAGTTCAGGTAAGCTCGCGGTTGCGAAGAGCCCCGTGTCTAGGGATATGTGGCTGACGGATTGTGCGCAATGACCAGCTGGAGCGAGCGCTTGAGGTATCCGAACAAGATGTGAAAGACGCCAGTGCGGGCGTGTTGCAAGATCTAAAGCGGTTCCAGAAGGAGAAAGAAGACGATCTCAAGCGCTACATGGTCAGTACATTCTCTTTTCCGTGATGGATTGCGGCAAAGCTGACAGGATGCACAGGTGGCGTATGCTCGGTGCCATCTTGATTGGGCGCGCAAGAACCTGGAGACGTGGACGGAGGCCAAGGACGAGGTTGATAAAATCATTGTCCGTTGAGCAAGCTCGCCTTTTACGGTTCTGTTCTCATTATTACGGAGTGTTGGCGTGAGGGTGATTCTGAAGGACATGCATATCCAAACTGGACTGTTTTGCCTTTACTACCGGGATTGTAACCTATAATTCAATATGAGCTCGTATGATCCTCCTGTTTCCCGTAGGGTCGCATTCAACCAGATTCCCGGCGTCAGTAAGGCTGCTGCCTGCAGGCATATAGTTAACTAGATGAGGCCACCAGCCCTACGGCGGTTCACCAAACTCTCGATCTCTCCAGTCAGCAGCGTGGAGATGGCAGGCGAAAGCCGTGCGCTGTAGGCTGTAGTTAAATGACTTGCTGCTGTAACTAACTAACTAATAGTCGACGCGAACACGACCGGGCGGGAATGCGAGGCGACGAGAAGATCGACTTCGAGGCTGATCAGAAAATTCTGATTTCCCAAGCTAAAAACCTTCTTCTGCCCACCACCGAGTTACATAGTTATACAGAACTTGCTCTCTCTGCTTCACACGAATAGACTGTTTCTGTTCCTTGCTTGCTTCTTTGTTCTGCGGTGTCCTGTTGACTGCCTAGCCTGCTCTCCTCTGTCGGTGGTGATGATTGACCCTTGTGACTGAGTCGCTTCCAGTGAGTGCAGCGCCTTCAAAAGCCAACCAGATGTGCTTCTCCGTCTCAACACACATCACCACTCGCCAGACACGGCCTTTCTCGCCCTCGTAGCGAGTCGCATCCTGTTGGCTCCTGTGTGGGACGGCGTTACTGACGTGCTGCTTGCCTAGCCGCCGCCCCAGGCTCGACGCCCATTCGCACGCTCTCTTGCTGTCCCGTCGCCTCATTCCCTGTCGCCGACGAGCTGCCCACCTCGTGTGGTCAGCTCACATTCACAACGCCTTCTTCAAAGAGACGCAAGGTTGCCGAAGAGCTGCGCAGAGCTGGAGGCCGTACGGGCTATCACTTTCCTCCCCCTTCAGCTGCTTCACGAAAGCCCTCGCGCCCTCTGAAACGCTACGGTCACCACTCTTTGCCTGCTTCGTTGCAACCGACGCCATCAGCAACAAATACTTCCTCGTCATCTTCTGTTTCGTCGACGTCCCCAGAATCACTTCCTACCTCGACTCACGACCCTCCGCGACGCTCTGGCTCGAAACCTTTTCGCAGCAACGCCGGTTCCTCCTCGTCCTCCTTCCTCCGTCCTTCCAAGCAAAACCCGCCATCCACGATGTCTTCCCCGAATGGTGGAAACGGCACGCCCGCCATCCAAGATCAGCAAATGCAGGATGTCCAGAATGATCATACTATCCACCGATCCTCCTCTCCTGCATTGAAGCGCCCTGCAGCGGAAATGGGTGGCGATGAACACAGAGAAAACCGAGACCACATGGATACAGATTCTCCCGGCGGCAATAACAGTACCGAATCTTCGCTAGACACCTCAAAGCTGAAAAAGAAGGACGATCGGCCAGAACTACATACCCGGGCCGCTTCTGTCGACATGATCGGCCGGGGTGACGAGGCCACAAGCCAGCCTGATGGCGGTCAAACCTCGTCGGAAGACCCTACTGGGTCCGGATCCGATAGCGTCTACCCAACACCGTCCAGTATGTCGGCCTACACGTCGTCGACATACGAGGATCGATCCCAGGCGATTTCCAGTCAATCGAGCCATTCTTCCCACGATATCCCTAGCTTTGAACAACAGGTTGCAATCGTCATGCGAATGAACATGGCACCCCCAAAAGATAAACAGCGAGGATATGTCGTGTCCGGAACCTTTCTAAAGAAAGTCCTTGCACGGAAAGAAGGAACTGACAAAAATGCACTAGAGGGTGAAATTGGCCCAGTCGACAATTCTGACCTCGTTCTGGTCACCGATCCCAGCATGCTGTTTAAGGATGAAGTCGGAGAACCATTCATTCCGCTCCGTCCAGGGCTACAAATCGGAAACGATTTCGAAATTTTCCCTCAGGAAGCGTGGGATTTGATCATGAAATGGTATGGCCTGGCGAAGAATTCTCCTGTCATCGTTCGATACGCCCATAATACAAGCACTGCCGAATATGTCGAACATGTTCAATATGAGCTGAATCCGCCAATATTCACCGTATTAAAACTACAAAGTTCGACTACTCCCTCTAATCGGAATTCACCGTCGATCAAGGAGCCCCCCGTCAAATTCCTGGCCAGCAGCCATACTCCCTTTCAGCAATGGCTAAAGAACGCTAAGAAGCTAGCGGCCATCGAACCGACCACAAAGGTCCGTGTCTGGAGAATCCTTGAAGGCCTAGGGTCATCTGGCAATGTGACACCCGCCACCTCCCGCAATCCTTCCCCAGCTCCCGGTGCTTTTCTGATTGGAAATGCTGGAAATAGTTTGGTTCTCGATGTTACCAAGTTCGTTGCGTTGAATGAAGGCTCTCAACGGGAGCTCCTCGAACTGAAAGACCAGACCGGAAACGAAAAGTACAACGGCAACATCACGCTGCACATTGCTGGCCTCGCCATGGATAGTGTAATTGTGCTTGAAGAGCAAATCGGTGGTCCTGGCGGTGGTGAGTGGGTTTCAGATACCGCAAAATATGGGTCAAGCCGACTTGCTGCCTTGACCACAACTGCAAAGGGTGGGCCTCAAAACAAAATCAAGACCGCTGCTGCTACAGCTAGTGGGCGTGCATCTCCCGTTTCCACTGTTGCTAGCCGGGGACGGAAACGTAAAGATGGCAAAACTCGTGGTGTGACCGGCCTCAGCAACCTCGGGAATACCTGCTACATGAATTCGGCTCTGCAATGCGTGCGAAGTGTCGAAGAGCTCACGCAATATTTCCTGTCAAATGAGTATAAAAAGGATCTCAACCCGAGTAACCCACTAGCTCACAACGGTGAAGTGGCCAAAGCATATGCCAACCTCCTCCACCAGATGTTTGACGAAAACGCAGCAGCTTCCATTGCGCCCCGGAATTTCAAACATACGGTCTCGAAATACGGCCCGTCGTTTTCTGGTTATGGTCAACATGATTCCCAAGAATTTGTCCTTTTTCTCCTTGATGGTTTGCAGGAGGACCTAAATAGGATCCATAAGAAACCGTATATCGAGAAGCCTGATTCCACGGATGACATGGTCAGCGACAAAGCCGCTTTGGAAAGGTTCGCTGACCGGAACTGGGAAATTTACAAGGCACGCAACGACTCAGTGATTACTGATTTATTCGCCGGGATGTACAAGTCCACACTTGTCTGTCCAGTTTGCGATAAAGTAAGCATCATATTCGATCCGTTCAGTAACTTGACCCTCCAATTACCGATCGAAAATATATGGAGCCGAAAGATTCAATATCACCCTGCTCGTGGCGAGTCCATTGAGTTGGAGGTGGACATTGACAAGAATGCTAGTGTCATGGCCCTGAAGGAATATGTCGCGAAAAGGGTGAACACTGATCCACGACGCCTTGTCATGGCTGAGGTTTTCTCTAGAAAGATCTACAAGTTGTTTACCAATACTCCGGCCATAAGTGAATGTAATATTGGGACATCGGACGTTATTGCCATGTATGAACTGGAAACGGTTCCAACCAGTTACGACCCCGATAAGGCGAAAAAACAAAACCACAGCATGCTTTATACGGCTTTCCGTGATGATGACGCAGATGTCGCCTCTTTTGACTCGGAAAGGGCCGATCGCATACTAGTCCCTATTTTCCACCGTGAGGTCAAGGCTTTCTCGACAAAATCGCACCGCCAGCGGCCGCTATTTGGTATTCCCAGATTTGCGGTTATCACCCGCGAAGAAGCGATGGATTATGATGCAATCTTGCGAAAGATCTTAGCCCAAGTGGACAATATGACAACGCAAGATATCCTTCACGAAAGCGAAAATGATGTGACCATGCGACACCAGTCTGCTGAAGACTCTGATGCGGTTGTTACCAATGACGACGATGCCAATTCTAATGATTCCAAAATCAAAATGGGTTCCGTGGAGGGAGAGGACGGTTTAGTTGACGTGTCTATGCGCGATGCCACTGATACCTCGTCACAAGCAGACAGCACGAAATCATCCAAGACGTGCATGCCAGGTGTCCTTCAACCTGGGAGCTTTATCCCCCCTTCTCTTCGAAATATGTTTGAAGTCAAATTCGTGAAGACCCATGATCCTGCAGGCATAATCTATTCTACCATTGATGATTCCAAGGAATTTACTCCTATGTTAGGTAGGGTACGGTCAAAGAAAGTAGCTAAACGCGGCGCCTCGCGGACGAAAAATATCCCGCCTCTTCGCTCAAACAATAGCCCGATGAGCAGTGAAGATGAACTCGCTGGGCCGGCCATCTCCGTGCAGGTCCCTGGGAGTAAGGTTCATGACGTCGGTTATTCGAGTTCTGAAGAGACAAAAGGCAACAGTGGTTCAGGGAGCGACTCGGATCGGTTCCCTACCGTCCGCCCGATCCGAAGGAAAGAAAAGGGCCGAAAGCAAAAGAATCGCTGCTCCAAGCCCAATCCTCCGGCCAATCTTCCCTTATATTCGCCCCGGTGAGGCCATTGTACTGGGACTGGAACGAGAGTGCATGCGACGCGCTGTTCGGAGGAAATCGAGGGGATGAGGGATCTTTTTACACGGCGCCTAACTTGTCTGAACTTTGCCTGCGCTAGCGGACTCTGAATTTTGGAACCGAAACCTTCTCTTTTC